TATACCCTCAAACCACGCCATCTCAAGCACTGATCTTCCAAGTGGCGTTAGCGCTGGTTCACTTGCAACCCCATCTCCATCCTGCGGCTTTTCTCGTTTGACGGGAGTGGCGCGACATGGATCCAACGTTTCTAAAGCTTCGACATTGTAAATCATACCGGAATCTCAACCGAAGCACTGTCCCAGTTGTGCACCACCATACATGTTCACGAACCGAGCTGGCATCATCCTGTAGGCCTCCTCAAGTGTTGGCTCACGGTCATTTCTATATTCTTGATATCCAAGATCGTAGCTTCCTTTCTCGCCCACTCACGTTTCCCCTAACGATCCCGAGGCCCTCTTCATCCCACTCCACAGATGCTCCAGCTTGGCGGACGACGTTCTACAAAGAGTGATGGCGCGCAACGACCTCAAGGAAGAGGCTGTGGTCATCGTCGATTAAGTGTGGTCGATTCCAGAGAAGTTCAATTAGCTTTTGATAGAGCTGCCAGCGGGAATGATCAGACCATCGAACTATTGGGAAGGAGGTGCCTTGTGGATGGGAGATCAGCCTCTGAACTGGCCACAAGTGCCGAAGAGCACGTAGGAGATGCGCTTGCGGTTTTGCACGGAAAAGGATGTGAGATTGGCGAGATTCGGTCAAGAGAACACCTGGCTCATGAACTTGCGCGTCGAGCTGGTTAACGATTCTCAAGAACCTAGTCCAGCTGGTTCGGCAATCTTGTCGTACCGGATGGTGGTGTTGAACGCAGAGGAGCTGGAGTCGGACCCAACCCCAAAAAATCAAGGAATCGATTTGTGGCGTAATCCCTATGGATTTCCGGTAGTGTACTGGCTGTATAGCAGGATGAATTCAAGAAGTATTCATTCAAGCTTCGCGCCAGGGAGTCTTCTTGCCCGCAATCTTTTGTAGACCTTTGTCGGTGGGTCAGGATCATCCGGTAAGAAGAAATAGACGCACCCAAGGCTAGCCTTGCCGTTTGATCCATTACTCCATTACCATAGTACGCAGGGATGTGGGATCCTTCAAAGTTACCCGACCACCTCTACTCGCAAGAACGCCTCGGGTATATATATATCTAGCATGATATGAGCAAAGAACCTAAAACTTGAAAACAAACGTAAAGAACATCACCAACGTTGTAGATCCCTCATCCATATCTCGACGCTTGATATCACAGAATTAAGTGAGTTCAACTGGTTCGTTGTAAGGAGAAAGGCAACCCAGCAAGCCGTGGTTGGTCACGTTGGCGTATCAAACGTTTGGACGCGTCACACACTCGACTCGAGATTGTTGCTTCCACACTCCTTTTCCTGTCGAAACTCTTCCAGACCAACCCCATCTCTCCTCCCTTTCACAACTCAAGCGCTCACCCACAATGGGCTACCTTTCCCCTTCTTCTCCCCCCCCCCCTTTTCTTCTCTAAGCACGTGTCCCAGTCTTCTCCATCCTCCGCCTTTTAACGCCAAGCCACTTCATCGATACCAAACTACTTGAACGCAGATATAAAAGCCAAGGATTACCCCAACTCGACTGAACCCGTCAATAATTCATCACAAGCGCATTCGACTTTCGTCCCAGTTGCTGTCTGAGGGAAGATCAGTGCAAAGTATGGCGCAGTCACGCTTTCGAAGAGGAGGATGCACTTGGGATGCACCTGGTCAGCGGTGCGAGGATTCCGAAGGTGTTGAATAAGGCGCTGGCGGGGCAGAGTGTTACTATCTCTGTTCTGGGCGGTTCAGGTATTCCTTTTCCTTCCTCTTCCTCTTTCCACCCAGAAACTCACATACGAACGCCTACGCAGTGTCAGCATGCCACGGAGCAGGGACGACCCTATCTCCCCTACATGCTACCCCTCCCGCTTCTCCCAATGGTGGAACACCGTCTTTCCACACCTGGCTACGGAACTGACAAACGGCGCTTTGAGACGCACGAATTCGGGATACTTTGGGTATTGCAATTCGCACCATTTACTGGATCAGACGGATTTGGTTATTACTGAGCTGGATACAGAGGGTGAACCGTACGTTTTCTTTTCGTTTCTTTCGCTCCTTTCGTTTCTCTCGTACCACCCTTTTCTTTTGCTACTGTTCGTTATCGACCACCTTGCCCCCACCCTTCTTATCACACACCTCATTGCCGCCTTATCGTCACCCCCGCCCATAATATGGACTTTCCCACACCAAGCAAGGGTAGCCGCCCACGAGGCCATCCTATCTTGCTCGTTTTCTCGATCATGTTCTCCCGTGGCTTCATACTTTTCACATCCTCCATTGACCTCTGCCATGTCTTCATTACGACTTTACCCTTTTTCACATCTTCCGTCAGCTTTGCCTTCAGCTATGACGACCATTCTCCCTCATAGGTAACCCAGCTTCTTACCCATTTTTTCCCCTGGAGACTCTCGCTTCCAGTGCCCTACCCATCCAATCTTTCTCCATCTCCCATTTCCCAAAAACACCCTGCGTTTTGAAGCCCCTTGACGATTGGGGTTGTCGTGTTGATTTCCCCACTTTCAACTTCATTACCCCCCCTCGCTCAGACATTTCCCTCGTTGTTGGTCGGGAGTTTATCTTTATTTGTGCACGACGAGCCTACCTTTTATCTCTCATACTTCTGCTCGTTTTTGGAAGACGTGGACCCTCTTTCTTCTTGCCGTGTTTTCATGCAGCTTCTCCTTCGATTTGCTCGTCCTTTTGATCCACTCTCGCCCACTCAGCTTCATCCTGTGCATTTCTTTCTTTCTTGAAAGCTCCAGAAGGAGCGTCTTTCTTCTATTCATCGCGACCGAGGACTTTTGCCTTTCTTTCTTGTCATGCCTTGTTGGGGGTCGAGTTTGAGCTTGACTTTTTTCGATTGTCAAATTTCATCCTCTTCGTTGAGGGTCGGGGGTGTTCGGTGAATCCTTGTCCTTTCTTTCTTTCTTTCTTTCACCTTACCTCCCTTCTTTCTCGTACTTTTGCTCGTTTTTGGCAGAAGTGTGACCCCCTCCCTTTCTCTCTTCGCCCTCTTTGTAACTTCCAGATGTCCTCTAGTGGTATTTGGCGGGCAGCTGTGCATGTTTCTTTCTTTCTTTTTCTTTCTCGCTTGTGTCTGAAAGCTCCTGAGGGAGCGTCTTTCCTTTTTTCGTTCCTTTTGTATATCGCGACCCATCAGGGTTTCCCTTCTGTCAGCTAAATGTGACCGCTTTTCTGCTTCTTTTCCATCGGATTGAATGCTTTGCGCTCGTCTTCTCGGCTTTTCCTTCAGTTCGCAATATTTTGGTAGCAGTCTCGACTTGGACTCTTTTGGTTTTTCTGGTCTTACTGGATGTTGAATCATCCTAGTAACGCCCCGCCTTTGTCTCCCCATTTCGTCCTCATCTCCTTCATCCTTCAGCTTTTCTCAATCAAAACTTTTCTTTAACATTCAATCATCCTCCTTCTCCCACTTCTTCCTCTAGCATCGAGACTAATCCCTCCCACAGGAATCAAGACATGATCGACCACTTTGAAATCCTCGTCCGCTCCATCCTCATCAGGCCCGACAAACCCGCCGTCCTCCTCGGCCATTTCTCGCCACAAACACACCAAACACACGGTTTTTGCAGGACCAGACCACTGGCACAACATCGTCGCGCAGTTCTACGACGTCCCACACGTTTCTGTGAAATCTTCCCTCTTCCTCGACTACATGCGTGATCCCAAGTCCATTCCGAAGTACTTTGTCGATCCCGTCCTTGCCAGCCTTGCAGGGCATGAACTCATTTCGGAGATACTCGTGGCGTACTTCCAGAGCCAGATATGTACGGCGTGGAGCGTGGCTACTGGGTCTTCTTACGAAGCTGTCCCAGTGCACACTGCAGGAGGTGCAGGTGACGCCCATGGTCTATTTGGCGGCATTGGTCAACGCCCTGGAGTACCTGAGCCAGAAAAGGGTGATATAGCCGTTGACGCAGCTGTGGAAAAGAAGATGGCAGTTGCTGCCGCTGCAGCAGCTATGAAAGACCGGGGGGATTCGTCTTGCTCCTCTTCGTCTTCCCCCCAACTCCTCACCGTCCCTTCTGGCCGAATCAAAACCCGACCAAACGGGAACAGGCCCTTCGAAGAGATCGCCCCATTCTGCGTCTCCGCAAACGACCTCATCAACCCCTTACCACCGTCATTGTTCTACGGCTCCGGCTGGTACGCTCACCATCCCAGTGGGAGTGGTGGGGATGCCCTGATTACAGCTGCGCATTATTGGCATTCAGCGCTTCCGACGAGTAAGCTGAGGATACCGATACAGGTTGGTGGCGGGGATATTGGGGTGTGTTATTTGAGGGAGCCGGTGGGTGTTGTTGGGGAGGGGTGTTCGGTTGAGTGTTAGGTTGATGATAATTATGCGGGTTCGAAGGTTATTGGGAATGCGGCGGATATTGGGGATGCTATACCTACGTACGTTGCTCTTTCCTTCTTTTCCTTCTTCTTCTTACTCTTCTACCCCGCGCACATGTAGGTTGAAGATGATCGACCATTATGTTGGACGAGGTTCTCATTTCGTGGAATGTCAGTTGTTGGGTGAGGAAGGACAGAGTGTGCTGATGTTCAATATTATTGGGATTTTCCCGACGTGAACCCTTTGTTACTTACTGAAGGACTGAGTAACGTACGGACTCGGACGTTTTCTGGTTTTTAGGATGTTCAATATGGTTTTTTAGTGTGTATGCGAAATGCACACGGGAACTGGAGAGATGACTAAGTTCGATTTTGGCCTGTACGACCACCACCACAACTACAATCCAGTTAAAACGCCCCATTGCTACGCCTTCAAGATTGCGGATTTATGTGAACTGAGAACTTCCAGACAATCTCCAATCTCAACGTTCAACCCTCGATGCGCACCACAACTCAGTCAAAACCCCTCTGGTATTAATCCAGGCACCACTTGCTTCAATACCCCGCAAGTTGCACGAAATGACAGACGCCCTAACACTGCCCCGCCGTGTCTTCCCTTGTCCTCATCTCTCGCGCTCATAATCATGGCCGACCAAACCTCGCCCACTGCAAAGAAATCGAAGAAGAAATCCAGAGGGATAGGAAAACTCTTTCGAGATCTGATCAAGCGACCCAATTCTGCCAACGACTCGGCTTACCAGTCGAATTCCACTGTCTCCTCTGCATCAGGCGCTCACCATGCAACCGATGCAGGAAATGCAGAGCCGCCGGCTTCAAGTAAGTATACTATTGACTCCATCTTAGTGTTGTCGACGGTGACTTAACTGGTGTCCAGGCGGCAATGCTATCTTGAATAACAGTATGTACTGTCCTGGACTCCTACCTCGCAGACATAGCCGATTCAGCTCATCCTCCAGATCCTACCGTCCCCTCCCAGTCAGCAAGACCTTCGTCAAGTGTTCTAGATCTGCAGGAGTCCGCCGTGGGTCAAGGTGAGATGCGATTTGCCGAGTCTTTGTGTCTGACAGGTTGATATCGGACTCGTGTAGAAGGGGACAACCGCAAAGCCAGTCTCACTTTCACTCCTGTTGCGGGACCAGTCTCAACGAATACTCAACCTCAGGCCTCGGATTGGAAGGCGACTGCAAGAGAGGGTGTTAAAGTGGCTGGGCGGTTCACGGAAACGCTCCTCAAGAAGGTGCCGGGATGTGTCAGTGCAAATCCGGTCCAGATGGCATTCTCCATCGCTAAAGTGATCATCGAAATGAAAGATGTAGGTTGTCGTCTCTTATTTATCTTTTAGGCGCTAATTAACTATTATATCAGGCGGTTGGAAGCAACAAAGACGGGCTTGTACAACTTCTCGAAAGAACGGCAAACAGACTCCTGACTGTGGAGAGCAAGGAAGTTAGTGGTAAGGCCGCCGAGGAGGCGATGGAGAATTTCAAAAAGTACGTCGTCTTTCGTGCACCAATAGGATACCATAACGAACATGTCACCATCCAGGATCATTGGGGAAGAAATGCAGAAGTTGAAGGCTCTGGCCAATGAATCACTCCTTATAAAGGTAGTAGACTACGAAGCGTATGGGACAAGGATCCGGCAAATTTTTCAACGAGTCGAAGAGGCCACCACGTCCTGGTTTGTGTGTACCATTCATTCTACAAGGTTCTGTATATTCACATTCGTCGTTCCCAGTTCGAAATGACGATAAGCATCCAGCAAACGGCGAGACAAATACAAGATGACACCAAGGTAAGTATTTATGTTCCCTGGTCTGCAATCTGCACTGATTAATTGTACAGAGAGAGCGTTTGAATCCCTCCGAGAAGGCTGACCACAGAACCGTCTTTGAAGGACATGGCCTGAAGCGCGAAGCGTGCACGGACGGAACGCGTGTCAAGATATTGGAGGACATCACGAAATGGGCTAACGATTGCTCATCGGCCAGCCCGCGTGTCTTCTGGCTGACCGGTCAAGCTGGATCCGGCAAAACCACCATTGCATATACCATAGCCAAAGTGTTCGCGCAAGATGCCAATCCCAACCAACATACCGTCTTGGGCGGCAACTTTTTCTGCTCCCGACAATTTGAAGAAACGCGAGCCCAGACCCGTATCCTTCCCACCATCGCCTACCAGTTTGCTCGTAAATGCAAACCCTATGCAGACGCCTTGCATGATGCCGACAAATTCGACTCTGTCAAATTCGATGTTGCCACCCAGCTGTCGGATCTTCTTGTCGGGCCTTGGCAGCAGTCTGAAAGCACACGGGGTTTAGGACCGCGGCTGTACCTGATCGTCATCGATGCTCTTGATGAGATCGAGGGCGAAGGAGGATCGGCATTTCTAGGCGACCTACTCCACACAATTGACAAATACGACCTAAGAGGTCTCAAGTTTCTTGTGACAAGCCGGTCAGATCCTGAACTCGTTGAGCGCTGCAAAGCATTCACGTCCGAGGCCGTCTGTCGTCTCCAAGATGTGCCGATTGAGGAGGCTAAGTCAGACATCAGGATATACTTCAAAGACAAGCTGAAGAAGCTTGACGGCACTCCAGAGCTGACTGAGCTTGAGCAGCGGGTTGATGGTCTCTTCATCTACGCTGCAACTGCGGTGAAGTACTTGACCCGACATCGCTCAACCACTGTTCGTGAGCAGGCAAAGATGCTCAAAGACCTCCTTGGTTCCGCGGGCAAGGCTACATCCTCGATTGATGAATTGTACCGTCGAATTATGTGGGACACCTTCAAAGATATGGAGGGAGAGATGTTGATTTGCAGGTTGCGCATCCTTTACACCTTCCTATGTACGGCTGAACGCACGTCCATCTCCACCGTTGCTGCGCTCATCGCGGACGGCGACAATGAAGTTGCACAGGCTGTTCTGGATGATCTCCACGCTGTGCTTTATTCCCAAGACGATCGAGTTTTTTGGTACCACGCCTCTTTTCCTGACTTCGTTTTTGATCCAGCACGGTCAAACTTCCGCATCGGTGAGAAGGACTTTGCATTTTCATGCAATGTGCCCACCCATCACAATCTTCTCGGCAAATCTTGCTTCCAGATAATGAAGTCTGGACTGCGATTTAATATGGGCAATATACCATCATCCTTCCTGTTTGACAGTGATAACGCCGTAGCGCTGGCCGAACAGGTTAACAAAAACATCAGTGCCGTTCTGAGGTACTCATCTCAGCACTGGGCTCACCACTTGCCCTCACCCCAGTTCATCAGTATCGATAATCTCCTCCGCTGCCTTTCGGAGTTCCTTCAAATTCGTGTCCTGTTCTGGATTGAGGCCATGAACCTGCTTAGCGTACGCAATCAGTGTACTCCGATGCTTCAACGTGCACGTGAGTGGGTTATGAAGGTATGAATTGTAAAGTTTGAGCCGTACTGCAACAACTAATGCTGTCAACTAGTGCGGGAACGATTTTTTAGAATTGGCGCGTGACATTGGTGAAGCTGCCAACTTCGCTACTTATTTCACTGGGAGCCCCGCTGCCAAATCGACGCCGCACCTGTACATCTCGGCGTTGGCAACATGGTCACGGAACACCAGTCTCTCTCAAAAGTGGAAAAACCAATTCACTCGCATCCCTGCCTTTACACATACCAAAGGAGTTATTGATTTGCCATTGATGACCATATCAGCTGGGGCATCAATTAGATCAGTCGTGATTTCGAGTGATGGGACACGGATTGTGTCTGGCTCGTATGACAAGTCTGTGCGGGTGTGGGATGCATCAACAGGTGTGGAGCTGAAGAAGCTGAAGGGTCAGACTAGGATAGTCAATTCGGTCGCATTTTCGAGCGATGGGACACGGATTGTGTCTGGATCCTCGGACTATTCTGTGCGAGTGTGGGATGCTTCGACCGGTGTGGAACTAAAGGAGCTGACAGGCCACACTGATTCGGTCAATTCGGTCACGTTTTCGAGCGATGGGACATGGATTGTGTCTGGTTCGCGTGATGAGTCTGTGCGGGTGTGGGATGTATCAATTGGTGTGGAGCTGAAGGCGCTGAAGGGCCATACTGACACTGTCAATTCGGTCGCATTTTCAAGGGATGGGACACAGATTGTGTCTGGCTCAGATGACAGTCTGTGCGGGTGTGGAATGCATTGACAGGTGTGCAGTTGAAGGAGTTGAAGGGCCCCATAGCCATATCCAATCGGTCACATTTTCGAGCGATGGGACACGCATTGTGTCTGGCTCGTGGGACACTCTTTGCGGGTGTGGGATGCATCGACAGGTGTGCAGCTGAAGGAGTTGAATGGCCACACTTCCCTGGTTGCATCGGTCGCATTTTCAAGCGATGGGACACAGATTGTGTCTGGCTCGAGGGACAAGTCTGTGCGGGTGTGGGATGCATCAACAGGTGTGGAGCTGAAGGAGCTGAAGGGCCACACTGGCAGTATCAACTCGGTTGCATTTTCAAGCGATGGGACACGGATTGTGTCTGGCTCGAGGGACAAGTCTGTGCGGGTGTGGGATGCATCAACAGGTGTGGAGCTGAAGGAGCTGAAGGGCCACACTGACGGTATTCATTCGGTCGCATTTTCGAGCGATGGGACACAGATTGTGTCTGGCTCGTGTGACTACTCTTTGCGGGTGTGGGATGCATCGACAGGTGTGGAGCTGAAGGAGTTGAAGGGCCACACTTCCGGATTCAGTCGCATTTTCGAGCGATGGGACACAGATTGTGTCTGGCTCGAGTGACAAGTCTGTGCGGGTGTGGGATGCATCAACAGGTGTGGAGCTGAAGGAGCTGAAGGGCCACACTGGCAGTATCAACTCGGTTGCATTTTCAAGCGATGGGACACGGATTGTGTCTGGCTCGAGGGACAAGTCTGTGCGGGTGTGGGATGCGTCAACAGGTGTGGAGCTGAAGGAGCTGAAGGGCCACACTGGGGAGGTCAATTCGGTCGCATTTTCAAGTGATGGGACACAGATTGTGTCTGGCTCGTATGACTACTCTTTGCGGGTGTGGGATGCGTCGACAGGTGTGCAGCTGAAGGAGCTGAAGGGCCACACTCATTCGGTCAAATCGGTCGCATTTTCAAGCGATGGGACACAGATTGTGTCTGGCTCGAGTGATGAGTCTGTGCGGGTGTGGGATGCATGATCAGGTGTGGAGCTGAAGGAGCTGAAGGGCCACACTATGTCAGTCACTTCGGTTGCGTTTTCAGGTGATGGGACACGGATTGTGTCTGGCTCAAATGACAGGTCTGTGCGGGTGTGGGATGCATCGACCGGTGAGGAGCTGAGGGAGTTGACGGGTCACATTGGGGAGGTCACTTCGGTCGCGTTTTCAAGTGATGGGACACGGATTGTGTCTGGCTCGCGTGACGAGTCTGTACGGGTATGGAATGTGTCGACAGGTATTTTGAGTGATGGAGATGCGCGCTTTGCTTGGGATCTGGCAGACTCAGACTGGATTATCTCTTCTCGGGAGCAAAACCCCTTTATGTGGGTGCCAAAGGAGGCCAATTTGTGCACACCTCTCAAGATTCTTATCATTTCTCGGTCTGGCTTTGCTACAGTTGACTTTGATCAGTCTATGATTGGTGTTGATTGGGTTTGCTGTTATACACCATAGCTACAGTCACGTTGTCGATTATACATATCATTCTTCCACACAATGCATGTTTTCTCCCTCCCACAACGGGCTCCCTTTCCCCTTCTTCCCCTCCTTCACGCATCTGGGTCCCTGTCTTCTTCATCCTCCTTCTCCTAACGCCAATCCACTTCCTCCTCCCACTCCTCCTCATCGATACCAAACTACTCCAACGCAGATCTAAAAGTCAAAACTCACCTCCACCCAAGCAAGCCCGTCATTTCCAACCCATTCAAATTACAGCACCGGGAATGGATCGGCGCAAAGCATGGCGCTGTCATGCTTTCAAAGAGTAGGATTCACCTTGGGAGCGGCCTGAGGATTCAAAGGGTGTTGAAGAAGGTGTAGGCAGGTCAGAGTGTCATTGAGCAGTGCGTGCGTTTTCTTTCGTTTCTCTGCTTGTTCTTGGCTCCTTTCTTTCGTTTCTCTGCCCTTTCTTTCATACCACATGTTTTTTCTTTTCTTTTTGCTTTTGTTCGCTGCGACCGTCCGCCCACCCTAATCATCACACATTTCATACCGTCTTTTCATCACACCCACCCAAAAGACGGACTTTTCCCACACCAAGCAAGGGTAGCTGCCCAAGGGGCCATCCCATCTTGCTCGTTTGCCTCTGTTGCAGCTTCGTCATGAATTTACTTGGAAAAGTTTCGCTTTCAGTCTTCAACCCTATCCATGACCCACTTTTCAGAAACACCCCACGTCTTGAAGGTCGAGCTTGGGCTTGACGATCGGCGTCATCATGTTGATTTTTCCATTTTCAATTTCATTACCCCCAGCTTCCGCTTCGTTTGGGTCGCGGGGAGTTTGTGGATCCTGCCTGTCCTTTTTTGAGTGCGACGAGCTGTTGTGTGACCTTGCCTACCTTTTTATTCCCCATACTTCGGCTCGTTTCTGGACAGACGTGGACCCCCTCCCTTCTTCTGTTCTTGTCGCGTTTCCATGCGGCTTCTCCTTCGATTTGGTTGTCCTCTCGATAACTTCCACGTATCCCTTCGCCCGGCCAGTGGCGTTTGGCGGGCATCCTGTGCACGTTTGTTTCTTTTCTTTTCAAATTGTGGTTGAAAGTTCTGGAGGGAGCTTCTTTCTTCTATTTATCACGACCGAGGGCTATACGTTTGTTGTTAAGCCTTTCTTTCCTATTGGGTTGAATGCTTTGTGTTCGTCTTCATGTGGGTTTTCTTTCACCCCGCAATATTCTGGGAGCAACCCCAACTTCGACTCCGTTCGTTCTTCTGGTCTTTTATTGCATTTTGGCAGCGCTCATGGTCGTTAGTTTGTGGTTCCTGTCCTTGTTTCTGGAAGCCATGGCACAGACATGGATCCCTTCTGGTCGCGTTTCTAGTATGTGGCTTCTTCTTCGGTTTGACCACCGACAGTAAAATAAACCCGGGACTCAGCCAGGTCCCCGAAATCGTAGAGCCACACTAGGGAACATCGTATATCCCGCCTGTGGAGGCGCACCAGAGGATATACTCAAGGGACATGAAGCCGTGGAGAAGAGGCTTCGGGAGGCGGAAAAGCTCAGGAGGTGAAGAAGAAAATGTTGGAAGCGCATGCGGTTGAATCTCACGAGGAAATGTTGGCTTCTGCCACGAACAACACCCTGTCTTCCCTTGGTCTACCCTTCCGAACAACGACTCAGACGATCCTCCAGACATGTTCATCCACAAACGGATTCTTGTCACGCTAAGGCCATTACATGAAGGGACTTCAGTTATAAGGACATACGACGTTTTTAGGCACTAGCATTTTTTCGAACGGAAGGGTTTGGGTAGATACATTTTGCGAATTTTACTGGTTCCGTTGAGTCTTGAGCTGTGCCCATTTATGAGTCATCTGTAAAAGGAAATCTTAACCTTCTCCTCACCATCGCCTATAACGACAAAACACGCGATCATGGACATCGATATCATCGAAGAAAGCCAGCAAGGCGGCTCCGGTCAGTCTCCACGACGCCCCATCATTGTCCCCGTCGACGATGCCCACCCTTTCGACCTCGAGGGCTACATCGCCAACTACACAGGTAACTCATTATTCCTCCTCATCTTCATCGTTGTGCTGACCATCGTCCAAGACCGAACTGCTATCGACCGCCTCATCCACATCGCCAGCATCTGTCCCTCAATCGCGATGGAGGCCTTCCAGCTCTGCGTGCAGCACATCCATCAATCGCGCGACCCCACCTTGTACCAGGCCCTGTTAACAGCGTATGAGCAGACGAGCAACGCGTTGGATATGCCCCTTCCAAACCCATTGGACCTCGCACAGCTCGATACAAAGTGGATGGACGAGATCATCGCGAAAAATCAAGCAGAGCGGACAAAGTTGGAAGTCGAACTAAAGACTTATAGCAACAACATGATCAAGGAGAGCATTAGGGTATGTGCTTTCTTTTCGAGGATTTTTCTCAAGGCTGAATGATGGTGAAGATGGCCCATCGTGATTTGGGTGACTTTTATAGGTCAACGGGGGATTATGCCACTTCGCTGAAACATTACACAAAGTCACGCGAGTTCTGCACGACCAGCCAGCATGTCCTCGACATGTGTCTTTCTATACTCGAGGTACGAGCCATTGAGTCTACTTTTGGACTTGTACGCTGATTCTGCTTCCTTCAGCTCATGATCGAACAACGCAACTACTCTCATCTAACAACATACGTTTTCAAAGCAGATGCAGCTCTTGACTCCGCCGCATCCGCCGCAGCCTCATCATCCAACAACGGCGGCGATTTGGCGATGGCCACCACCGCTGCCGGTGCAGCGAAGAAAAAGGGCACTCTTGGCAGTGGATCGTCAGCAGAAAGGGATACCTATCAATCTAAGCTAGACCTAGCGAGCGCACTGTCGTATCTAGGGCAAGCGAACTACGAGAAAGCTGCACAGTGCTTTTTGAAGTTGGGCCCGGCGAAGGATTTGGGGGATTGGGTTGGCAAGGTTCGTTTGTCTGACTGGGTTATGAGCATCCTCTGACGTGGTGGGTGTAGCTTATAGCCCCGGGCGATATCGCAATCTTTGGCACCCTCTGCGCTCTCGCTAGCTTCTCTCGCTCGGCAATCAAGAGCCGGGTTCTTGAGAATTCAATCTTTGGGGCTTATATCGAGCAGGAGCCATATATTAGGGAGTTGATCGCAGCTTACATGAACAGCAACTTCAAGACTGTTTTGGAGCTCTTGTCACGGTACTCCGTACGTGCTTCCTTCATTTCTTGAAACGATCGTTTGACTTGCATGATATATCAGACACGTCACTACGTCGATATCCACCTCTGCCCCCACGTACACGACCTGACGAACCTTATTCGGAACTGGGCCGTGGTGCTGTACTTCCAGCCCTTCGCCACTATCAAGCTCGAGCGGATGAGCGCTGCGTTTGGGTGGACCGTCGAGGAGGTCGAGCAGCAAGTCGTTGCGTTGATACAGAGTGGGGCTATACAAGCCCGGGTCGATAGCCAGAACAAGGTCAGCTTCCTCTTCTCCCCGATACCACCAGACCACAAACTGACGCTTTTGGATAGATCTTGCAAGCTAAGAAGACAGATTATCGTGCGGAGCTGTTCGCGCGTACTATTAAAGCCGGGAAGAGTATGCAGACGACGAATAGGAAGTTGCTTTTGCGTATGCGGTTGTACGTTGTTTGATTGTTTTGTTCTTTGTTCTACTGAGTTCTGAGGTTTTGTGGCTACGTAGGCAACAGGCGGAGTTGCTTATCAAGCCTCCCAAGGGAAGCGCTCATCACAGTGCTTTGACCGACTTCCTTCAGAGCGGAGGGGATTGATTGTTTTTCGCTGTGCATCCAAATTGTACTACATACATACTCTCTTGAACGCGCGCGTTCGAGCTTCGAACCACTTTGTTAGAAAGGCACTCTTCCAGCTACACTCAGTGTGCTGCTATATACGTGCAGGCTATTCGAAAGCAAATATCAGGCGTCCCAAGGAAGTCACTGAGCAAAGTGCTTTGACTGACTTCCTCCAGGGTGGTGGGGGTTGACCTTGTGCATTCAAATTGTACTATATACACCCACTTCAACACGAGCGTCGGAGCTTCTGCATACAGGAAGAACCCATTCCAGCTACACCCACTATTTTGTAGCAGGTTACCTTAGGGCCTAGCTGCAACCTGGAGCGGTGAACATACACGGCCCCATCACCTTTCATTTTTGTCCCTATGCTGATGCAAAGCTCGTCAAGGCTATACCCCCAAACCAGGCCATCTCAAGCACTGATCTTCCAAGTGGCGTTAGCGCTGGCTCATTTGCAACCCCATCTCCGTCCTGCAGCTTTTCTCGTTTGATGGGGGTGGTGCGACACAAATCCAACGTTTCTAGAGCTTCGACATTGAACATCATACCGGAATCTCGACCGAAGCACTGTCCCAGTTGTGCACCACCATACATGTTCACGAACCGAGCTGGCCTCATCTTGTAAGCCTCCTCGAGCGGCCCAAGGACATGAAGACCCTCCTTTGGTATGCGGATACCTGTGCCCTGAAGCTGATGATGTCCCACAATGCGACCGCTGAAGTGGAAGTGACTTCGTAAGGGGTTCCAGTCACCCTTTTTCGTGAATGAGATTTGAGAGGAAGCAGACGACTGCGGCGACGGCTTTTTGAAGAATAGGCTCGATTTCGGCAGCGTCCCATCGGGGCTTGGATCCGGTTTGTACCACACCAGGAGGTAGAGACGTTGGTTGAGCGGAATATGGACACGAAATGGGTACTTTCTGCTTGAAGCTGGGTCGGTTTGGCCAGGCCACAGTGGTAGCAACATGTAAGGTGAATCATCCGGAATATCATCCAAAATGTCCTGACAAAGTTTTTGTTCTGGTCGTGGTAAGAGGTTGCGATTCCGAGGTGAAGCAGATCTGCTTGGTGATAGCTGTTTGAAGCGCTTCCTCACCCAAGATGGACGTCGCTCAAACGAAGATTCGACAGCCTCGCTGCACTGATTCATAGTTCGGGAGCAAGAAAACCCTCTCGAGGATGGCGATATGCGAGACGGATATTGTGACTTGCGCTCCGCGTTAGCTAGTGGATTGCGCTTCTTGGCTGGCAACGAGTGATATCCAAAATGATGGAGTGCAGAATCGGGATGAGCATCTTGAAATGTCCGGGAAGCGAGGAGAATCGTATCAATAGTCTCATTGTCATCGTGCGGGTTCTGGCGGCTGATGGAGAATGCAACAACGTTTGGATGTTTGTGAATCGTCACCAAGGGTAGATTCGACATGTCCTCCTCTCTGGTACAGGGTATTTCGGTGTTGCGTAGGTCTATCGGCTGAGGATCACCGAGTCGGCACCCTACAGGATGAATTTAGGACGTAAAGGGGAGATGAGGAAGGAACATACTTTTTGTTTTTCTTCGGCTAATTTGGAATCTTCCCGCAAGGTCATTCCACCATAGTTCCTCGGTACCGAATAACATCTTGGTTGAAAATAGGCCTTTGCGTGCCCAACCATGGAGGAAAAGCCGGACGCAACTCCTGAAGTTGATGACTGCCCAAGGCTTCGCCGGTTGCCCGACAGTATTCTTCTCTTGGAAGAAGACCCATTTTTTCAATTCAAACTCATTCGCAGTCCATTGGCTGAGAAGTTGAACGAAAGACTTCGTCTTAGTGTGCCTCTGTGGTTTCCGAATCCAAGAGGAGAGTTTGTTGATTCCGGTCTCAAGGTCCTCACTTTGTATGATCCCTGCCATGTCCCCGAGTTCAGCCGCAGACACAATACCAGTGGCGAAATCACTGAAGCCATCGAAACTAGCAGATGTAGGTCGGTCCATCGATGCAGCCTTTTCGTGTTCACAGCGATTCCAATGAAAGATCGCCTTCCCCGCAGATGACGCTATCATATCGCATTCAATTCCGAGCGTGTTTGGCGTCGATTGTGACTCTGAAACGCATATGGAAGGTGCAACGTCAGGCCTGCTTGCATCGTGGCTTACACTGGAGGCCTGATAGGATTGAGAAACCGTAAACGCAGGGTTTCTTTGAAGGTCCTCAGCGACTACGTTTGTGGGCGCCAGTACTGCAGCACCTGAAACATCAAATGGCATGAGTTATTGGTCATAGGAGTCACGCCAACGCACCATTACGGCAATTGAGCTCGAAATGCTCGACCAAGCGAGCGTGAAGTGTAGTTGCTGGGGGTAGTGTGATGTCATCCTTTATGACATCCTGGTCAGCGTCGGCCAAGTTGACAAAGGGAAAGAGCGACCTGGTGCACAAGCGAAAACCAGTTCTTATCGTGAGTTAGGACAACTCGCGCGCCAGGGTTCTAAACAGTATAGTTAGAGAGTCAGGACCACGCTTTTGAAGTACGTACCATCTCGAGGAGAAGCTCATTGATAACGTCAGACGGATGAAAGAACTTGAATGAAGTAAGTATTGGACTGTCTTAAGAGAAAAGGCGAAACCATACTTCTGCTCTTGGTGGATATGATTGGAGGCTCGGCCCCATAGAAGAAAGCGACCATGAATCTTGCGTTCCTGACCCGGGCGGACGGTACCCATGGCCAGAGCTGCTGCCGGCTGTTGTGTTCTGCCTCCTAGAACCAAATAAACTGGCAGCGTCCAGCACTCGTGGGGAGTCATCCTCCGACTTCACGGAGGACCTTCGAGACGCAGTCACCCATGCGTCCGGAGATAGAGCAATCTTGAAACCGCGCACAAATAATGTTTGGTTCTTGCGGAACTGATCGCGAGGGAGTGTAGGATCTAGGGATGGCCCAGTGCGAGCCGTGGCCCTGCCCGTTTCTTTCCACACATACGCTCGAGAAGACGGGGACTTTGCTTTTCCAAACTTCAAAACGTTATATGGGGCGGGCATAAATCTGTCATATGTTGCTATTCCCCACGAAGATGTCTTCATGTGGCCCGTGACGAAGTATAACTGGTTTCTTGCTAATCGACCTCCTCGACGCAGAGCATAAGCATACCAGCTTTCAGCCGACTGGAGGATGAGACTTTCGACGTCCAATTCGTTGTCGAGGTCCTCGTTGTAAGAACCTTCTGGTGAACAAAGAATCGCTCCTTGATCACAATCGCAGGCTAATGAAAACTCGCTGTGGAGAAAACGCAGTGAGTAAGAATCCACGACGAAGAGGATAAAGCTACCAAGAGTCCAAGTTGGTATCGAACTTGATGGCTCCACTGCACAAAGCGCTACAGGGATCGAAAACATCCTGACCCGAAACTCTTCTCAGTGGCCGTTGAAACGTGTCGAAGTCGTCTGGCAGATCTTGAGGGTTCAAAGGGTCGTCGCGAGGGCGCCAAATGTTGAAGAGGTACTCAAACGAGCCATCAGCAGTGATGAGACCCACGTCGCCGATATCAATCCCATGCTTCTGATACTCGATTGGTAGTGAGCTTTTGGGTTGCGGGAACCACAGTGGAAACCCGTATCGGTAAGGAAGCATGTGCTCCACATATATTTTGAAGCTGCTGTTGTTCGCGGTAAAGGCCGTTGCTGGAATGGTAAGTGCATCTGCCGGCGGCGTCTAAAAATCACAGAAACCCAATTGAGAGCGGTACTGATCCATCGGGAAGAAAAGGTACATACCAGTTCAACGGAGGCTCCCTCAAATTGACAGTCTGCTCCTTCCTCTTGCTCCATATCTGACCTTGATTCCGTAGGATGCGAGGAGTTTGAGGAAGCAAGGACCTCTGACGAGGATTCTGTTCACATCCAGATTGAGAATCAACTGAAGACGAAGCAGTGACAAAACATACGATAAATTTCGAGCGGAGAAATCCTCTCGTCCTGCACTTCCCGTTCACAACCACTCGTTCCCGCACTCGTCCTTGGCTCAAAGTTAGCGCAAAAAGGGTTGTTCGAGTTAGACGGTGTCGAGGACGCTGTCTCCGACCCTCTTTGAAGCTCGCTCTGGGCTGGGGTAATGGCATGTCCTCGACTAGATCGTCTATGTTCGTCGTCGGTTGCCATAGATCCTGCCTCCTCGAGTGGCAACGTCGTGGAATGCGGATGATTCCGCTGTTCAACATTGATGAAAAAGATACTGCCGCCTGCATGGTTTATGTGGTTGTCCGCAAACGTTTGGTGTCTTCCGTGGTTGAATGACATTGGTCGGACAGCGACGAACTGTGCAAAATGGGTCCTATATGTCAGACAAGTGGTCTCGTTCGACCTAAAACTTCACCATCATGATTTAGTGTGGGATCCCGCAATATGAGTACGACATAGCAGGGAAAGCCGGGTCGAATGCATATGGCCAGAGCAAAGAGATAGAAAGTTGAGATCTGAGCGACGACCCTTCGAGTTGGGCTCAGCCCATATGTGTAGCATCAAGGGTTCGAGGGGACCCTGAACGAACGCGTTTTGTCGCCTGCTCTCTAAGGTGTTTCTTACAGCGCATAGTGGACCAACATTCAGTGCATGACGCTCCAGGTAATCCTTGAAAAGATTCGACTGAACAGCCCGGTGACTGGATTCTACTCACACGAATGTGTTTATGTTTTGTTGGCGTCAATTTTCGTTGTCAGTGGCTGTGGGGTTGATACATAATATCAATAAGGTTGTGGGATCGGCGCTTAAACCACGCTCTCACCGATTGGTCGCCTAATGAGACTAGTCTCCATTTCACGAATAGCCTCGCACGAGTTGCGTTTTTTATGGAAAAGTCCGCTGCGGTAAGCGCCCCCAAGTCACCCCTGAAGTGGGTGGCACTCGTTCCCGACTTATAAAGTCCAAAATGCTCCATAAAACCAAAATGCTGTATAAAACAGACGATCGAGATCAAGTTAACATCCTTTCAGTTCAAAGGGGGAGTCTTCAACAAATTGGAAAACTACAGCGCGTTTTATGCGGAAGGGTTCATTCCATGGTCCGAGGCAAAATTGAAAATATTGTCAGGGCGAGCGGCCCTTGAGGCGCTACAGCCAACTGGGGGTGCAGATCGATGGGGCTGGAACGGGCGTTTATTTTGTGATGCACCAAAATTGCATGAAACCGGGTGGAATCGCGATTGGACTGTTGGGGTTTTCGGAAGAGAAAGTCAGAAAGACTCTTAGTGGGGAAAAAGATGAGACAGATTGCTAATTGGTATGAATTATCTGACCCTCGAAGAGGATCGCTGATCTACCCTCTTCAAGAGACCATTGTGACGCGGTCTATCCGCGTCTCGCATTTACTATCATAACAAGTCGAAACAACGGTCGAACAATCGGCGGGGCCACGCACCATCCAAGCAGACGACCATTTCCTGAAATCGTCGAAAATCCATCCCGATTCGCCAGGATCATGCATACCAAGGTAACTGAAAGCTGGAGGCCATGCCCAGCATCTCAGCACATTCTCGTGTTCGGTGAAGTGATTCGGTTGGATTCGTTTCATCAAGAATGTGTTGTCGAAATGGCTGGATAGATGTAACTGATCATGATAAAACATGCGAGGGCACGAGAATCAAGTCCGTCCGCGACAGTAGAGACTAATAGGCGCAAATGTGTAAAATTTCAACTTGAATGTGACAATGAAAGAACTTGGACGCACCGTACCCTTTCCGACGGCAGGCTTACAGAGACTCGAAATGACGAGGAAGAACGGAGATAGCTATTGAATCCAATATCACTGATGTAGCACTGTATCGATCTGGAGCAAACGCAGCTGGATATTAAATTGAAGAAGAGCTGAGAGCTTAGGCTTATCAACGTACTTGTATGCTGCATCCTTTCCCGCATTCGATAGAGGTGCCTGCGTTCCTCTGTAGACCTTTCCGCCGTCCGAGTCGAATGGCACAAGTCCAACTTGATGCGGCGGAATTGCCACCCAGACATCGACGAAGTTTATCGCTGGAAAATAAGCATGTGAAAGAACAGCTCAAGTAAAGTCGTTGCGTGTTAGAGCCTGCGTAACATCATATTCGGGCGAGCTGCAACTTGGCTGCAACTTCTAAGTGCAAAGCTTGATGTTTGGCGTTGTTTGATAGAGCACGTTCGGAAACTTCCTAATTGTTAATCCGAAAGCTTCCAGCAGCTTCCCATCCCTTCCCATCCCCCTACTCAATCATTACTTATGGGAGCCTGACACTTCCTTTGTAGAATGTGCACATTACCGTCTGTCAGCACGGAAACATCCACTTGGCTCTGAGCTCGTGACGTACATATGTATGTGACACTGACAGGCCCGAACTCGTTTAATACTCCGACTGCCATACTATCCGAAAAAAAGAAGTGCGTGTACCGAGAAGGTAGCGCTACCGAGGAATCCGATGTTATGTTCCCTGGCGCAATTTCAATACAGCCCTCTTCGACGAGTCTTTGTTGCTGACTCGGACACAGACTTGAAGTGCGAATAGCCTTGGCAGACAGAACGGGGAGCGTCCACCTCGTCAACAGGTTGACAGACGTTATGGAATAGTAGCCCTCAGTCACGAGTTGTAATTTTGGCGGTTTAACCGAGCAAGACACACTCCTGGTGAATAACTGAGTTGTCGGAGTTGAATTTCCGCGATTAAATGGATGGATTTGTGCAAGATTTGTGGATGGAGAGCCATCCTGGAACTTCAAGGAAGCCGAATGAACCGAAATGGCCGCTTTCTTTTGGGGTCAGTTGTGTCTTGGCTCTCGTAATTCTTATTCGGATTAACTCAACACATCATCCAGGGACATGAGGCGGTCTTTGGGAACCAATAAATAGCTTGTTCCCTCACCTTGATTCGACCCATCCTGTGGATTCGTTCTTTCGATCCCAAGATGATTCTCAACGTTCTCCTGCCGATTCTTGCTACCTCCCAAGCTGCTCTCGCTGCTACCAACGTCCCATACGACGTCTTTTCCCATTACGGTCGCAGTCTCATCGAAAATGCGCACACATCGCAGAAGTCCAATTTGCCAGCGAAACACGTCGCTTTAAGCCAAGCTTTACAAGGGAGGCTCCCCAACACGACCTGTAACTCCTCCACGGACTACCCCATCGGCATTTTGGGTGCCGGGATGGCCGGTCTCTACACTGCCTTGATTCTCGACGACCTTGGCATTCCGTACGAGATATTGGAGGCTGATAGTACGCGAATTGGAGGAAGGATCTACACGCACCAATTTGACCCTAGCAAGGAGTTTGAATATTATGCAAGTCGTTTGTCTGTTTATCCGACGATGTCTTCTAACTATTCCTATTCAGGATGTCGGGGCCATGCGCTTCCCCCTCCCCCAACCTGGGACGCACGGCGTGATGTCGCGTCTGGAACATCTCTTCCATTACCCTCCACTCAACACCGGAGGTGATCTGGCCCTGGCAAGCAAGCTCATTCCATATTACTACCGCGCGGTCAACGGAACTGGACGCATGTATTTCAACGAAGTTCATTCCACTGTCAACGCCAACCCGCCCAGCCAGTTCGACGCCCAAGCCATGGATGTCCCACAACCTTATATCAATGCCGGTGTCAGTAACATTCTCAACGACGCTATCGGCCCGCTCGCAGAGGCACTCTTCAACGATATTAACACTGGTACGACTGCTGGCTGGCAGAGGATGCAAGAACTCGATCCTCATAGCACTCGATCTTACCTTGCGTTCAATTATACGCCGAGCGCCAAGTTCGCTCAGCAATATCAGCTACCAGAAACGCCTTTGGATGTGGATACTATCAACTGGGCTGAAACATTCGACAAGAGTACCCAGTGGTATGACAGAGCCTTAACGGAGACCGTATTGGAAGCCGTAGCTTTCGGCGACGTTCCCGGCGTCACCGTTGACTGGAAGTGTTTGAGGTAATCTTGACAACCTATTTCAATGGGCCTATGCTGACCAACTTCTCTACAGAGGTGGTTCGCGCCAGCTCCCATATACCATCAAAGCCTACCTCGACTCCAGATCTCCCGGCTCCATAAAACAAGGTGTTCAAGTTGCCAAAATCGCATCCACTGATCCCGGAAGCACCAGCTCACCCCTTATAGTAACCAGCACAACTGGCGACGCGTACACCTACTCCCACGTCATCTCCACCATCCCCCTCCCTGTTATGCGTACCCTCGACCTCACTCAAGCTGGTCTATCCATCATGCAATCCAACGCCCTCCGTCAGCTCCAGTACGGACCTTCCATCAAGATTGGCATCCAATTCACCGAGCCTTGGTGGACTACCGGTGTTGACAAGGACGGAAAACCCATCGGCATCGTTGGCGGACAGTCGTTCACTGATCTACCCATTCGGACTGTCGTATACCCCTCGTATGGCGTCAACACTCCCGGATCTGCGCCCTCCAACGTGCTCATTGCTAGTTATTGTTGGACCAACGACGCGGAGCGCATGGGAAATCTCATCAATACTGGAGCGGACGAGTTGCTTAAGGATCTGGTGCTCCGAAACCTCGCTACGGTGCATAACGTCGACTACAAGTACCTGAAGGACCGCTTGGTTGCCGTCTACCCCTGGGATTGGAACCACAACTCACTGACGATGGGTAAGCGCTAATTTTATTCTCGCTCACGGCGGGGCCTGATTTGATGCGTTCTAGGTGCTTTCGCGTTCTTCGGGCCTGGCAATTATTTGAAGTTGTACGAGAGCTTGAGCGTTCCCGCCTCAAACGGAAGGCTCCATTTCGCTGGCGAAGCGATCAGCGTCCGCCACGCGTAAGTCCCTTCTGCGGCTCTTTTCGTCGACAGAACCCTGACAACTGTCTTGCTTAATTTTAGCTGGGTCGTCGGTGCTTTAGACAGCGCTTGGGTCGCCGTGCACAATTATCTCATCATGACTCACGCGTCCCAGGATACATTGAACAAGTTCTACAACAATTGGGGAATCAACTGGGAGTGGACCAAGTCGGGTGCTGAGAGCAAAAATAACAATGGGACCCTCGCGCATGAGGACAACCTCTTGTTGGAACATCTTATCATTCACAGGTCAGACCTCTTTTCCGGTGCCTAGACACGTTATCCCCACACTCCACGCAATGGCTTTGACGCTGCTTTCGGACTGTACGACCAAGAAACATTTTGCATACTTTCACGAACACTTTTGTATTCACGCTCTTCACGCCATTTCGAGTTACTACCCACTTACGTCCATACGTTCTTGACGACTACGTTGTATATTTTGACCACTCTCCAAGATTGAGGAATAGCGAACAGCGATACCTAAGCCTGTTCATTGTCAGGACAAATGTCAGATGGAACCGGGCCCATGTGTAACCAGCATTGTGAGGTATCATATTGACGGTCAGTCAGTGTACGCAGAATGTGCACGTCTGAGCTGGTCAAGAGCTGGTACGTTCATGGTTCAAAATATTCCATGGTAGCCTTGGTAGGCAGATTAGAAATTGGCTCAAGAGGGATTTGAACCCATGTGTATCAAGCCCATATAGGGAGCGCTCTATTTTGAGTCAGCTGGCGCGAGGCGGCACTACTATGCCACTCGCGCTTTTTACAATATTTACAATGCCGGAAGGGTATTCTAAAAAGGCTCTAAAAAACCATTCCTACTCGAGTTATTCAACCTGGAGACCTAATACAAACAACCTAAATAGATAGATCCCAATGAATATAGTTCGTACAAGTATCACACAAAAAAAACCTTTGGAAATAACTCAAGAGACAATACCCATCTCAATAATTCGTGTCGATCCTTGGTCGATCCGAGTTGGATGCAAAAAAACATTTTTCACATAAGCACAGCCTGAGGGCCATAACTCAAGTGGGGTTCGAACCCAATTATGATACCCAGTTCTGACAGTCTGGAGCAAATCTGGAGTGTTGTCTTGAGTGCATATGCCCGCTACGTAGTTAGCGGGTCTTATCCTACGAGCCACCAAAGCTCTTGCGTGGGTAAGTTTAGCCATGTTTGCCCCCCGGTTCAACCCGTGTTCCTCCACCATGTCCTTTTGTTTCCAGCTCGACGGCTCTCCCGTTTCTGTTGAGCTTTCGTCTGGTCGATCCTATGTGTCTGTCGCTTGTTCGAACCGTTAGGGCTCGTTTTTCTTGCAAATCCAAGGCACACAGCAAAGCCACAATGACTAGGAGGCCACGAAATCAAGATTAAGCAGAAAAGTCAGACACCCCAGCACCCTCAAGCTTTCGCGTAAAGGTGTAAAGCCGCCGATGTTGGCACTTGACGAGGGTCCCATCAATCGGTCGTTCATTTAGAATGTGGCTGGCCCTCCAAGAAGCGGAAGTATGCTCACCTGGGGGAATTTTGAATCACTTGCTGAATGGGTTCAAAAGTGGAAAAAGTGAGTGAATCAAAAGCTTGAACATTCTGAACCAACCCCTCGCATTCTAATCTAGTGGGTTTTTTGTGATATTGAGTGAGTTTGTCGGACTGCCAACCTCTGTGCAGTGACACGCTTACAATCGTACTCAGGAGAAGGGGAAGTGTTACATCAACGATTAGTGGCGTGATGTTAGAGCATTGAGAAACAGCAACGGGCTTAGGGCAAGCTGAGGGGAAGCCTGTTCCTCTGCGGCTTCTCATTGGGTAGGCTTGATTCAAGTTGTCGGTCTCTTTCCCTTTTCTTCTTTTCCTTGCCTGCCGAGCGATGAGCAGCGTTATTCGATTTATGTATCATAACATCACTATAATTATAAACAGATTCAACGATGTGGTGGAGGTTGGGAGAACCTCTAATTTATGTGTCTACCGCTGCGAGGAGCTGGCCGAAGGCCGAGCGACGAGCAGCGTTATTCAATTTATGTAACATAAAACAAAACCAATAGTTTCGAGCGGTCGGCGACGAGCAGCCAATACCAAACAAGTAGATGGTCACTTTACAAAAAAATCCATTTCCTTCTCCAATGTGAAATGCTAGCGCTCCTTGTAGCCATCAGACGGTCACATAAATGAACTTTTTCTGTAACCCCCGCAAAGGCAAGTATTATTTGGATTGGTCAATGGAATTTAAGTACCTAATCGCGGTAGCGGGCTTTGCGCCCGAAGGCGCGCTGCGGTGGTTATGGACTGTTACACGTAACACCAGTGAGTCTGCCCTTTACATGTGTTTGTAACAAAATAAGATTCAAGTCTCGTGGGGAAGGGTTTCTGCTTTGATTTTATTTATTTGAACAACTTGAACAGCAGGTTCAATGCTGAGATTCTTTAAATTTCATACAAGCACCATGCAAAATATCTTGCTGGAAATTAGTAGAAAAAGAGGGAATCAGACCCATCAGACTAGTGTCGATGGCGAAACCTCCAAAAGCATTCACCATTCGCCGGCCTGGCAAGGCGAGCACCGTGGGAACTTGGCGAATGCTGGCGAAACTGGCAAATGGAAATTTAGGATTTCTGTGATTTTTTGCCGAAGTAACATCTTATTATCATAGTTGATTTTTTTCACAATCATTTTTTCGTCACTGCTGAGGCCAGGCCTGAGGGCTTTGGGTCTGGATAAATGTTGTCAAGATCAAAATTGGATGAGATCAATGGATTGGAGGGTCCAAATAAGTAACAACAAGTGCTTTTAAAAGGGATTTGGGGTGTCCTTTCTTACTTTGGCCTGCACTGAGGACCTATGTATATTTTATGTGCTCATAAATGTCTGTTATTCTCTAAAATTTTGACTGACTTCACCAAGTTTCGCCAGGTTTTGCCACCCCTTTTTTCATTTTTTGATTCGCCAGCCGGCTTTCACTAGGTGGCGAAAGCCAGTGAGGCGAATCGGCGAATGATTGCCAACAACACTACATCAGACCCTACTCTGACAGGAGGATCCAGAAGCATTGTATTGAGTGTACATACATGGACTCAGGCTACTAGACCATTTACACCTTTACTTAATGTATACTAGCAGCCTAAAACATTATTTAACAAAGCCTGAGTGACATGTTGGACTTCTCTTCCAACTCAATTTATTTTACCTGAAGGCTCAATGAAGCTGATCCTTTCACAAATTAGCACTGGCATCACCATTGAAAAATATCCTTTTCTTGGCCAAAACCTATCAGAGCCCATTATGGTGATTGCAGTAACTCAAGGGGTCCGGGGATTAGAACCTGCCACAGCACTCAAGGATTTCCAAGCACTGTATTGAGCTATGCAGATGCACAATGCAGTCCATTAGACCACTTGTGCTTTTACTCTGTTCTTGCATAAAATCATATTTAAATGGCCTGAGATTGAACATTGAACATTGAGTAGCCAGGCCTCTGCTCCCACTCAATTTACTTTACTTGAGGACTCAATAATGGGAAAACTGGAGCTTACTCAAGCCTTTTCACACAGGCATTACCCAAAAATATAAAAGGTGGTATGATTTGTCAGGAACTCAAGAGGGATTCGAACCCATTACAATACACAGCTCCAAGGAAGACATAGAAGCTGTAATCATGGCATGATTACTACAGTTCCCATACTGTATCATATATAGGATGCACTGGCTGAGAATATAACTTCTCAGTTATTCTGCCTTTTGGCTTAGGTGGTCCTTTGTGCATTCTAGGGACTGCTTACAGAAGCATTATATTGAGTCATGTAGGTGCATGGTGCAGACCATTTTACCACTGGTGCTTGTACATTGTATAAGTAAATCCACTTTACAGTCGCGGACAATCAAACCCCGCTTGTTTTATAACTCACGACTTGAGTATTTTGGCACAAAACTAACTTCATATTCGGACTCCTAGAGCTCGAAAACGTCAGAAAATGAATTTTCCGGGTTTTTTACACGTGATATTTGGTCGCGCCAAAATTTTGGACAATTTCTATACACCATATGGTATCTAATTATTACCCGGCACACTCGATCGCCGTCTCTAATGTGGACCGGAAAGCATCCAGGACATTGATTACTCTCTTTTGCCATTTTGAAGTTTTTTTTTGCATGTTCTTGGTATCAGTATTTGCACCAACTCCAGTACTGCCATGAGAAGTGGTAAAAAAATGGGTTATGAAGAGTCATTACTTCAATAGGATTAGAAACTCGGGCACTTATTGTCCTCCAAGACAGTCCATCTCATGATGCCGTTGTCATTTTCTGTGAATTCCCATGAAATTGGGGATCTTGATTGGTCATATCTATTGGATATTTTTTATAACTATGTACTGGACTGTAATCAGCGCTCGAAACAGAGTCGATTGCATGTTTTTCCATGTTTTTAGCGAGTTTTTGGTGGGCGTGCCAAAAATTTGGGCTGAAATTCTTGAAACTGCCCGTACCGCCTCATGGCCGGTGTGAATACTCTTCTAATATTCAATGCTAGTATATTTTCACTCTACCAAGGCTCTGGACTCAGTTTGGCGGTCACAAAAAGGGGGCACAAAAATAAGCGGGGTTTGATTGTCCGCGACTGTAGCTTGCTTTATCATTTTACACTGAAGAGCCAATATCAAAATTGGAGTATGCTAGAGCCTTACACTGGCAGGCATCACAACATACAAAAAAAACCAGTTGTCTATTGCATCAAGTCAGAAATCAAAAAATTCAAACCCATTGATATCAGAGGATTCAGGGGCATTGTGTTGAGCTAATTGGACCAGTCAGCCATTTGTATTTTTTCTATATTATTTACTAGGACTTTCACCCCAGCTGCCGAAGTGCTTGAAAGCAAAACAAATAAAAATAAAACAAACTGCCACACCTGGGCACCTTAATTTGTTATAATTCATTCTAACAAAATTCCAATGAGCTGCCTTTAAGTTAGAGTTGTACAGAATTCAATGATGGTTGGTGTACATCCATAAAAGGGTGACTCTCAGACATCAGCCCAAGGGGGATTCAAACCCACCCACTCATATACATACCCAGCTTGAAAACTCAAGGCATTGCACTGAGCTGCACTGATAGGCCATCATTGGTACTTTCCATAACACAATTTCACCAACTTGATAATGTGTGTGTCCACTGATGACTCTGCAAGCACTTGAAAGCAATTTGTTTTTCTTCTTTTTTGAAACATCTAATGACACTTGAGACAGGGTCCAAAAAATATTCAGGACAAATCTGGACATATGCACCTCCATAATTGTCACCATTTGTAAAATAGGGAAGCTGGTGTGCATCCCAAAAACATCAATTGTTAGAATTACAAAATGAGGAACAATAAGAACATTGAGCCCATTCAATTTGCATATGTAAACAATTTCTTTGTGAAATAATCTTGGTAGCCATGGCAACACCACTCAGCTGAAGGATATGTTGAAGAATAAAATAATGGAAATAACCACTTGATGTGCTTGATGTCCTTATTGTTCATCAGTTTGAAATTTTGATAATCAATATTTTGGGATGCACAACAGCTTTATTATTCAACAAGTGTCAACAATTATGGAGGTACCTTTGACTAGATCACACATTGGACCCTGCCTCAAGTGTGACCACTAACACACATGATACTTATTGTGGCATCAGGTTTCCTTCCAAATATTGAACAGGCAAGTCCGAGGTGTGACTGTAGAAATCTAGATCTAGATCACATGGTAAGGAGTCAACCTCAGTCTCAGTATAATGGACTAGATTGATGGATGTACCTAGATCACACGGTAAGGAGTCAATCTAGGTAAAGTAAGTAAGTGTGTAGTAGTCAGTAAGTAGAGTGGCTCACCTCAGTCTCAGTATAACAGACTGAGGTGTACATAGGCTAATGTATGGTATATATATACTAGGCAGAATAAAGGGTGAGCTAAGCATAAAGAGAGAGTGAAGGAAAGAAAGAAAAGGTCTGAGAACCAAACATGTTCACAGTGTCATGATAATCTCAACACTCCTCCTCACCGTGAACACTCCTCCACACATGGAGTCTAGTGCTGTTTGATGCCCAAGAATTCGCAGAATCAAGTAAAATTCTTGGTGTTGAGGGCTTTAGTAAATATGTTGGCCATATTGTCATGGGTATTGATGTAATTTAGGATAATTTCTTGGGATTGGACATCCTCATGTAAGAAATGGTGTTTGATATCAATGTGTTTGATGCAGTTGTGGAGCATTGGATCTTCAGATAGATTTGTTGCCACGTTGTTGTCACATAGGATTAGAGTGGGTTTTTCAGGTTGGTATCCAATAGTGCTTAAAAGCATACAGAGCCAGATCGCTTCTTTTGATGCTTCAAATGCGGCACTGTATTCCGCTTCACATGATGAGGCCACTATGGTTTTTTGTTTGCAAGCTTGCCAAGAGATAATGTTGGACCCAAGGGTGTAAGCATGTCCTCTGACACTTCGTCTCATGTCAAGACAGTTTGCCCAATTGGAATCAGTAAAACCAACTAGCGATATGGGGTTGTTGCTGCCTAAAGAGAGTTTATAGTCATGAGTACCAGAAAGGTAACGTACAATGCATGGCACTGTGTTCCAGTGTGCATATGTGTAGCAATCCAGATATTGGGATAGTTGCTGAACTGAGTAAGTGATGTCAGGGCATGTGCCTATGGATAAATAGAGCAGGCAGCCAACTAATGACCTGTATGGTAGTTTTTGAATGTCTTTCAATTCGTTCTGTGTGAGCTTTTTATAGTTGGCGTGTTGAAGTTTCAGTCCCAGGTCCATACGGATTGGAGCTGGGGAGGCGGTCTTCTGACCAAATTGTGTAACCATTTTGTTGATGAGAGTGGTTTGTGATAATTTAACAGTGTGGTTCAGTTGATCCCATGTGACAATGATTCCAACGACAAAGCAGACTGCACCAAGGTTAGATATTGTCCAGACCTTACGCATCTAGTGTTTAAAGGTTTAGTTCAGTCCGGTTTTTTGCCCCGAAAACATGCAACTGTGGACCGCAACCAGTCCAGGACCAACCCAGATATTGAGGGAACTGAACCGAACCACCTAGGACCAGTCTTTTGCAGTCCATGATACTGGGTCAGACCGATCCAGACCGGTTTTTTTGCATATAGTTCATGGTACCAATATAAACCATTTATATCTCAACCATTATTACTCTGAAAAATAAACAGGTCATATAGTGTAGTAAAGCATGTAAATACCCGTCGTTCTACCAATTTGTAAGAGGTTTAATGAAGATCTGACATAGCTATGACTGAAACTGAATTACATCTCCTCAAGACTCAGGCAAAATTTAATGTGGCAACTGTAAATTATTTGATGCATACCATACATTAATAGATGGTGAGCATATTTCCATACGTATAGTTTCAATATCCAAAAATTGAATCAAGCAAAATGATGAAAATTTGAGTGAGTTAGAATTAAAGTCATTCTGGTACAAGTTGCACAAACAAGTATTTATACCAAAATGGATTTGGTTATATCTTTCTCAGTTCTTCACCATTTTTGATGAACCAAAAACCTAATTAAAGGTAATAAACGTGGTTACAATGCTATGTAACACACGTGACGATTTAACCAGTTGCAACCGATTTAAACTAGTCTTTGAATGGTTTTAATAGATTTTTGAAATGAGGCAACCGGCAACCGGACCAGCCCCAAATTTGGGCAACTGCAACCGAAAAAAAGACTGGACCATGGTCCGGTTCAGTTCGGTCCACTGGGTTTTTACGGTCCTATGGACCGAACCTTTAAACACTATACGCATCTGGTTTTTGAAACACTCCTTTTAGTCCTTGTTGCTCACAATGGATAGGAAGTTGGCCACATGTACGGTGGCCATGATTGTTCCACTGTCATCCTGTAATAAATGCAGGACTCACATGAGAGGTGAGTGAATCCCCAGGAAAGCATCTGTTCATTCATGGTTTGATTCCATATCCTCCCACTCTGCTTCATGCCATATAGTCCCTGTTGGATCATCCATATCCACTCCTCCTGTCCTTGCTCCTTAAAACCTCGCAGTTGCTCCATGTACTGAACTTCATCTTCTGGAAGTAGGCCATAGAGGAAAGCAGTCTTTATATCAACTTGTTGTGCATCCCAGTTTAGCTTAGCTGCGATGTGTAGTAGAATATGCCAGGACTCCATGCGCACAGTAGGTGAGGTTGTTTTCATGTAGTCCTTCCCAAAAATTTGTTCAAAACCTAAAAACACGACACACACCTTCCATCTTACAGCTTTGCCAAGTTCATCCCTTTTAATTCAGAAAACAGGTTTCCCTTTTCAAAAATTTGAACCCTGAGGAACATCACATCAGGGAACTAATTTGTAGATACCCATGTCTCATAAGGACTTCAGTTCATCTCAGTAGAAAGGATTTGATCGATTTGTTCTGCTTTTTTGTCTCTGAGGTTCAGGGTTGGCAAAGCTCCTTGATTGCTGCATCTTTGACTATAGTGGGTGCATTTCATGATGCCTCCTCTCGAAGATCCTGCAAGGTCTTCTTTCATTCAGCTCTGGTCACTTTAACTCTTACTGCAGCATCAGCAGATTCCTGTATTGCTTTCTCAAGTTGTGAAGGTCCAGCAACTAGGGGTTTGTCTGCAATGTGACTGGAGCGATGCAGTGGGGTTTCATCTGGTATTTGTTGCTGGTTTTCGGCGATAGGTTCGATCTGAGGGATGGGGTTTTCAATCTGAGAGGTTGTGGGTTCGGCGTTTTGAGTAGGGTTATTTTGTGGGGGGTTTATAGGCAGAAGCAGCTCGTTGTCATCTTTGTCAAAAAAAATGGGAGTGGGAGTCACACTTTTTACAATTGATTCTAGGGATGTTGCTTTGAATGGAATTTTGGTTTCTGGAGGCAATGGAGAATGGCCATCGCAGCTTTCTAGGAACTGCACATGGTAAGAACTATAAACCTTTTTGGTTTCTCAATGGTAGCATCTGTACGTTTTTGAGTCTTTGTCATATCTGACTCAGATGAGGACACACTCAATTGATCTTTTGTAAACTTTTGGATTATGTTTGTTTTGGATCAATACGAAGACTCTGCAACCAATTTCTCACATGTAGGAGTAGTCAGGTTGTCATTCACACCACTTTTGCCATGGGGTTGCACCATTGAGTGAGTGAGTTGTGGTTTTGTCCTGAAGATGACCTGCCGTAATGTAGAATTCATCCCATAAATTTGTAGGGCACTTCACATAAATTCACATAGTATGTGCTTTTGCCATGAGTGTATGGTGCATCTGTTTGACGCGTCCAATGTGAGCTGAAGTGTAGGGTGCTGTGAATAATTGGTTGGTGCCTCTTGATTCAAGCCAGTCACACATCACATTGCTCTTGAGTTCTCTGTTGTTGGTAATATATGTTCCCCACCTTCAAACCTGTTTTGAGTTCTCTCCCATGTGGTTAAATAATTGAAGGCGTCACTCTTCCTTTTTAAGGGAATTGGCCATACATGACTTGTGAAGTCATTGACAACGTTCATAATGTATTCATTTCCTGTTCTTGATTTTATGGCATGTGGCCTACTAAAGTCTAAGATCCACCCACACCTTCTCTAATTTCCTTGTTGCTCTGTGCCCTGGCCCTTCTTTGCGATGTTTAGGAATGAGTATTTTCATCTGTTTACCCAGGACACAAAATTCGCATTTAGGGGGGTCTTCATGATGAAGATTTGGGGGCATACCTGGTATCATCCCGCTCTTGACCATGTCTCAAATTGTCTGATAATTTGCATGACTGAGGCAGTGATGCAAGGTTTCAAGACTCAGAGAATGTTGTGCTGTAAGAGCATGCTCAGTGTGAGCAGAATGTAAGACCAGGGAGTAGAGATTTTTGGTGGGGAGAAGGGTTCCGCAAGTGATGATTGCGTTGGTGGATTTGTTGGTGATCCAGCATGCTTGTTTGTCAAAGTGGGCGACAGCTTTGTTGTCCCATGCTAGAGTGCTGACTGAGATTAAGCGGACAGTAGCGTTGGGAATATAAAGTGTGTTTTGCAAAATTATATATGCACCACGCGCAACATGCAACTTGATGTCACCAATACCGAATGCAGTGATTGATGATCCTCCAACACCCTTTACTGAGTGTGTGGCAGTTGGTTGAAGCGTCAGGAAGTCTGATTTTTCTGGTGAGATGTGGACTGTTGTGCCAGTATCAATGTAAAATGGGAGATTATCAACTGAGATGGGGCCATGATTTTTCTTGTGAATTGGTGAGATTTCAGATAGTGTGGCAATGTCAGATGGTTTCATATGTGTGTTCCAATTGACAGTTGTTTTCAGCTCCTCCTCAAATGCAAACCATCCTTCATACTGGATTGATTCAATAGGTGCAGCGGGAGAAAAACTGTCTGGGATAGCATCAGACACGATTCCTGCAAATTCAGCATTGGGCGTAGGCATAGATATGTCCACAGGATCAATGTGCACAATAAATGCCTTGCTGCTGGAGTCTTTCATGGTGACTGAGACTTTCCCTGGAGTTGAGGCATTGCTATTACCCCCTGCCTTCTTATTTTCCTTGTCCCTCTTATGAGCTGCAATGGACTCTGCTACATCAGCAAAACAACAACAACCTTGGTTTACCTTGGAGGCTTTGTAATCTTTGCAAAACTTTGTGATGTTTTGCTCCACCTTCCAATGTTGTAGAATTATATGATGAACTGTAGAAAAGATGTCAAACTATCTAGGACTATATAAGATTGAACTGAGGTTGCTGAGTGAATGTAAGGCTGAAGTAATGTTTGTAACGACATTGGAAAGTCGACTGAAAGATTTTAAACATTCTAAAGTTGATCCAATATAGAATATAATACATATAACACGTTACAAGTCTGCGAAGCTGTCAGACCCGTCACATGAGAACTCGTCAACCTCATCCGTTGAGTCACTGATATCCATCTCATCAACCTCGGACTCATCTTTGTCCTCGTACCCATAGTCACCCTTCTCCCTGTCACATGATGAACCTTCATCCTCACCAGAGTCATCCTTGCCACTCCCTATATCCCCAGTTGCCTCCACCCCATCCATATCTTCTTCAGCCCCATCATCCATCTGTTCAACTTGCTCCTCAGTGTCGTCCTCCACAACAAGATCCTGTGAGGCAGCAGGAGGGGTGAAGTCATGGGTAGCTTTATGTCCAATACCCCTGCTGAGATACCTCATCACCATATCTCGATCAGCAAACCTAAAGGAATGTAAGCACAATAAAGTGAAAAAGGAATTAAAGAAAACTTACATGCCGACATAATATCTGAGCCACTCCTCCTCGTCTTTTTGGTTGTGAGCAATGGAACAGCCCAGGAGTTCTCAGGAATGGCCTTGTGAGAAAGCAGGCATGAGATGTGCGGCTCGAATGATATCGTTGGGGTCCAAGAATCCAAATGTGCAGTCTTCCTTTCCATTGAAAAATCTGATGTGGGGCAAACAACGGGCTTTGAATCTGCTGTGATACTCGGTGTTGTGACCAAACCAACAAACCCACAGGAAGTCCATCGTGTGAGTGTTGCCTGGTGATGTTGACTTGGGGTCAACATGAAAGATGTTGGCATGGAAGATACCAATGATACGAGCATACCAATATGGATGTGATTCTGAAGTCCCAGGTTCTTCGTTCGTGAGGACCATGATGTTGCAGTGCTCAGAATAAGGGTTCAGTGTATCCTGGAGTCGCCGCATGTCATAGCTGGTGTAATTTATGTGTAAGGTCCTGTGTTTGTAGAGTCTCTTGTGTTCGAATTGGATTGTTGATAGATCTTGATCTGTGAAGTTGTTGTCATTGTTCTTGGTACCCAGTATTTGTGCCAGAAAATGGTCTTTGAGCAAAGGGACAAAATTCTATCATGTCTTCAGCATATCAAAGCGAGATACAAACCAGAAATAAGTAACTCACATGAAGCATGGGGTCACCAGCATTTTTTGAAAGAAACTTCGGAATATGCTCGAATGATCTTGCCCAGTTGGAAATTTGATAGTGATCTTTTGGTGTAATATTTCAGAGAGGGTCGTCGACAATTTTTGTAGCTGAGTGGGTGCTACTTTGGCAGTAATGCTTGGGGTCTGGTGCACCGTCTGCTGAATGTTCCAAAGCTTCATGTTGCCACTTTTCTTTCAAACTTGCATTGTGTAGAAAACATTGGTGTTGTTCCTGTTTGGTAATTTGCCTCTTGAAACCAATGTTTTGTAAAAAATTATCTGTTGTACTGTAGTAACAAAGTGTTGGGAGAATATAGTCACAATGAGAATGATTGTTAAGACCAGCAGTCTCATAATGAGACTCTGCCTGAGAAACATTTTGTAGAGTACAAATGGCATGTCTGAGTCATTCTATGTTACATAAGCACGTGATCACATGCAAACAATGATTAATGACATTCAGGGCATGTCAAAATCTTGTTCTTTGCTTGTTCTTTCATCCCCACCATCATAGTTCCTCTGTCCTATCATTCCTTGTGCTTCTCCCTCTATGCCACAACACAGGCACAGCAGGGAGGTGATGCCTCAAGATGAACTTGAGCCAGCATTGAGAGGCAAACGACAACAAGACTCTGCAACCAAAGTTCAACAAAAAAAAGGAAAACAACAAAGTACGTAGATTTTATTTGTAGCATTTGGAGTGCTCGTGCTGCAAGTGTACTCAGAAAGGCCAAAACAACAAGGGGTGAGAAGGTCAAGCCATTTCGCAACTTTGCAAAATGGATTGGCCGCCCTGAAAACCCTTTCATCTCTTTTGGGTCTGTTCTAGGGCTTATTTGTTACCATCAGACAAAGATGCTCCACCTTTATAAGTTTTCCGTGAACTTCAAATGCATATATTGACTAACGACTCTTTACAAAGGTCACTCACAGACCACAATTAGTGTTTAAAGGTTCAGTCCATAGGACCGCAAAAAACTGGTGGACCAAACTGAACCGGACCATGGTCTGGTCTTTTTTTCGGTTGCAGTTGCCCCAATTTGGGGTTGGTCCAGTTGCTGGTTGCCTCATTTCGAAAATCTTTTAAAACCGTTCAAAGACCGGTTTTAATCGGTTGCAACTGGTTAAAAGGTCACGTGCGTTACATAGCCTTGTAACCACGTTTATTGCCTTTTATTGGGTTTTTGTTTCATCAAAAACGGTTAAGAATTGAGAAAGATATAACCAAATCCATATTTTACCCAAGTCTCTAGGAGATGTAATTCAGTTTCAGTCATAGCTATGTCAAATCTTCATTAAATCTCTTGAAAATTGGTAGAATGATGGGTATTTATATGCTTTACTATTTTATATAACCCGTTTATTTTTCAGAGTAATAATGGTTGAGATACAAATGGTTTATATTGGTATAATAAATTATACGCAAAAAAACCGGTCTGGATCGGTCTGAACTGGTATCATGGACTGCAAAAGACCGGTCCTAGGTGGTTCGGTTCGGTTCCCTCAATATCTGGGTCGGTCCTGGACTGGTTGCGGTCCACAGTTGCGCGTTTTCGGGGCAAAAAACCGGACTGAACTGAACCATTAAACACTAACCACAATGAATGTATGCGGATTTACAAACTGATCGAAAAGCACCCTGGGTGGAAGAGTATACTAGTGAAGATTGGCAGGGGTAATGAGAAGTGGTCTACTATTCTAGTGGATGAGGTGCGTACTTTCATTTGACTTTCTATATGCGCAGTTGTGATTCTTATGTTATTGCAGATAAGAGGACAGCTCCTTCCAGCCAAATAGGTTGTAATTGCTTGGCGCTTCACCGAGTCAATGGCGGTACTACCATTTCCAGAGCTGCGGATGAAAGAGATGTTGTTGCTGACACTGAACGTCATGAGAATCTAGGAAGATCAGCCTTGCCCAGTAGTGTTTAAAGGTTCAGTCCATAGGACCGCAAAAAACCAGTAGACTGAACTGAACCGGACCATGGTCCGGTCTTTTTTTTGGTTGCAGTTGCCCCAATTTGGGGTTGGTCCGGTTGCCGGTTGCCTCATTTCGAAAATCTTTTAAAACCGTTCAAAGACCGGTTTTAATCGGTTGCAACCGGTTAAACGGTCATGTGCGTTACATAGCCTTGTAACCACGTTTATTACCTTTTATTGGGTTTTTGTTTCATCAAAAACGGTTAAGAATTGAGAAAGATATAACCAAATCCATATTTTACCTGAGTCTCTATGAGATGTAATTCGGTTTCAGTCATAGCTATGTCAAATCTTCATTAAATCTCTTGAAAACTGGTAGAATGACGGGTATTTATATGCTTTACTATTTTATATAACTCGTTTATTTTTCAGAGTAATAATGGTTGAGATACAAATGGTTTATATTGGTATAATAAATTATATGCAAAAAAACCGGTCTGGATCGGTCTGAACCGGTATCATGGACCGCAAAAGACCGGTCCTAGATGGTTCGGTTCGGTTCCCTCAATATCTGGGTCAGTCCTGGACCGGTTGCGGTCCACGGTTGCGCATTTTCAGGGCAAAAAACCGGACTGAACTGAACCTTTAAACACTATTGCCCAGTGATGAACGTGAAGGTAACGGTGGTATACTCATAACCTATCTCTGACCACCATTGTCCATTGCGCTAAACTCATTTCATTTAGATCAAAAGAACATCTTGCCAGCTATGTCAAATTCCAACACGGAATCGAACTCCCAGTACAACAACGACACCAGCTCTTGTTCAACTACACCACACCTCAATTGCATTTTCCATGACGGCGTTCGAGGCAAAGCTCAACAATACATTCGCACACCTCAATAGGTGACCCGTTTGTCCTCAACTTGGGGAAGCCTTAGTCCCATCACGCCAACACCCAATGGAAAGGCAAAGAAAGCTCAAGGGTGGAAGATTCTGGCTGTAGAGACTGCCACACACACACTGCAGAGTCGCAACACCCAATGCATGGCGGTCACTTAGTGCTCAACATCAACAATTTTTTTTCTTGTTGAATCTCGAAATACTCATCCGACTTTCAGATCAGAATGGATTGCTCACATACATGCTTGCCACTTTCGCTCATGCAACATTCAATGTCCTCATCACCTGCTTATTCCCTTTCAGTTACTTTTCTGTTGTAGGCTGTTTTTGTCTTCATGTTTTCTAGGACGTGTAATAGTATTGCATCGTCTAATAATATTGCTTTCCCTCACTTTCCTAATTTGTAAGTATAAATTATTCCAAGTGACAAGTGTCAGAATCTATCCTGAAGACAACCTTGGATTACCTTGGAATGTATACCATACTTTCAAGACTTCACATAGTGACCAATTATTTACCCTCCTTCCAAGGTGAACAATGTAATGGATGGTCTACATACTTTTTTTTGGCTTTCATTCTTTGCTTAAACTTACAATTGTACCTCAATCTTGCATACTTCATGCAATCATTGTTTCACCTTCCAACTTTGTTGACACCAGTGTATAATACAGTAAGGTTGGCCTAGAATTCTACTACATTAGTGCTGATTGGTCGCATTGTAGCACTTTACATTGTGATGTAAGGTTTATGTGGTTTTGCTGATGTATGGTCTTTCCCTCCATTCCGCCTCCAGTTAGAATGCAGTAAGGATGTGTGTGGCCTGAGCATTTGCAGCTGGTACAAAAGGGGGCATTGGAGGAGGTAGACCTTGAGGATTTGGATTGTTGAACCGCTAAGGCTGTGGATTCGGTGATCTGGTCATTGTGGTTTCGTTTCAATGTGTCTGTGTCATGTAGAGATTGTTCAGTCTCCAGTAGGAGTAGGATGTCCTCAGATGTATAAGCACCAGACTTGGAGTTAGTGAGGCTGGTGGATACAGTGGTGTGAAGGTGCAGAAAATCCTCGAGCACGTTCATGAGTGTGATACAACAGAGGAAGTTTTGGTTGAGGGTTCCAATGGTGAAAGCCTGCTTAATGTCTTTGCAAATTTGGTGACCCATCTCAGGAAGAGACATGTCCTTTGTGCATTTAGCAGCTAGCGCTTTTTGCAGCAAATTGACCTGACAGATTGGTCCCTTGTTCTTGTGTCTCGGTTTTAAGGTGGTCCAAGCTGCCTTCACCATAGTAGTGCTGCCATTTTCGAGCTTGATGTAGACTCGTTCACTGGGGTCGATGCTTCCAGCGATGATGGACCAGGCTTGGTGATTGTTCGTGAGCCAGGTCTTGTGTGCACATGGTTCAGAAGTAGCTGAGGGGATAGGGGAATCACCTTCAATGTAATAAAAGAGACAGCTACCCATCAAGTGGATAAGCATGTCCTCGTACCATTGTTGATAGTTCCCTTTTGCTTTGCTGAGTTTATTGGCAGTATATGGGGTGCTGGAGTGGTTTAGAGTAATAGATGGGTGTGACTCATCACTTGCAAGAACAACAGTCATATTTGTTGGGAGAGGGGTTTCGACTGTTTCAGGCATAGTGGTGGTAGTGAGTTAATGAGAGGTTTGAAGAGCCTCAAGGCAACAAAGAATATTTGATGTGTCCTAATTAGGTAGTGTGTCGAGTACGCGTCCAGAAGATCTAGTGTTGCCGGAGCTCAGCTTAGCTCGGCTCCCGCTCAGCTTTGCCCAAAGCGGGCAGTGTGGGAGCTTGGAGCTGAGCTAAGCTGCCAAAATGATGGCTCCAGTTCAGGCACAGCGGCTCAAATCATGGCTAGCTAGCAGCTCATCACCAAAAAAAGGAACCTTTACTTTAGTGTTGCAGTTACAGTCAAAAACCTTTAATAAATGAATGGAAGTAATCCAAAGGATAACCATCACTCTCTCAAGTACCCTGATGTCTCTTTGTCACTTTTTCTGGCCATAAAATTTGAGAGATCTGGTTACCTGTATGTGTGACAGCATTTGTTTGTCACATGTCACAACCAAAAAGTCACATATATAACATATCAGCTCTGTACATGCGAGCTCTTGCTCGACAGCCTTCAAAGTTGGCAGAATAATTAGCTACATCAGTGTCCATATTGAGGTCAATTTTCAGAGTAAGAAGGCTTGTACTGTCAAAGCTATGGTTTTGTTTGTATTGTTACTTCCAAAATAGGATACAAGCCGTGGCTGAGCCAGCTATCCCATCAAGGAGCTGGCTCATAAGCGGGGTGCAGCCGCTGGGGACGCCCAAGCGGTGAGAACAGCTCCGCTTGGCTACTTTTGGCTTGGCTTGCGTGGCTCAGCCAAGCCGAGCCAAGCTCCGGCAACACTAAGAAGATCATGTGAGATAAGATGTGATAGATCAGTTTCTTCCATCACTGTATGTGACTAGTGGCCCATAACCTGTAGAAATCTAGATCTAGATCACACAGTAAGGAGTCAATCTAGGTAAAGTAAGTACTAGAGGCTGACACTTAGCAGTGGCAGCAGTCACCTTGCTTGCTGACAATTCAGTTCCTGTAGCTCTGGATCCCAGTGCTACCTATCAACAAAAACTTCTGCAGTAAGAGTATTGACCTGCTTGTCGCTGAACTGCTTTGCAGTTCACTCCTCGCAGATTGACTTATTTTCAACTTGAAAATTCATGAAAATAAACTGCAGTTGCAAGAAAAGTGACCCATTGTTTATACATGTTTGCTTGCTCACATGCGCATTCTGCAAGAAAAGAGCCCATGGCCCCTAGGCTTGTTGTTTGTACATGATTGTCCACTCATGTGCACATTCTGCAAGTCAGAGCCCATGGCCGCTAGGCTCATTGTTTGTATCTGTTTGGTATTTATGACCTTGGGAGACCTTGACAAGCAAGGTGAAGTGTGTATTGGTAAGTAGAGTGGCTCACCTCAGTCTCGGTATAATGGACTGAGGTGTACATAGGCCAATGTATAGTATATATATACTAGATGGAATAAAGGGTGAGCTAAGCATAAAGAGAGAGTGAAAGAAAGAAAGAAAAGGTCTGAGAACCAAATGTGTTCACAGTGTTATGATAATCACAACAGTGATGTGTCGGTGATTGTACTTTATAACACACCTTCCAGAAATAATTTATAAAAGAACAGAAGGAATTGATGCATTAGCCCAGGGGGATTCAAACCTGCCAATTTCACCCAACTTCCCCAAGGATTAGAGGTGCTGTGAGGTTGAGCCAGTGGACCGCTAGGCCATTTGTGTTTTTCTATATTATGGATTCATTGCCCTCAGAAATGCCTGAGAGGTGTCCATCCAAGTGCTTGAAAGCATAGATATGTATAGCATTGTCAATGACCACCTATAGTTATGTATGCAAATGTGCACAGATGATGTGGGCTGATTGTTATACTACTGGGGACCTCTCTAATTTGTAACACATACATACAGAAATAATTGTTTAGTGAAAGTGCATCCATGGGAAAAAAATTGTTACACCATCATCAATATAGCTCAAGGGGGATTCGAACCCCTACCAATCTACCCTCACCCAACTGCGCCCAGCAAGATTTAGACTTGGAGGCATTTGTGAAGCTGAGCTAAGTAGCACTGGACTGCTGCAGCTCTAGTTTACTTATGTTGTATCAAAATAATTGCTCAGTGGAAGTGTGTTCATGAAAAGATATAAATTTGTATCATCCACAGGATGACAGCACAAGGCCAGTCTACCCTCACCCAACCTCCCTGGCAAGATTCAGAGGTATTTGTGATGATGAGTTACTGCTTGGCTATTTACTTACATCATATCAAAATAGATGTTCAGTAGTGTAAGTGCATCCATAAAAAATAACTAAAAAGACTCATGAATCACAGCTCAAAGGGGATTCAAACCCTACCAATTTTCACCCCCAGCAAAATTTGTGAAGTTGAGCGACTGCTAGGCTATTTACAGCTTGGGTTTACTTATGTTGTATCGAAATGATTGTTCATTGATGTGCATCCAGGAAGAATAAAAAAGCTGGACTGATTGTTATTGATAACAGCTCAAAGGGGATTCAAACCCCACCAATCTACCCTCACCCAACTCCCCAGGAAGATTCAGAGGTGTTGTGAAGTTGAGCTACTATGTGCTTGACTATTTACAGCTCGAGTTTACTCACATTGTATCGAAACAATGTGTAAGTGGAAGTGCATCCATAATTTAAAAAGTAGAGGGTTTGCGGGGTCCATTTCACAGCACAAAGGGGATTTGAACCCCCACTAATTTCACCGGTACCCTCCCCTGGCAGGATTCAGAGGTGTTTGTGAAGTTGAGCTACTACTTGGCTATTTACAGCTTGGGTTTAATTATGTTGTATCAAAACAATTCAAGTTGTTTAGTGGAAGTGCATCCATAAAAAACAAGTCATGGCTGAGGCACAGATCAAAGGGGATCCAAACCCCACCAATTTCACCCTCACCCCCCCCCGGCAAGATAAGATTCAGAGGTGTTTGTGAAGTTGAGCTACTGCTTGGCTATTAACTTATGTCATATCGAAACAATTGTTTAGTGAACATGTGTCCACAAGAAAAATTCATTCCCAATATGGAACAGCTCAAGGGGGATTCGAACCCCCATCAATCTACCCTCACCTCAGTAAGATCCAGGGGTGTTGTGAAGTTGAGCTAACACTGGACTGCTTGGCTATTTACTGCTTGAGTTTCCTTACTTCATATCGTAACAATTGTTTAGTGAAAATGCATTCATAAAAAACAAGGTATGGGCAAAGCACAGCTCAAGGGGGATTCAAACCCCCACCAATTTCACCCTCCTATGGCAAGATTCAGATGTGTTTGTGAAGTTGAGCTACTTAGCACTGGACTGCTACAGCTCGATTCATTTACTTACATTGTATTGAAACAATTGTTTAGTGAATGTGTGTCCATAAAAAAAAGTAAAGGTTCACGAGACCCACAGCTCAAGGGGGATTCGAACCCCCACCAATTTCACCCTCACCCAATTCAGAAGTGTTTGTGAAGTTGAGCTACTACTTGGCTATTTACAGCTCGAGTTTACTTATGTCATATCAAAACAATTGTTTAGTGAATGTGTGTCCACAAGAAAATTTTTCATTCCCAATATGGAACAGCTCAAGGGGGATTTGAACCCCCCACCAATTCCACTCACCTGATTCAGAAGCATTTGTGAAGTTGAGCTACTGCTTTGGCTATTTACAACTCAAGTTTACTTACGTCATATCGAAACAATTTGTAAGTGGAAGTGTGTCCATAAGAAAAGAAAAATTATGACTTCATTGAATGGTCAATCCACAGCTCAAGGGGGATTTGAACCCCACCAATCTACCCTCACCTTGGTAAGATTCAGAGGTGTTGTGAAGTTGAGCTACTTAGCACTGGATTGCTACAGCTCAATTCATTTACTTATGTTGTATCAAAATAATTGTTTAGTGAAAGTGCATCCATAAAAAAAAGGAAAGGTTCATGAGACCCACAGCTCAAGGGGGATTCGAACCCCCACCAATTTCTACCCTCACCCAACTCCCCTGGCAAGATTCAGAGGTAAGTATTTGTGAAGTTGAGCTACTTAGATTTGTTTACTTACGTCGTATCGAAACAATTGTTTAGTGAAAGTGCGTTCATAAAAAACAAGTTATGGCAGATTCCAGAAGCACAGCTCAAGGGGGATTCGAACCCCCACCAATTTCACCCTCCTACGGCAAGATTCAGATGTGTTGTGAAGTTGAGCTACTTAGCACTGGATTGCTACAGCTCGAGTATACTTACGTCGTATCGGAACAATTTAAGTAGTTCAGAGCGTGCCGTCCATAAAAATACTCGAACACCCTACAGCTCAAGGGGGAATCGAACCCACCAATTTAATTTCGTCCTCGCCTATAGTAACTCCCCCCGGCGAGGTTCAGAGGTGTTTGTGAAGTTGAGCTAGCCAGTCTTTTTTTTTTTTTGGCGGTAGACCCACCGGCAGAAATAGAGTCGTCCATCTGATAGTCAAAGTAAGTATATATCTTTGGCATTAGCAATAGCATTCAGCTGGGGTACGCCAGTACACGATTATCTACCCCCGCGACAAATTGCAACAACCCAAGCTCCAAAGACCCCAAAATTCGAGGAAAAGAATGGTGGTTATTATATAAATACCGTGGTCCCCCAAATTACACAAAACTCAAAGTGAAGCGCAGCTTCATCTTCTCGTTTCCCCCAATTAATTAACCCCCTCCAACCAACCCCAAACACGCGCTTACTCCCTCTCGAAATGTTTCCCCCGCTTCGGATCCGCCCTCCTCTTCTCGATTGCTTTGCGGAGTTTATGGTATGGACGTACGACGATGACGGGGACTGGGGAGTGGGAGAGGCAGTATCTGTTGGATTGGGTTATTAGTGTGGGTTGGGAGAAGAGGAAGAGTAGGGAAGGGGAGATGTAAAGTGGACGGATCGAACACCCAGAAGGAGTTGGATCGCTCAAAAACGAAACGAAAGAAAGAAAGACTTTACTCACTTGCTAACGCTCCCGATCCCACCGATCCCTCTAACCCATGGTCTGCGGCCACGGGTGCCGACGACGACGGAGTCGGGGCGGTAGAGGGCGATGAGGCGATCTAGGGTGTCTGTTATTTTTCCGGGGATGTATTCGAGGATTAGGGAGAGCTGTTGGTGTGCGTTAGTTGCGGATGATATGGCGACGTATAAAAAAGACGGCACACGACCACCAACGCCACGCCAAGGCTCACCTTTCTATCAACAGCAAACTCCGCACTCTTCTCCTGCACACTCCTCATCAACTCCCTCGCCTCCTCCCTAACACCATCATGATCCCTCTCCAACACATCCTCATCCACACCCCTAAACACGATCAACTCATCCCCATCCTGTACTAAACTCTCCAAACACCACTCCAGTGCCTCACGGCCCGATTCGTCGGGGGACGCAGCGCAGAGGAAGACGCGGGTGTTTCGGGAGCGTTGGTAGCCGGATGATTTTGCGGAGAGGGTGAATGAGAACATGGATGCTAGGGGGTTTTCGAAGGTGTCGAAGGAGACTTTGGGTGTGTATGCCGTTGTTGTTGTTGTTGAGGAGGGACAGGAGAGGTGGGATGTTGCGCTGTTGGGTGGTGGGAGAGGTAGGGAAGTGTGCATTGGTGTTGGGGGCAGGGAGGATTGGGGTGATTGCGTCATAGGGGAGGTGGGTCTGGAGTGGTGTTTTAGGGCGCTGCGGAGGTGGGCGTGGGTGTGGGTTTGGTCGGTGTCCATCGTTGCGGGGGAGTTTTTCTTGGTAGAACGACGGAAGGGTTTGTTATGTATGAGCGGAGTTTGAACAAGGGTTGTATTCTCTTTCTCTTTCCACCTGATTATGCCGGAGGAGAAAGAGTCGACGGAGATTACTCCAGATACTACGAGCTCAACGTCAACGCCAGAGGCTCAATCAACAACGCCAGAAGCACAACCATGGCAAGCCATCTTCTCACCCCAGCACGGCGCATACTATTTCTACAACACACTCACAAACGAAACGACGTGGGATAACCCTCTTCAGCCTTCCCCCGTTCCTTCAACCTCTACCTCTTCCTCTTCTCTTCCTATTCCACCTGCTGCTGCTGACGAAGAACCGCCGACGACGACATCAGCGCAAGCGCACTACGCAGCGTTGCAAGCTGCAGCCATCGCGCAAGGTATCGACCCCGCACTTGCCCATCTGGATCCCTCGCTTTTGGCTGGGGCGGGTCCGTCTGCTGGGGCGGTTACGGACGGTTCGGGTGAGTCTTTGCGTCCTCCTTCCTTTCACCTCTCTCCCCTCCCTTCGTTCCCGTCTCCTCCGTTCCTCCCTTTACGCATACACCTCCCTTTCTCTTCACCTTCTCCCCCCTCCCCGTCTCCCCACAAACCCACCTAACACCCTCCCCAACAGGCCTCCCAACATTCACAGCCAAATTCAACGCCCGCACCGGCCAATTCACCCGTCCCGACGCACGCGAACCAGGTCATTTATCAGAATACGATCGTGCCCGGCGCATGAGCGAGTTTTACTTTGATGTAGCGGCGTGGGAAGGCGAGTTGGCTAGACGTGGGGGGGCGCTTATGGCTGAGGAAGATGCGGGTCAGGGAGGGAGTGGGGATGCGCAGGGGGAGGGGAAGAAGAGGAAGAGGCCTACTAAGAAGGATTTGGTGAGTTTCTTTTTATGTGTTTGAGAGGAGAGGAGGAGAGCTGATGATTTGGGGAATATGTAGGAACGGTTCAAGGCGCAGAAGAAGCTTAAGAAGATTGCAAAGACGGCTTGGTTGAGGACGTGATGCTGTATGAGGCTTGTTGTTGCGGGCTTTGGGTGAGATTGAGAGGGGGGGGAGGGGAAACTGAGAGATCGGGAGGAGGGAGGAGGGAGGGAAGACTGGGAGACTGGAGCGGGAGACCGGGTGCGGAAGGAGAACTGGAGACTGGATCGATACTGGGGAGCGGGGTAGCCGCGTACGTAGATAGACAGAGGTGTCCGATACACAGTGCGGAATGCAAGTCCAAACCATTCATTCAAACTAAATACAGTACACCCAAAATTTGAAGATTTTGGAATCTGGAAACTTTGACATCGACGGCTTTTACTTTTTCAATCGAATCGGAAGCGCAAAGAAAAACATGAGTACGCAAATATCGATGATAACCGACGGTGGGATTCGAACCCACAGCCAGATGGATGTATATATATGGTGATAGGAAAGCAACGCGCTACGATTGCGCCACGCCGGCTGACGCAAGTTTGGAGATGTTGGAGAATGTGAATGAGTCATATTTGCTCATCATAGAGCAATGAAAGAGATCTTCCTTTCGTTTGTCTAGTCTAAAATCTTATTTTGAGTGTTCCGCGTTGGAGAGGTGCCGAGTGACCCGATGGGAATGCTTCCTCGGAGCTCGGTCGCAATGCTCGAGGTGAATGATGATGATGGGAATGTCTGCCTACAAACAGTGTATCTACTCCTAAGCCCTTGCCAAACACAACCAAACATGCATCCCACAGTGTTGGAGTGTCGAGGCCCGACACTCCAGCGTTGGGTTAAAGATAATCGATAATCAGACACAGACGTGCAAAATAAATCATTCCTTGAGTCGTGTTAGAATAATACACCTAAAGTCATTTCATTACGGCGCGGCGAAATGGGTTCAAACAATCGATTCCACCTTTTTCCGTTCCAGCCCGCTGTTTATGTAAAATTCATAGATGATTCAAATCTGTTGTATGTCCATTGTATCACGCCTGGTTACGTGACCGGGTGAACCGTGTAATGACCCCCTTCACTGTGCACCCCAGGTCAGGTTATTTTCCCTGGGTGTAAAACTGGGTATATAGGTTATAATAACTACTTTCTCGGACTACAATCCCTGGGTGGTAAATAAAATAACTTGGTCAACAGGTTGTTGATACCTGGTTAGAATAACTTGTTATATGACGGAAATAACCCGCTCCCAGGTCTCGTTGTAACAGTTATTATAACCTGTTAACCACGCTGTACTGTAGAGGCAAAATAGCTGGGAAAACGGGTTTTCTCACTCCTTGTCCAACAGATAGAAATCACCACATTGAATTTTGATTGGACTGGTATAAAAAACTTGGTAGACAGATGAAATTGAGGCTATAACTGAGTGTTTATATACAACCTATCTACACGGTATCGACCAACTTACGATGCTTGGATGAACGTGCCGTTGCTTCCCAAACCCTCATTCCCAGACTGAGCCCCCTGATAATCCATATCATCGTCATCCTCGTCCCCATCCCTGCCATAGCCCGCCAAAATTTCCCCTTTCCCCTCGCCCAGTCTGCAGGGAAGCGCTTTCGTGTATTTGAGCGGGTCTGGCACATTGAACTCAATTAGTAAGTCAGTTGCCTCCGGAGTAAAGCACTTACCAAACGGAAGATGTTAGCCAGTTTATGATGGACGATGTCAAGAGGTCAGCCGGTGCCGCTGGATGGGGGAGGGAGAAAGAGGTTGTTTGATCCCATTCTCACGTTTGTTGAGTATTATATATAGAGATTGCGTCGTATGCTCCACAATGACATCAAAGCTCCCCCGAGATATATACTGATACACCTGGTTTACAAGTTATGAAGATCACTTGTTGAACAGTTATAATTTAACTTGGTATCTACTGGTTTCGAGGACAAGGTAAAATTTACTGGGTTTCCGGGTGATCTTAATAACCTGGTAATATCTGGGTATTATTACTGGGTTCAGAATAACCAGGTTGGTACCCGATCTTCCGGTGAAAGGTTGAAAGCACTCGGTGATCGGGGGAAAACAACCCGAACTGGGGTGCACAGTGCTTGACGAGCCGTCAGTCAACAGTCACAAAAGCTGTATATACTACCCCGAACTTTTAAAATGATCACCATTTTTCAATTCATGTTGGCGGTGCATAGAAAGTGATGGGACTGACTCAGGTTGTAGGAACATTACGATTGAGAAATGCATCATCATGTAAGGCATCATGTAGTTGCTGCAGTTCCCGAATTAAGGTGTACGCAGCCTGTCAACGGTTCACGAAACCGATCACCATCCCAGCGTCTGAGAAACGAGCCCTATTGTACTATGGGGATGAACGACCACCCGCGAACCCGTTTGAAGTGGATAATAATTGATGACGCTCGACGCGCCATGCGATAACGTTTGATATTACAGCAAGGGGTACGCACCGGCAATTGCCGACATATGGGGTAGGGAGAGGGGGTGGTAGGTCGAGCGCTTATCCAAATTAAAAAAATTGTTGATTATTTTGCTTGATTTCGCCTTATGAGAGTCCAGAAAGTTGTTGTATCTCAATCTATCAAATCCCTATGAGCGTAGCCTGCGTAGGGGCCAAGTAGGGCACAGAGAGCCCAGATTCTCATATTTTGTCCCCGTTTGGCGCATCTGACATCAGTGGCTGGGTCGGCCTGGTTCAACAACAAACGTTCACACCAAGAAGTTCACTCTGCCATCACTCTATTGTGAGCGCTTACCATTGGCCCTCCTCCTCCTCCCGCTAAATGTCAAATTTGTGTCAACTTTCGTAAGTTCAATGGTCTGCAAGTGGATTTTGTGCTATGCTTCAGCATTGAAGCACGTTGCACGCAGTCCGTGCACATTTACTTCTGTTCCGTCAGGTCTCAATTTTTTTTAGATCGCTTTTATTGTGATAAATACAGGATAAATGCTAATATAAATACAGTATCACTTGAGTTGCCGTGGTCTCATTGAAAGGCCCGCCGGAGGGTGGTTTTGCGATAACGAGTGCAAGGCGAACGCTGGAGGTAGGGTGGGTTCTACACGCTAGCGACGGCGTAGGGTCTAGATAGGTGGTAAACACGTGATAGATTTCCTTTTTGGGAAGCCTAGGGAGGGGGGGTGGGTCGATGGCGCCTTATCCAAGTAAAACAACCCCGTGTATAGGATTTTTTTTTTGCGTACCCCTTGTATTACAGTCAAAGCTGTGGCTGGCCGATCCGTCACCTATTGAGGGCATGGGGGAACAAAAAGAGCAAGCACTAAAGGCCATCCTTCGGGTTCGCACGTTAAAATACATACATTTATTATCTGATAAATTATGGGTTTGGCCAATATCAGTCAGCGCAAAAATTCAATAACATCCGACGGACCCCGTGTTACGTTCTTTGTTTCTTTTTTCGGCGGTTTTTTATGACGAGAATCAAGCCCTTGAACGCGCTGAAGGTTCACTTCAAACCAGCAACAGGAGAAGCCGGCGTAGCGCAATGGTAGCGCGTTGCTTTCCTATATGTACAATTATTCATGCCAAAAGGCAAAGGTTGTGGGTTCGATCCCCATCGTCGGTTATGTAAAGGACATACAAAAATCTCTTTTGTTCGGTTCACATCCTGGAAAGCCCCAGGTCTCTTCGATGCATGGTGCATTTAATCAATCCCTCGACTCTCTCAAGGAAAACCAGACGAAGACACTGCTCACTAACTTTGCACTCGCCCACATCACCTTCTATGCTACTCCGAGGTCCACCATTCGACCGAAATATGAAGGAATCCTGTTTCTTTGCTGCGCATGTGCGCACCTTTTCGTAAAAATTTCACCGGGCTTCGTCAATCCGCCTTCCACACGTACGTCGAGATTTGTTCGTTTATATATCCACTTTGCACGCTTGCATTTGGATAAATGTGCGTCCGGATGGTGGGCGGGGGACTTGTTAATATGGGATGGGTTTTGAATAAAATGTGAGATGGCACTGCGTAACGACTCGTTTCCGGCCTGAAAGCGGTCTGATTTGCACGGAAGTAGCCATTTTCCGACGTTTTAATTTACTTGTCCGTTCATTCTAGTTTCATATGGGTATATACTTGTGACGCAAGAAATGACGAGAAATAAAATGAGAAATAAAAAGACAGCGACTGTGGATGTCCTTGACATGCATTCCCTAAGACTTCAAATGCGGCGCTTCGTGTCTTGGATGATGGTTAGCAGAATGGTAGGGTTTTCAGCGGTTTCCCTCACGTGAAATCGGTACCCCCGGCCACGGGCATATATATAGTTTGGGTCGCTTTAGAGACATAGGAGAGTTGGGGAGTCTTCTCAACTAAACTCTCGCGGATGTCGCGTCGATTGGCCTGGAAAGCGCTCCTAATTTCGTCTACCTCCGTAAACTTGTCCCCAGATCCATGATGACCAACAAATTCAAGGTTGGAAAAGATCTGATCAATATACCGGGAAATGACGATGAGTTGTGTCATCGTTAAAGGCTGCGCGCTAGGCTTGGCATCTCCAATGTAGAGTGCCTTCAGAGGGTGGGAGCGTTGCCGAACTGCAGCAATATTATTGTGGGATGGTGGCAGATTAGCTAGTAGATCGATGGCAAGCTTGAGCTGAATGAGATCGGGACAGTTGCAAGCCAAGATATCGAGGGAATGGAAAGTAGGATTTTTCCCGAAGAACCTAGATTGGTTCTGACTCGAAGGAATTGGAGGTAAGATGAGTGTTTTTAAAATGGGGAGATTGGATGATATTTCTTGAATCACCTCATCTCCACCGGTCATTGAATAAACGCTGATATCCAATTCTTCGAGTTGTGACAGTGTTAAAATCGGGCGAATATCAGCGATGGTGAGAGCAACAAAAGAACTTTCGGTTTCGGCGATATGAATTGACGATATTGATGGCGAATGAGCAATGCCCTTGAAGCATTCCGAGTCCAACTCGGACGTGGAACCATGGAATCCACTGGTTTTCTCAACTCGAATCTTTATGACCATAGACTTCAGCCTGAGTGCACGAAGCTGGCTGAGAACATGGCAGAGAGCAGTTGGACTTCCTGTGATCTGTAAATTGTTGAGATGGTCGAGCTTCAACAATGGTACTCCGTCTGTGGCTCTTGCTACTCCCATTCCTTTGCCGCGTTTACTTTTACGAGATGGTGAGGTCAAGGGTAGGGCCCTATGCCCCACCGGTGGGGCATAATCGATCGTAAGGTCCGATAGATATTCGAGACTTGCGAGCGTGCCAAACAAAGAGTCAGGAGAGGAGGTTAGCTCAGGGAAACGAATCTCCAATGTACGAATATTGCGTAAGTGCTTTAAGAGCGTCAACGATTCCGTGCCAAGATTGCCATGAAGAATTAGGCATCGAAGTGTGGGGGCTAATTCAGCAACTAAAAATGAGAGGTATGATGCAAAAAACTGTGGATCAGATGTTGCCTGGGAATGTAGCTCCACAGATTCCAGCGATGGAGAGGACACGAGAAATGCAGCAGATAAACCAATGTTAGGAGGGGGTAAACCAATGCTAGGACCGCCGAATATACCACTGCTGGGAGGCTTAAGAATGTCGGGAATGCAAAGGCGTTGCAGTGCGGGAAAAAGTGGAGAGGATGAATGTGACGGCCGAACCTGCGCGATACGCAGGTAAACATAATCCGACACCGTAATGCTACTATTGCCAGGCCGAGGTGCTAATGCAGTGAGAAATTTGATGCGGCGAGCGTAGTAATCAAATCGTTCCCAGTGTCCCTTTGCGATTACTCCAGTGAAAACCTGAAATATTCTTATCAAAGATGATCAGTAAATTGAAAACCTTTCGCTCACGTAGACATTATTGATAGGAACAAAGGACGGTAAAAGCTTCAGGAGGGGCATGAGAGAATCAAGGGAAGACCAAAGGGAATTCATGGCTGGCTCCATAAATGCCTTGCTAGTCAAGGCTGCAAAAAGCAAGCTCTTCCGAGTGGCCTCCAAAGATTGATCATGTTTAAAGTGCTCGAGTACAACACCAAGAATATCTTGATTTTCAAATATCTCAGATGGCGCTGGCGCTTGAGGCTCATATTTAAGTTGAGACAGATCAGAGTTGGAAAGCTCTCCGCTGACTTTTGTAGTGAAGGTAAAAGGACCTGAGATTGGGGATTCGATGGACATGGGAGTGGGTTGAAACGTGCACCCACACGAAGACGCGCAAACGCCGCCTAAGCGCAATAGAGCCAAACAACGCAATACGAGAACCTTCGAAAAACTTTTGTCACATGCACGTTAGAGCAAGCGTTCTTTCTTTTGCTAAGCGTTTGGCTCAGCATTGCCAGGTAATTCATGTTTTACATCGTCATACCTTGTTCACATTTCTAACGATTGATTCGTAGTGAAACACGTCGACATCGGAGCGGCTTGTCAACCGAGTTATTTTGCGCAATTATGATGACAAGCGTCTGCTTGCTCGAACTACTATCATGGTGCCACGTCTCCAGTATAATCCGTAAATTCATATCTTCTGTTTCCACGATTTCTAACGACGGTTTGTAGTGAAGCCTTTCAATGGATAACTGAAGAATAGCTGTCATAGGAAAGCAACGCGCTACCATTGCGCTACGCCGGCTTTTCCAGTGCTCTCTTTGAAGTGGCTGTTCAGCGTGATGGGGCTCAACAAATGAATCTTGAGCAAATCTTGAGCAGAAAAAGACGCGCCGAAGGATGGCCTTCAATACTTGCCCTTTGTTCCCCCATGCCCTCAATAGACAACAGATTGACCAGCCACTGCTTTGACTATAATATCAAACGTTATCGCATAACGCATCGAGCGTCATTGATTATTAGGTATCCCCTTCCAAACGGCTTCGCGGGCAGGCCGCGGTCGATCATCTCCAGAGAACACTGACAATACGTCTGAATGATTCCGTTATCCATTAATAGGCTGGGTACTGCAGAAACCACAGGATGCCTTGCATAATAAAGCAGGACGATGCGTTTTTCAATCATCATGTTCCTTCCTAACTTCTAAGTCGGTCCCATCACTGTTCCATAAGCGCGGCCAACATGAATTGAAAAATGATGATCATTATAAAAGTCGGGGGTAAGTAGTATGTATGTTTTTGTGGCTGTTGACCGACGACTCGTCAAAGGGGGTCATTATGCAGTATCACTTGTCCGTTTCGGGGTTTGCTCTGGGTAGACGCACAGATAAGGTTTCGTGTAAAACTCTCATGGCAGGTGTGACTAGTGTTTGAAAGTCCGGTTCGGTCCGGTTTTTTGATGCCCAGGGGCGTTAACCGTAACCGTAACCGGTCTGCCTTTTCCCCAGAAGTCAAAAGACCAGACCGGACCGCAAAAAGACCGCAGACCGCGGTTTTTTGCGGTCTATAGACCGGTTTCGGTCTGCATCAGTTTTAACCGGTTTATGACCGGTCTTTAGGCCAATATTTTAAAATTATGAATCGGTAAATTTATTAACATCTCTAATAGCTTCAAAACGAGCCCAAGAACGTTAAATTCCGTTAGGAATTGGTGCTTCTATAAAATAAGTCTGGTACATCTATTATTCCCAAAAGTAATTTACATTTTAATTCATATCTCTCTCGTTTTTTTACCAAATCGTACGTTCTTGGGTGCGTTTTAAAGGGTATTTAAGGGGCTACAAAAGGCCGGTCCAAACCGGTCAAGACCGGTTCACGTTAACCGGTTTTTTTGCGGTCTTTACATTTCAAAAATAAAAGACCGTAACCGCAGGTCCGGTCTTTTGCGGTCTTGGTCCGGTCTGGTTACGGTCTTTTTCCAGTCACGAGACCGGACTTCCAAACACTAGGTGTGACAATTTCGCTAACTGAAGTTTTCTCCATCGACTCTATCTTTACAATGAAATTCTCCATTTTCACCGTGACCGCTGCCCCGTTGGTGCCAAGGTGCGCTCCAACTACGCCTCTCGAGCGTGGTTCCGGGTGCACCACACAAGTCAGCAATTCCTTATTTTCTCATTATTTGAATAATTTTTGTATTGGTCAGCTGCAGTCGAAGGGGAGATATTTATGCTTTCATACGCCATACATAGACATACAACAGGTTTCAATCATCTATGAATTTTATGTAAACAGCAGGCTGGACGGAAAAAGGTGGAATCGATTGTTTGAACCCATTCCGCCGCGCCGTAATGAAATGACTTTAGGTGTATTATTCTAACACGACTCAAGGAATGATTTGTTTTGCACGTCTGTGTCTTGATTATTTTCAACCCAAGGCGGAACACTCAAAATAACTTTCAGGAAACTAGACAAACGAAAGGAAGGTCTCTTCAAGGGGGTGGCGGAACGTGGAATTTGGATATACAGTCGCAAAAGAAATTAAGGTCCAAGTCTTCAACCCCCCCCTCCCTTTACCCCTCAAATCCGGTATGTTCTTCCCACCCTCCTATGTTTTTCTTAGAAGGAACCATCGGCTATTGGCAGCCGTCACCTCCGAACGTCCTTCACCAATGACAGCGACGACTTTCCGTGCCAGTTCTCCACGTTCATCGAACTCGTCGACTGGCCTGGCGCCATGCCAACCACCTATGCGCCCGACATCGACTCCATCGCCTTCAGGGTGTCATGCCCAGGAAACATCTGTAAACGCCATGCACGTCCTGACGTGCGGAAGGCCGAGCAGCAGTGCACGCGGCTCATCAAGACTCTCACGTACGCTGGCCTCAAGGCTGTTGGCCGACGAGGAGAAGCGCTTGGTCATCTCCTCATCTTTGTGAGCAGTATATACATTTATGCGAAGTACTTACACAGTTTGTTTTGTTTCGCTGTAGAAGCTATTCTTAATTCTATCCATGTTTTTCCGCCTGACTTTGAGATTTTATCGAAAATTACTGACCGAATATGTGTACAACTTACCAAATCAAGCTTCAAGGGTGCTCTGGTAGTGTTGCAGACCATTTAAATGTTTTTTATTAGAGAAGGTCACAAAAAAATTTAAGGCCTCTGGCGGATGCCCCCCCCCCAACCCTATATCCGGGATCCACGTTCCGCCACCCCCTTGGGTCTCTTTCATTGCTCTATGATGAGCAAGTACTGTATGACTCATTCAGGTCCTCCAACATCTCCAATTTTGCATAAGCCGGCGTGGCGCAATGGTAGCGCGTTGCTTTCCTATCGAATAGAGATACCCGTACAAGGCAAAGGTTATGGGTTCGATCCCCATCGTCGGTTATATAAAACGCTTGGGCCATGATTCTTTTGTTCGGTTCGCACATTCTGGAAAACCCCCAGGTCTCTTCGATGCATGACGGACGCATCATCAAACCCCTGACTCTCTCAAGGAAAACCAGATGAAGACACTGCTCACTAACTTTGCACTCGCCCACATCACCTTCTATGCTACTCTGAGTCCACCATGCGACCGAAACATAAAGGAATCTTCTTTGCTGCGCATGCACGCACCCTCATGAAATTTTCACCGAGCTTCGTCAATCCGCCTTCCGCACGTACGTCGAGATTTGTTCGTTTATCCACTTTGCACGCTTGCATTTGCGTCCGAATGGTAATAAAATGTAAGATGACACCACGTAACGACGAACGTTTCCGGCCTAAAAGAGGTCTGTCTTGCACGCGAGTAGCCATTTTTTGACCGTTTAATTTTACTTGTCCGATTATTCTAGTTTCATATGGGTATATACTAGGACACAAGAAATGACAAGACCTAAAATGAAATAAGACTGAGGATGTCCTTGACATGCATTCCCTAAGACTCCAAATGCGGCGCTTCGTAACTTGAACGATGGAGCAAAATGGTAGGGTTTTCAGCGGTTTCCCTCATGTAAAATCGGTATCCCCGGCCACACGGGGATATATGTGGTTTGGGTCGCTTGAGAGACATAGGAGGGTTGGGTCCCCTGGGAGACATAGGAGGGTTGGGCAGTTTTCTCAACGAAACACCCACAGATGTCGCGTCGAACGGCTTGGAAAGCGCCCCTGACTTTGTCTACCGTCTTAAACTTGTTACCAGATCCATAATGTCCAACAAGTTCAAGGTTGGGAAATATCTGATCAGTATAGCGGGAAATGGCGACGAGTTGTGTCGTCGTCAAAGGCTTCCCGTTAGGGTTGGCATCTGCGATGTAGAGCGTCTTCAGAGGGTGGGAGCGTTGTCGAACCGCAGCAGTTTTATTGCGGAAGGATGGCAAATAAGCCAGTGGATCGATGGCAAGCTTGAGTTGGATGAGATCGGGGCAGTTGTCAGCCAAGATACCGAGAGAACGGAAGGTAGGATGTTTCGGAAGGGACCCAAGTTGGTTCCATTTCGAAGGCAAAATGAGTGTTTTCAAAATGGGGAGGTTGGATGATAGTTCTTGAATCACCTTATCACCACCGGTCATCGAATAAACGCTGATATCTAGTTCTTCAAGTTGTGACAGTGCTAAAATCGGACGAATGTTGGAGATGGTGAGAAAAACAGAATAGTTTTCGGTTTCAGAGATACGAATTGACGACAAGGATGGTGAACGAGAAATGCACTTGAAGCACTCCGAGGACAACGGCGTGAAAGGACAGGGTTCACCGGTTTTCTCGCCTCGAATCTTTACGACCATTGACTTCAGCCTGAGTGCATGAAGCTGGCCGAGAACATGGTAGAGAGCAGTTGGACTTCCTGTAATCTGTAAATTGTTGAGCTGGTCGAGCTTCAACAATGGAACTCCCGATGTGGCTCTTGCTATTCCCATGATTTTTTTGCGTAATGGTGAGATCAAGGGTGGGGCAGAATCAAGTATAAGGTCCGATAGATATTCGAGACTTGCGAGCGTGCCAAACAAATCTGGAGAGAAGATTAGCTCAGGGAAACGAATCTCCAATGTACGAATATTGCGTAGGTGCCTTAAGAGTGTTAACGACTCCGTGCGAGGATTTCCACGAAGAATTAGGCATCGAAGAGTGGGGGCTAATTCAGCAACTAAAAACGAGAGGTATGATGCAAAGAAATGTGGATCAGATGTTGCCTGGGAATGTAACTCCACAGATTCCAGCGATGGAGAGGACACGAGAAATGCAGCGGATAAGATATTGCTAGGAGGGATGAGAATATCGGGAATGCGAAGGCGTCGCAGTGCGGGAAAAAGTGGAGAGGATGAATGTGACAACCGAGCCTGCGCGATACGCAGGTAAGCATAGTCGGACACCGTGATGCTATTGTTACCAGCCCGATATGTGAGTGAATCCAGAAATTTGACGCGGCGAGCGTAGTAATCGAATCGCTCCCAGTGTCCCTTTGCGATTACTCCAGTGAAAATCTGAAACAATATTATCAAAGATGATCAACAAATTGAAAACCTTTGGCTCACGTAGACATTATCGATAGGAACAAAGGACGGTAACAGTTTCAGGAGGGGCGCGAGAGAATCAAGTGAAGACCAAAGGGAATTCATGGCTGGCTCCAAAAATGCCTTGCTGGTCAGGGCTGCAAGAAGCAAATTCTTCCGAGTAGCCACCAGAAATTCATCATGCTCCAAGAATTCGAGTACAACACCAAGAAGATCTTGGTTTTTAAATATTTCAGATGATGGCGTTGGCACTTGAGGCTTATATTCAAGTTGAGACAGATCAGAGTTGGGAAGCTCTTCGCTGACTATTGTTGTGAGGGGAGAAGGACCTGAGATTGGGGATTCGATGGACATGGGGAGCGGGTTGAAAGGGCCACACATTTGTGCGAAGTTCAACCGAGCCAAACAACGCAATACGAGAAGCTTCAAAAAAACTTTTCGTATCCACGTCACCAATCACAGTTTTCTTTTGCTTAGCGTTGGGCTCAGCATTGCCTCAAGCCTCAAGGTAATTCATGTTTTACATCGTCATACCTTATTCACATTTCTAACGATTGATTTGTAGTGAAACACGTCGACATTGGAGCGGCTTGTCAACCGAGTTATTTTGCGCAATTACGATGACAAAAGTCTGCTTGCTTGAACTACTATTATGGTGCCACGTCTCCAGTATAATCCGTAAAGTTCATATCTTCTGTTTCCACAATTTCTAACGACGGTTTGTAGGAAAGCACTTACTGAGCCGGCGTCGTCACGTTGACTTGTGAGCCTGGCATCATGTCGGTTTGGAAGGAAACCAAGATATTTCGCGCAATGACGATGACAAGATGATAAACGCAGAGGAAAGGTTCCGCTCGATCGAGGGCATTACCAAGTGGTGTCTCAGGTTACCCCCCCCCCCCCCCCCCCCCGTGAACCAAACATCGCCCAACTAAAGGCGACGCGATATCTTTCCTTCTTGTTTATTAACTACACCGCGAAATATCGCCCCGCCTTGGTTTATATCCATCCCGCCTTGGTCACTTTCCGTTCGAACTAAGTCAATGGGCTCATATATCCACGGCGAGCAACTAAATGATATCCATGAAGAACCGGAAGCCAGCACCTCCTATGCCCACTCCTCGCCATCGGACCTCTCACCCCCAGCTGCGCTGCGCCGTTCTATCAGCGAGCGCCCAGCGACATCATCAAATCTCTTGTCAAGACTCCATCCACCGCACGCCCGACAACGCTCCTGCTCGCATGTCGCTGTAGACTTTTTCGACCCTATGGGCGTGCGCAGACTCTCGCATTCGTTGGCAAAGACACCCAGTCGTGCTGCAACTGAGGTCGAGGAAGCGCCTTCCTTGGATTCAGAGGAAACGGTTATTGTGGGCGAAGGTTTTGATTTCGAAAAGGGGTTGAGGCAATATCTGAAGAAGTAGGTCTTAACCGCTCTTGGTGGTCTCTTGTTAATGTTGATGGGGCACTGTTTAGACGCGATGAAGCGGGTGTCAAGTCTCGTCGCTTAGGTGTTATGTTCCAAGATCTTCGAGTTGTTGGTTTAGGTGCCACGGCGAGTTATCAGCCAACGCTTGGATCGCTGCTTAATCCTATCAATATCATTGGTGCTATTCGTTCTGCGCGGCATCCGGCGTTACGAGATATCATTAGTGGATTTCATGGCGTAGTTCGCCCGGGGGAAATGTTATGTATGTCCCCATCCACTCTTTACGAAGTTATTCTCATATTTGTTCCAGTGGTTCTCGGACGACCTGGGTCAGGTTGCAGCACTTTCCTCAAAACCCTTGCCAACCAGAGGGAAGAATATCACTCTGTAGAGGGTGACGTCTTCTACGACGCTCTAACTCCCCAACAAATTCTCAAACACTATCGAGGGGACGTTCAGTACTCCCCTGAGGACGATATTCACTTCCCCACGCTCACTGTTGACCAAACGATCCATTTTGCAGCAAAGACACGAGCGCCACACCCACGCATCCATGATCAGACGAGGAGCCAGTTCACGAGGAGGATCACTGACGTGTATTGCACTATCTTTGGACTCAATCATGTGAAAGATACGCCTGTTGGGGACTCGTCAATCCGGGGGGTGAGTGGGGGTGAGAAAAAACGAGTTTCGTGCGTATACCCCTCCATATGTCTTGTTCGATCGTGTCTCATCCACGACTAGTATCAGCGAAACACTTGCTACAAGAAGCCTAATCACCTCTTGGGACAAGTAAGTTTTCCTTTTTCCGTCTCCTTCATCCAGTCAACCATTTCACAGCTCAACCCGTGGCCTCGACTCAAGCACCGCGCTCGAATTCGTGCGTGCCCTTCGCATCGCCACTGACCTCGTGGGCAACTCTACCATTGTCTCTATCTACCAAGCCGGGGAGCAGCTCTATGAGGTCTTCGATAAAGTCTGTCTCATTTATGAAGGCCGCATGGTATATTACGGGCCAGCCAATCAGGCAAGGCAGTATTTCCTCGACATGGGTTACGTACCGAAGAACAGGCAGACGACGGCGGATTTCTTGGTCTCAGTCACTGATCCTCTTGGGAGGCACACAAGAGATGAAATCAAAATGGAGGAAGGTGACATAGAGGGGGCAAAGGAGAAGAAGAAGGGAGTTGCGCTGGACCACGAGAGTGGGAGTCCGGCCAGAACGTTGCAGCCTATTCCGCATACCGCGGATGAGTTTGAGGCGTACTACATGGACTCCGAAGTCCGGAAATGGAATTTGGAGGATATGGCTGCGTACAAGAGGGACTTCGTGGACAGCAAGGAGGTGGCCGCTGCTTTTGAGGAGAGCGCGAAGGAGGAACATGCGAGGCATACTAGACGGCAGGTTTGTTTTGGCTCTTTGTCAGCGTGTGTTGGGTTTTGATGCAGTGAAACATAGAGCCCGTATACAATCTCACTTCCTATGCAGGTCAAGATCGTGCTGCTGAGGCGCGTACAGATCATGAAGGGCAATTGGACAGCACAGGCTCTCCAGACGATGTGAGCTCTTATCGTGCCGTTGCACTACCCTCCTGACTTTGCGTTTTTAGGACCTTCGTCTTGCAAGCCGTCATCATTGGTACTACTTTCCTCAAAATCCCAGACACCACCGCCGCCTACTTCTCCCGTGGCGGTGTTCTTTTCTTGTACGTCCCCTTTCACATTTGTACGAATCTGCTAGTTTTGACTCCGCGAATAGCGCTGTCTTCCTACCTGCCCTATTTACAATGTCCGAAATTCCAGCATTGTTCTCTCAGAGACGTATCATCCACCGGCACCAGAACGCCGCGATGTATCACCCTATGGTTGAGGCAATTGCGATGGCGCTCGTGGATGTTCCGTTCACGTTCGTGACTGTCGTGCTGTTCACGATCATCCTATACTTCGTGGTGAGATTGCAGACGAGCCCTGGGCAATACTTGTGCGTCCAATCCAACTACAATCTGCTTGATCTCTTACTTTTTATGACAGCACTTTCTTCATTTTCATCTTTACGGTATCAATGTCTATGAAGGCCTTCTTCAGAGGTCTGGCTGCGATGTTCAGGAAGGAAGCCCCTGCTCAGGCTGTTGCGGGTGTGTTGCTTCTCGCCCTGTCTCTGTATACCGGATATCAGATTCCAATGCCCTCAATGATTGGGGCCCTTCGCTGGATCTCTTACATCAACGTCAGTGCCTTCTTTCCGTGGTGGTGAATTTGAGGTTGATGATTGCCTTTAGCCAGTACGATATGCCTTTGAGGGTATCATGGTGAACGAGTTCCATACGCTTGATGGGGTGTGCTCGACCCTTGTCCCATCTGGTCCTGGCTATGAGACTGTGTCGCTGGCCAATCAGGTCTGCACGGTGCTTGGCTCTCAGCAAGGTCAGGATCGAGTCAACGGGAACGCCTACGTCAATCTGTCATTTGAGTATAGTTTCAGTCATCTTTGGCGGGTGAGTTTCTCCTTGCCCACCACTTCTTTTCTTGCTCCGAAGGCTCATTGGTGGTGAAGAACTACGGCATTCTAGTTGCTTTCGGGATCTTCTTCCTCGTTTGCCTTGTCTTCTTCACGGAAATCAACACCGCCGTAGCTAGTGAAAGCTCCGTGATCTTATTCAAGCGCGGCTCTAAAGCCGAACTGGTGAAAGACGCCGAAGCAGCCGTGACCTCAGGAGACGACGAAGAAAAGGAGAAGCCACGTCGGCCAGACAGCCAAGAGGTTATGGAGGCCGACGAGGAGAAAGCCAAGGAAGCGATGATCGACCAGCCAAAGATGACGAATGTGTTTTCGTGGCAACATCTGCAGTATACGGTAAACGTTGGGGGGGAACAGCGGGTTTTGCTAGATGGCGTTTCGGGGTATGTTGCTCCACGGAAGTTGACGGCTTTGATGGGGGAGTCGGGCGCTGGTAAGGTTAGTGGTACTTCACCATCTTTATTGGGTATGCTGTCTTATTGAGGTCTGGCAGACTACACTCTTGAACGTCCTTGCCGAACGCGTCAGCACGGGTGTCATCGGCGGGAACCGTTTCTTTAACGGCCAGGCGTTACCTATTGACTTCCAGGCACAGACTGGTTACGTGCAGCAGATGGACACACATCTGCCGACGACGACTATCCGGGAGGCGTTGGTCTTCTCTGCGCGTCTTCGCCAACCTCCGTCGGTCTCTGTTGCAGAGAAAGATGCTTAGTGGGTTCAATCTCAATTCTATAGCTATCGATAAATGACTGATTTTGCCTTCGTCGTAGTGCTGAGCAATGTTTGAAGATGTGTGGGCTAGACTCGGTGGCGGATGCTATGGTTGGGTCGCTCGGTGTCGAGCAGAGGAAGCGGACGACTATTGGAGTTGAGCTTGCTGCGAAGGTTTGATCTTTTTCGTAAGCTGGGTTGAATGGCGGTCATTGATTAATTTGTAGCCCCAACTTCTCCTCTTTCTGGACGAACCAACTTCGGGACTCGATTCTCAGAGCGCCTGGGCCATCATGGCTTTCCTCCGTAGTCTCGCTGATAATGGGCAAGCTATCCTGTGCACGTACGTCACTCTTTTGACCTACATCACTGCAGATTACTTACTTGCACATTCGCTTCTAGTATCCATCAGGTACTTCCCCCCAAATTCTAATCGTTATTGGCTTCACTGATTTCGTCTTTCGAAGCCTTCTGCGGAGCTGTTCCAAGTATTCGATCGATTGTTGCTCTTAAAGAAAGGCGGTCAAACGGTATATTTTGGCGACGTGGGCAAGAACGCTACTTCTGTTATCGAATATTTCGAAGCTGGGGGCGCGCGGGAATGCCGACCCGGCGAAAATCCGTGAGTAAAGAAGACATGATGATTGCAAACATTTCTTGACTGCCCTTCTAGGGCCGAATTCATGCTTGATGTCATCGGTGCTGGTGCTACGGCCGTCAGCGACCGCGACTGGCACGACGTTTGGCTGCAATCGAAGGCCTTCACCATTGCTGAAGCCGACATTGAGAGACTTCATGAAGAAGGACGCAAACATCCGCCAGTGGGTGCAACTCTCAAGTCTGAGTTTGCGGAACCGTGGGCGTATCAAGCCAAAACTCTAATACAGAGGTCGTTCACGTGCTACTGGCGCGACCCGACGTACTTGATGTCGAAGTTGACACTGAACATCATTGGGGGGTTGTTCATTGGATTCACGTTCTTCAAGGCAAAGGACTCGATCCAGGGCACGCAGAATAAGCTCTTTGTATGTCATTTTCGCCTTGGTACTTTTCGTGGCGACTGAACCGGCTATCTTTAGTCTATCTTTATGGGTACAATTTTGGTTTGGCTTTCCTCGCAGCAGCTATTCTTGTCGGGTTGACTTATTCTTTAGAGCGCTCCCTTGGGTGGGCAGCTGCACGTCCCCTATATCAAGGTACGTTAATTTTCGAAATGTCGGAGCCATTATAAACCCTTTTTGTAGATGAGGAACATATACGAGATTCGGGAACGCTCCAGCCGAATCTACCACTGGTCTGCGTTGGTAACGGCTCAAATTCTAGTTGAACTCCCATGGAACATCCTTGGCTCCTCGCTATTCTTCCTATGTTGGTTTTGGACAGTCGGATTTGAAACATCACGAGCCGGGTTCACGTACTTCTTGTTCGGGGTCCTTTTCCCAGTCTATTACACCACCCTTGCTCTGGCTGTCGCTTCCATGAGTCCAACGGCGGAGATTGCGGGATTGTTATATTCCTTCGTCTTCTCCTTCGTCCTGATCTTGTAAGTCGGCGCTCGCTAGCTTACCGAGGATAAGCTAACTGGTTTGTTATTAGTGATGGTGTCGTGCAACCATTTAGCCAGCTTAACTGGTGGAAATGGATGTACCATGTATCGCCTTTTACGTATCTGATTGAGGCTTTGGTCGGGCAAGGTGTGTCTCTGTTTCTGGCTATCTTCCGCGAGACTCAAAGTCGTTATCAGCTTTCGGGCACGAGCAAATTAACTGCGCAGAGAAAGAACTCGTCACCTTGCAGCCTGTATCAGGTCAAAGCTGTGGGTCTTACATGGCACGATTCATTTCGCAGAAGGGCGGCTTCGTCACCAATCCAGATGCATTGAGCGACTGTCGTTTTTGCACTTTCAGGACCACGGATCAATGGTTGGGGCCTACCTTCAATATATACTATTCACGTCATTGGAGAGACTTTGGAATTTTCTGGGCATACATCATCATAAACGTCAGTCCCTTTTTTTGTCATCCATTGGCCGCGGGTCGCTAATGGACTTCACAGATCTTTTCTGTTTACCTCCTCACATACCTGGTCCGTGTTCGTAGCTATAATGGGTCGTCATTCTTCAGGAAGAGAATTGGAGTGCTTCTAGGTAAGATGAAGAAATAGAAGTGAGGGATCGTTAGTTCTTTTTCGGCCTTTGATTTGGATGTGTATTGTGTATGTATAATTTGTATCTCAACCTATTCACCCTAGCGTGTTTCCTCACTGAAAACCCAATCTTTTCGCCTCGCCATGAACACCTTGTCCTACCAGGCTTGTCCTCCGGTCTCTTGGCTACTGTACTATGCACTGCCCCATATGTGTAAGTACGTCCGCTGACACCCGCTCTATTTCATGTGTTTGTGCTCGTGAGAATCAAATTGATCTGATCCGCTCCTTTGTTACATCCTTTATTACACTGATAACAAAAGAACTGGGTCGAAAACAGTCGCCTTGGTCTTTGTACCCCTACTCTAGCGTCGGCATGTCAAGCCTCGTGCCCCCCGCCTTGCCAACGTGCACTTTGACGTCCGTTCGAAACCCGGGCAAAGCAAGACCGAGTGGCTAAGTTTTGAGGAGTATAAAGGGAGCCCGAAAGTACGTCTTTCCTCAGTTCCTCAACTACGACCTGCATTGACTGCACGTTCACGTTCACGCTCACTTACTATTTATCTACCATCTTTTACTCCCCCACTCCCTCTAAATTTATTGCTTTCACGCCACTCACGACTCACTCGAAATGACGATAGACATTGATTATACTCAATCTGTCCCCACAACCCCACGCCGGAAAGGCCTACAAAGGCGTAATAACATTCCCAACCACCTCTCCTTCGCATCCCTGCCGCGAGACACTGCCCTTCGCGTCGCCGGCAGTTTTGGCGCTCCGTCGTCTGACGCCGCAAGTGCCACGGCCAGCCCTGCCAGTGTCCGGTCAAGGACCAAGAGTACTACTACCCCCTCCCCTCGCCATCAGCGCACCCGGACCTTTTCCCAGTTCTCTCGCAAGAACTCCAACGCCGGGAGCTTGAACCTGAACTTCCGTTCTTTGAAAAAGCGTCGGAGCACTTCCTCTTTGGCCAACTCCTCAAAGACGAAGTCCATCGCCAAACGCGTTCGCAGCTCGACATCACTCATCGTAAACGCTGCCGCATTGTGGTCGTCGGCCACGAAGAGGCTCATGGCCAGGAGCGTATCGTCCTCCGTCGCTTTTTCCTCTGCGATTCCACACGGTCAACCTAAAACCTATGCCGACGCCGTCGCGATGCAGGTTGAACCTGAGCTGGATGTTATGGATGATGAAGCTCCATTGATTGGAGTTATTGATACAGGTGCGGTAGGCCCGGGAAGAGAAGATGTGGAGGAGCTGGACAATCATGACATCGATCTAGACCCTCACGACATTGATACCTGCGATTCCCCAGTTTCGCCGCTGACGCCGTCATTCCTTCACCTCCGTAGGAACCCAGTCGAGGTGACGCAGTACCACAGGCTCAAGTCAATGCAGAAGTTGGGCGTAGAGTCGTACAAGGATGTCATGGAAAAGTATCCCGTGAGCGCCGAAGAGGAGGCGCTTGCTTTCAAATGTTATTAACACCATCGGTCACCCGTGGGTATCTCATGTAGCTTGTTGTACTGTAGTCAGATTCATGTAGCCCGTCAGAATTATGTTGTAGCTATCGTACAGAAAATAAATTGGTTGATAAAAAATGCTTCCGACAAGCAAGGATTGTGAGGGTAATAAGTACCTTCAGTACATCAAAGTCGCATAAAAGCGCCATGCGGTCTCGTTGCCAAAAAAAAAATTGTCATAACAAAAAATGATCGTGAGACAGTACTCAAATTGAAGCCTTCTTTCGTTTACTATTGTCGACCAGCTTCGCCAAAGCCTGTGCCTGAATGGACCACACAGGACGACCTAGCTGAATCAATCTATCTGCAAAAGAGAGCGCAAGCTCCTCCTCCAATATCAAGAAATCTAGATCCTCCTCTGTCATCCACCGACCACGCCCATCCTCACCACCGAATGTCAGCTCGACCCATAACTTCTGGAATGCATGAACAAAGGAGGGCAAATCGTGGCCGGCCTTCCCCAATCCAACCCCAAGAGCGACGGCATAGAAAGAACCTCGTTTACGGTGCATCGTTAGGGGTTTGCATGTCTGTAATTCCGTCGATACCTGGTCGAGCATCCACAATATCCTGGCGCTGTAAAGGTGGTCGGGTCGCGAGAGTTTCATGATGAGAGTGCCACCCCGTTTAATACCCATCAAGGCAAGAATAATTTGGGATATAGCAAGGCGCCAACCATCCCAGTTCTCACCATCCTTTTGCCATCTTAACTGATGTGCATCAAGAATGCACAGGTCAAAAATCTCGGACCCGAAAGAGTTTGGCAGGGGCTGTAGTTTGTCGGTATCGAGGATGGGTGTGGGGCCCAGCTGGAAGTACGTCAAGTTGGCGGAGATAAGCTCATGCCGCTTGCTCTGCAAAAGGTATCGATGTCCTCCTTTCTCTTCCTCAAGGGAGATCCCTAAACCCCTGGCGCGATAGTTTTTCGTCAACACGTATGCCGAGAACCCTCCCGGGCTACAACTCAAAGGCGCGGTCTCTTAGCATTTAAGTCATCTGAGCAGCAAGCTTACACCGTACCCAAGATCCAAGAAATGCAAGTCCCCAGAAAAAGGAATGCAATTTGTCTTCCCGTCAATCTCATTCATGATTTCTGTCATTTTCCTGTACCAGGAAATTTTGAGCTCGTGTCCTGGGTTTTGAGCCTGATTGCGTTGCTGCTCAAAATGCTTATCCAGATGCTCGTCATCCCAACCCTACCAAAAGTTCACGTTAGCCCAATTCCAATTCAAACAAAAAGAACACGCCTGTTGCTTCAATTTCATCAGGTCCGCCAGCTCTTGGGCGCCTCTCTCGATAAGCTGCAATTGAAGATGTGATGGCTTCAGCTGCCTCCGGCCGTCATACGAGCTGTGCGTCGTTGGGCTGTCCGCCATCGAATTGATGCTCAGTAGTTGGTAGGTGGGCTGGTTGCTGTTGAGATGGTTGTAGTTGATAAGGACTCTTTGACGCCCCACAGCCATTTTACGGTTCTTCTTCTTCCCACATCCGTTAAGCTATCCCAGCGCCAATCGACTAGGAATAAGTGGACGAAGATTAGCAACCTAGATGACGTACATGGGGAGCTCCGGCGGTTGTTTCTGTGAGAGGCAGAACGCTTGAAGATCGTCTTTTCTGGCCGCGTAATTTAAAAAAAAGAGTAACACAAGAAGGTTCTGATTCGGTGTTATCATAGGTACAAGCATGCGTCATAAAGAGAATGGCCCGCGGTGGTGCAACTGAACTACGTATCGCCACGAGACTAGGCCAGGTCGTTAGGAGACAAATTGGTATACAAGACCGCGTCACTCACATTGTTACAAGTCAAGACGGAACTCGTGCGTCTCCACATGTCACGGGTGGGTTGCTTCTTTGAGGCTGAAACCATCTTGCACAAAGTTTGCCTTTGAACGACCCAGACTGAACGACTGAGGTCTATCAACCGATCGGCGAATGTATCAATCAAGTCGTCCTGTGAAATTAAAAAGTCAAAGTCAACATCCTCCAGCCACCTACCCTCCCCCTCTTCCCCACCAAAAGTCAACTCCACCCAAAGACATTGGAATTGGTCAACGATAGCAGGCAGCCTGGAAGCCTCGACCCCGAGGCCAACTCCTACAGCGACGGCATAGAAGCTGGGACGCTTGGCATGAATCGTTAATGGTTTGCAAGTGCGCAGCTCTTGTGATACTCTGTCGAGGATCCACAGTATTCTTGCGGTATCAAGGAGCTCCGGTCGGGAGAGCCTGATAACAATGGTCCCACCACGCTTCACTCCCTTCAAAGCAAGAATGAGCTGCGATAGGAACAGACGCTGGCTATCCCATCCATTACGCTTCTGCTCTTGCCATATGGGTACGGCGTCAAGCAAGCAGAGATCAAAAGCTCCGTCATCAAACCCTTCTGGGAGTGGCTGGAGACAGCTGCTCTCAAAGAGCGCCGGTCCCAGCTGATAGTTCGCGATGTTGGCAGGTATGAACTCGTAACGTTGGCGAAGACGCTTCTCCAAGAGAAAGCATTCACCTCCGCTCTCCGGTCCGAGTGATATACCCAAGCCTCTGGCACGCCCATTACGTTCCAAAACATACGAGGAAAACCCTCCTGGACAACAGCTACGCACACCGGTCAGTCTCATATCAAGCAGACAATGAATGACGAACCCAAGATCTAAGAAATTCAGTTTGCCTCTTGAAGGGACACATGTGGTTTGTGCATCAATCTCCATCAACTGAAGTTTCATACGGTCGAACCAAGCGAGGGCACTCGCAGGGTTTATCTTGGGCGGGCCATAGGCGAAATATTTATTGAGACTGTCATCTTTCCAGCCCTGTGTTGACAAGGTAGGATTGACGCCAAAACATAGACGAAGTCGTTACTTACCTCCTTCCTTTGTTCAATGAGGTCCGCCAATTCTGTGGCTCCCTCTTGAACGAGCAATGCCTGAAAGTCTGGGATATCTGCCTGGAAGTCGTTAGGAAGGGATGTATTGGATGTCATGGTATGAGGGTAGGCCTTTCGCTAACCCACTCTAAGCGCGAAGTTAATAAGGCCGGGCGTCTATTGGAACGAGGCATGCAATGAGGCTTGACATTTCCCCACATATGCTTCCCCCTCATGCGTCTCATCACTGCGTAGACAACCTTATCACTGCGCACACAGGTCAGCAGATTCAAGCAGCGACGACAGCCTACGTACGTACGTACGTACGCAGATAGTGTGCATGGAGTGAAAGCTTGGCATATCAGATGTTGCAGAGATATCAAGTATGTTGAGCTTGAGCGCTGAGCGATCATGAGTTATCACACAGTGGTATGAGCGCGAAACGGAAAAGAAAAGATAATGCCGATTTCAGTGAGTTCTATATACAAGCCTCATGCAGCAGCAGCTTGTGCTTCTTTACCGAACGGGCTAAAGCCGTAGTTTTCCCCTCTAACAAATGCCTTCGTACATTGCGCCATCGTCACGGATCTACAAGATGCATGCGTCAGCTGAGAGATAGAGCAAGTGAGTACCCCAAACTCACGCTCTTGAAATAGGATCTGTCTGGTAAAAGTTGGAAATGGGTTTTCGGAGAGGAACACCAGAGATCTTGGCATCTTTTGTTGCAGCGACCAAGGTCTTGAGGCCTGCGAGGGCCACGTCGACAGATGTTGGCTCTGTGACGTCGTACCTCACTAGTGTCGGTGAAATCTCCCACATCCGATCCCGGAGCTCGAGAATGCCGTCATAGGGCAAAGGCACACCGATGACCTCAGACAACGCGCTAAAGTCAGATAAGCATCGTGGTTTCAATATAGAACGGATTGGAGCCCACCGTATGATCTTCCAGTCCTCACGAGCAGCACCAGGAGCAGGCACAGCACCACGGCCGAGTTGTGACCGACCTTCGGTGTTGATCCATGTTGTCCCTTTCTCAGTGTAGGCTGAGGCAGGGAGGCAGACGTCAGCTAGTTGTGCACCCAAGTCACCATGATGGCCTTGATACACAACAAAGGCGTCTCGAGGGATGGACTTGGGGTCGACTTCATCGGCATTGAGAAGGTATATGAACTTCGGTTTCGTTGTTGAGGCCTGCTTTGACGGAACAAAGCCGAGCTCGTAGGCTGCTGGCCGTGAAGCAACCTGAAAACCAACGTTATTAGAGAATAGGTTGACATATATTAAAGAACTTACCCGTTGAAGGACGCTGTAACCATTCCATTCCGGAGTAACAAGAGTAGCCTTGTTTGCTTCAACAAACTTCGCAAGCTTGTTATACATGGCAGCACCATCTGGGTGCTCGCTCAACGCGCTACCAACAATGATGAGGGGCTTCTTCGCAGCCTTGAACTTCTTGGCAAAGTCGCCCTTGCCAGCGACAAAGTCCGACAACGCTTTAGCATCCTCTCCTAGGAAGTCATACCCATACGTAGTATCAGCCCGTTCTCCAATCAGACCGACCTCCAGACTTGTATGCAACCAGCTCTTGCGGATCCGGGAATTGAGCACAGCTGCCTCATGCCGGGGATTTGTGCCAACAAGGAGGATGACGTCGGCCTTCTCGACGCCGGGAATAGTGGAGTTGAAAAGGTAATTTGACCGCACATCGACACCGTGAACAGGGGGAGCAGTGCCACCGACTTGGTCCAACCCAAGATTGTCTGAGCCAAGACGGTTGATGAGGTCTTTCAGGGCGGTTAAGGACTCCGTGTCTGCATGATGTCCGGCAATAGCTTGAATCTCGTTGCCAGTCGCACTAGTCGCAGCCAGCCCCTGCGCAACGGCAGCCAGTGCATCCTCCCATGTTGCAGCCACAAATCTATCACCCTGCTTTATCAGAGGTGTTGTTAGGCGTTGGTACTTCAGCCCATCGTACGCAAACCGCGTCTTGTCGCTGATCCACTCCTCGTTGACGTCGTCGTTTGTCCGCGGTTGGATGCGCATCACTGCGACACCACGAGAGTCGATTCGGATGTTCGAGCCCACAGCGTCCATCACGTCAATGGACTCTGTGTTTTTGAGCTCCCAAGGACGAGCATGGTATGCATATGGTTTGCTCGTCAAGGCACCAACGGGGCACAGGTCCACAATGTTCCCCGACAACTCAGAGTCCATCGTCTTCTCCACGTACGTGCCGATCTGCATGTCGTTTCCACGTCCTGTAGACCCAAGCTCCTCGACCCCAGCAACTTCATTGGCGAATCGGATGCATCGGGTACATTGGATACAGCGATTCATGGAGGTTTTGACGAGGGGGCCGAGATCTTTGTTCTCAACAGCGCGTTTGCCGGTGATTTCGTGGAAGCGAGTGCGGTCAGAGCCGTACCGCATAGACTGATCTTGTAGGTCGCATTCCCCACCTTGATCGCAGATGGGGCAATCCAGGGGGTGGTTCGCGAGAAGGAACTCCATTACGCCTTCGCTGTGGACAGAGTAAGAACAACGGATGGAGAGGTTGAGACTGTGACGTACCGAGCTTCGTGAACCAAGGGTGTGTTTGTGAAAACTTTTGATCCAGGCATAGCTGGCATTGCACTGGAGTATATGTGGGTATCAGGTAGCTGACAATGAAAGCAAACGCACCATGAGGCGACTGGCTTTGGTGACCTCTCGACTTCGACCAGACACATGCTGTGTTTCCCGTTAGATTCAGGTACTGTATTAGCGCTCAGAGTTGCTCACCGACAATTCCCAGCGATGGCGAGCCTTTGTGGAAAGCGTTAGTATTCATGACAAGAAATGGTAGAGTTTCGTACCTATCATGATAACAGAACCTGTACCAGAGCATGAGCGAAGTAAAGTTCAAGGTTGAGAACGACGAACCGTGGTATCGTTGCTCCCGCAGCTTCACAAGCTTGAATAAGGGCAGAGCCTGCCAAACGCACATCAGTACCATCTCCAAAAAACGAGTGTTCCTAACGTACCCTGTGGTACAGTCACCTCCTTCCCATCAACCGTCAGAGTAATGTCCGCCCCCCGCGCAGAAGTTGAGGCAAAGCTCCGACGACCTACAGACGGATTAGCTGCATGCCAATGGGGCATAGCGAGGGCTACGTACTTGAATGTGGTGTGTGTGTCGACGTCACAACCTTTCCGAGTAGCCCCGTCGATGTGGGTCGCGACACGGTGGAGACGATGCGCAGCATGGTAATGGGGATGACTGAAAAAAGGTAAGAAAGTTGGTGTGTGTGGGCTCAGAGCCCGCAGAACGGCGAGAGAAAAGAATAGAGAGGCTGCTCGTCGTTTGGTACAGCGACCAACCACGTCCCTCCAATTTCTCTTTCCCACCATTTTGAGCGGAGTTTCAAGTCTAAGCTCAGATTATGTAATAACGACGCACAGCATCTCCGAGATCTGACCCTGGTCGTTACAAGGTCCTTTGAATTTCTTACATACTCTTCTTCCTCTACCAGCAAAAGCGATTTCTGAAATTATGCGTTCTCGATTCCTGAACGGATTCTCGTGATTTACATCGCTTACCACGTGCATCTATTTAGCAATTTGTCTTCAAGGCCGTCGTTGCTTGATCTCGTGTCGGGAAAATCAAAATTAGGATATATGTAGAGACATGAAGAGATCAGCACATATCAGTCCGTCACCTTTTCGGGGGGAAAATATGGCTCAGTAATCATTTATATCGGATTGTGAGAATGATCACCATGATATCTATTGACCAGCGTGATTATTTCTGACAAGGGCGATTACCCGGTGAAAATGATCAACACTGGCAATAGTGACGACAACGGCCACCAGAGTCAACATCGACGGGGAGGGTTTGGGATAATTTGGGGTCGTACGTAGTCCTGTTTTTACCGCGCCCCCAAAACCGCGTCAGAAAATGTTTATGTAATCTTCGGACTTTGAAACTGCGTCGCGTCAATATTCCCTCGTATCCCTCAACTCTAGACGCGTTTATAGTTCCACAACTCCTCTAAACACTTCAAATCCACTTTATTTCTTATTTAAAAGTTGCTTTCCATGGAAGAGAAGTCTCGCGCCGTCCAATCATACAAGAAAACGCCCACGAACAGGTTCCCACAACGCCTGACTTCATTTCAGCCTTCCTATCGCAATTTCTGGCGCGGCGCCATCTGTTATACCTTTTCCTGAAGCCCTTCCATTCTCATCACTCTCCTCACAATCACAGTGCACCATCTTCGAGATCGACTCAATCCCACGAGCGTCATGCGCCTTTCTCGCCATCTGTCACTCCTTCCGAAATCCTCCACGCGCGTCCTTCCCTATTCACTTGGGCAATAAATCTTGTCGCCAACCACGTTTATTGATCATTGATCTTACTAGTAAGGATAATGATGTTCACCTTCGAGCATCAACAAATGGCCGACGGCGTGCAGATTACGTCAACCTTGTCATCTGGGAAGCTCTCGGAAAATTCAGTATTGCTGGACTTTCTGAGAAATACAAAACTTGTTCGCCTGTTTCTTGGTATCTAACTGAATCAATGACCGCATCCCGCAAGAACGGCGTTGTGATTCTGAAGAAGCGACGCCCACATCCAATCGCAAGTATTCAACCATCTGTTTATTGTCAAGTGCTTATCTATTTCTTAGGTTCAAGTTGGCACCATCAGGTCGTTCATTTTAGCACGAAATTACTACGCGAATGGAGACCTTGCGATGGTTTTGGGTATTTGGCATTTTGCAGCCAAATCCCATGTCGATGTCAAGCCAATGTCAAGCGTGTTTACAGCCAATTCGGAAATATCGTTAGCGACACAACCGCACGCAAGGCTCTCGACTCTATGACAGGTTAAAGCCTTGCTACTCTACAAGCTTCCGTCAAGGCTGCGACTGAACGAGGAGAGACGGAGTGGTGCGTCGGAGTGTTGATCGTATCAGGTCCTTGAGGGTCCTGCCAGCGGGGTTGTTGAGCCATAACTGAGTCGTCATAACGAATTTTAAATCAGCCAAGATGTATAATATCAAGTTTGATGTGTATTGGAATGGAAACGCATGAGCTATCGCGTCGAGAGCAAACGGCAAGGACGCGATATTGACGCGACGAGGTTTCAAAGTCCGAAGATTACATAAACATTTTCTGACGCGGTTTTGGGGGCGTGGTAAATAACAGACTTCATATTATCGTGAACAAAGGTACGACTTCACATAATATCGAAGTCTGTCTAGGAGAGACTAGGTCGTACGTTATCCAATTAATAATATGGCAGTCATATGAAGGTAACGGAATAGTTTTGTGATTATACCAAGATTATACCAAGATTATACATTGATATCTACATGCCAGTGCTACTAGACTCCAGATAATTCCCGAACATACGCAAGAACCACCGCTTCCGGACCAGAGTTTAATATCTCACCTTGCCAGGCCCACGCCGTGCCGATGTGCTAGCCTCTATTGTTCGATACGATTCCGAATCCTAGTCCCAAGTCCGGTGTTTGGCGGGTGACATCGTGATTGAGAGGGCCTTGGCTCAACCTTGGCTCTTTGCTGAGTGAGGAACATCATTCGGAGTGTCTCCAAACTACTGGAGAACGGCGACGAGGATGAGGACGGTTACGTGGAGGAGAAGGAGAAGAGTTGGGTGTGCTCCTGAATATTCGGATTGGCGGAAAGTCTTGGTCGGTCTGCTCGTCGCATCCTGACCCAATGTGGGTCTGATGAGGAGAGGGTGAGAATAAAGTGGGATGAGACGAAGCTGAGGATTCATGGCAGAATTCACTCACAGTGTTTGCACATTATATACGTTTGAGGGCAACAGGAACGAGGTTGGAGCATGACGACTGCCACTCCAATGATGTGGAGTATGTTCTCTCCAACACTCCTGAACTCCACAGGAGTTCAAACAGCACAATTGGAGACCACATTGCACCGGACATCGCAAGGTATGGCTGCCCAGCACTGCGGTATTACGGGTGGCGATGGACAGTTGAAAACGACGAAGAGATTAGACAGAGGGACTCTGTCGTTGATGGGTTCCAGACAGTTCGGACGTTTACGATGGAAATAATTTGCCGTGATGCGATAACTTTGTTCGGAATGCTTGTCAGATCATGATCAAATCATGATAGCGGTCAGCACTGAAAACGATATGACCTCGGCACCTCAGATATGATATCCCTCCTCCTCGTAGGCTGGACAAGACTTGTTAGAGGTACCAGAGATGATGTGAGGTGATAACCTTCTGATATGCTTGCCAGGAAAAAACTTATTACATACTGGTTGTTCGGACCAGCAGCTTACCAGTGGTGACATGATCTAATAGCCAACTGAAAAGGCTGCCCGCAAGAAGCTGATCAGTTCGCATATGTTCATCAGCTGCCGCAACCACTGATATGCTAATTTCGATTTTTCCGACACGTGTTCCAGTGGCCTGATTTCCGCGCCAAACATTGGAGATATGTGCCTCTGAAAGGTGAACTTTGAACGGCTACTCAAGCATATCGAGTCACTGGTATGAGTGGTTGTATAAAGAAGGTAAGTACGTGTTTTTTTTTCTTCTAAAAAAAATGCATTTGGTAAAATAATAAATTTCCAAGCCTGAGCGCTTCAACGTCAACCCTTAACTTGGCCGACAAACTCGACATGGAGCTTCCTATAGCTTTCCGCTGCGCTACTAAGGCTTGAGCTTGACTCCTGATAGCATGCCTTGACTCTAACACAAGTGAAAGGCTCAATCATCTCATCACCTGACCGACGCGTCAAACCAAACAACGCGCAAATAAGGGGAAGGCCATCTGAGTTGATCATTCCCTCCGCCCCACTGTCGCATATACAAACAAATTACTCACCTGGCCCTTTTATCTTCGAGCTCTAATGCATGCCATCGCTTCCCAGGGCCACTTATTCAATCGCTCTGGACAACTCTCTCTCCGTCCGGTCATATGAACACAGAACCAGACTTTGATATAGAGGGTCTCAACTACCGTGCGCAGTTTTTCTGGTGTATCAAAGGAAGAGGGCCTGTCAAGTGCGTGAGTGTCTCCTTCCGCTAAGTGCAAAATTGAATGTATGCGCTTTGTTCCATGGTGCGCATCCATGAAATGAATAATGCCATAACCCCAGACACGAGCGATCGATTAGTAACCATGTAAATGACATTATCCAACTCATTCTCTTGGTGGACACTGACTATATGCGTTGAAATATATGCATGCATTTCACATCGAAGCTAGCACCTGGTCGAGTCACGAACTTTTAGAGCGTGACAGCTTTGAGTTTCTAATACTTATGTGATTATTTCCACTCACTGTCAGTCTTAGTCGAGGGGCAAAAAGATCTCCTGCCTTCTCTCGCAATCTTTCTTTGACGTTTGTTGCTACTTTGACAGCCATTCCGATCCAAGACCTCCCAGCCCTCCAACATTCTTTTATGCTACTCCTAGCTATATTTTTGAACTATGTGAAATTTACGGAAGCTGCGAGTCGTCACCTTTTTTTACCCTTCACTGCAGTTCACTGCTCGTTGTTGGCTCGTTGGTCGGCAAGATTTCGGACTTTCAAATCGACGGAAAAACGCGATCTCCACGTGATTAGATGGAACCCTGAGGATCACTGTTTACACACTGCGGCCGCTGTGCAGCTGCTCACGATACCATACACCTCACAATGAGCCAGCCCCCAGACCCACGTCAATACTCTTCACAATCAAAACGCCCAGCCTCCATCGCCGAGCTCGCAGAACGAGCTCTAGACAACCTCTGGGACGAGAACAAGGATCTCAAGCACTATCTGCGCGTGGCCGAAAAGTACCGCCGCGATGGCAAGGAGTTTGCGAGGACGGGCGATCTGGAGAACGCTTTTGTCCAGTTTGCGAGGGCTGCGACGCTGGTGCTTGAAAAACTGCCAACGCATCGTGATTACTACACGTTGCTGAAGACGGCGCAGAGGCAGAATTTGGGATTGGTGCGTGTCTATCAGCTGTCAGGTCTCGGTGTATTTGGGTTATTGGAGGAATATCGCTCTTATCTGACGGGCAGCGCGAGGCAGATCATCTGTCAGAGATTCTCGGGATACCCCATGGGGAGGTTGTTGCTCTGTGATGAGACTCTTATGATTCGTATGAGTTGTTCAATTTCTTCGTTCCGTCCCGATTTCCTTCAGTGATGTCATCTAACTTTTGCTAAAAACTACAGAACGGCCAAGATATCTTGGATAATCTCGGTGACCTGAAACCAACTCTAGTCGACAGGTTCGACAAGTGGATTCAGGCTCATCCGGATGGGATCGATAACGAACGCACACCTGATGCCAATCTGCCCCATCCGATGCCCAACGATGCACAGGCCCAGGCATCAGCAGCGCAATACCACGAGGAAGAGCAAAGGCGAGAGCAGAGGAGGCTCGCAGCGGAGGAAGCTGCGCGATGGAGACGTCAACGAGAAGAACAGGAAGAATTAACGGAACGCACTCGAAAAGACGCCACTGCTGCCGCTCGTCAGGCCGCCAATGCACCGCAGCGGTCTGCGACCATCGACTATGGGTATTCCAGACCACAATATGGGTCTTCGAATACGATCGTGGTGTCTGATGGGAGTCGGCACCAGCAGCAGCAGGAGGAGATGCGGAAGAGGGAGGAGGAGATCACGAGGAGGCGTGCAGAGGCGAAACGGCTGCAGGAGCAGGAGGCGATCGGTCAGAGGCAGCAGGAGGCGGAGAATGCGGCTAGGGCTGCGAGGCAGGGACTTGGAGGCCCTAGCCCTAGTAGGCAGGCTGCGTTTCCTCAGCAAGCGGCGCATTATCAACAGGCGCCGACGAATAACTATTCTCAGCAGGCTTTTACCTCGGCAGCCGACTATTCCCAGCCGCAGCCATATCAACAGGCGCCTCCTCCCTCGACGAACAACTATTCTCAGCAGCAGCAGCGACAGGCCACTTCTCCGACGGGTAATTATTCCCAGCCGCAGCAACAACAGAGGCAGCCTACGTCGGCTATCAACTATCCCCAGCCTCAACAACAGGCGCCCAGCTATTCCCAGCAGCAACAGGCGCCTCCTCCTGTCAACTACCCCCAGCAACAGCAGCAACAACAACAAAAGCACTCTCCGTCGACTATCAACTACCCTTCCGCTGGGCCCTCGTCCACAGCCCATGCGCAACCCCGCCCAGTGTCGTGGTTTGACGCACCGAGGATCATGCCCTTGGAAAACCCAACTTACGAAGGGGACTCGACCGATTCGGAATCTGTGCAGAACCTCGAGCATGATTTTAGGCGGTTGGGAAAGCAGAAGCAGGCTTTGACGCCTGGGAGGGCTCCTGTTCGCAGGTATGTTCTATCTGTAGTTGTTGTGGTTTTCGTTACTTACTGAGAAACTTAGCCCTTCGTATCCCCCGCCAATAACCACCACATCGCCACCGCCCATCCAAGGTGGGCGAATATACTACCCACAATTGATGTCTCAGCACCAGAAGAGGCAGGGATATTACCCATCGCTTAATTCCATGTTCGTTCCTACAGATGATCGGACGCCTGTTCCGTCGACACTTTTTTCTGTGGACAAGTCTGGTTCGGGTAGTGGGAAGGGTGTTTATTCGACGAATGTTCCTCCTCCACCACCGCAATCAAGGTTGTATTATAACATGCCGCCGCCACCGCCTCCACCACCACAAGGCTCTGGGTCAGGGCAGTATTCAGCGGGGTATCAAGGCCCTTCAAGGCCTGCTCCCCCTGTACCACCTTCCGCTCCAGCTCCAGCCCCCCCACCGCCCACGACCAACCGCCCCGAATCAGACCCATCGAATACTCTGAAAAACGTCAGTCTTCCACGGGAGTGTCTTCCCCGTTTCTTGGCCATAGCGAGTTTGAATACCCTGGCGAATAGGGAGACGTGTGGGTTGTTGTTGGGCAAGGATAAGGGGCACCGGTATTCGGTTACGACGCTGTTGATACCGAAGCAGCATGCGACGAGTGATACGTGTACTATGGATGAGGAGGAGTTGGTTATGCAGTTTACGGAGGAGAGGAGTTTGATTACGCTTGGATGGGTGAGTTGCTTTTTTTTTGTGAGCTTTTTGGGTTGGGCTGATGGATTTGGATGACTAAGATACATACGCATCCTTCTCAATCATGTGCGTAGTTTTTCTTTTCTTGCAGTGTGGGGAGCTGATGGGGTTTTGATGATAGGTTTTATGTCTTCTGTGGATTTACATACCCATTCTGGATTTCAACGGATGTTGCCAGAGTCGTTTGCTGTCGTTTGTGCTCCCAATTCGAACCCAAAGTGCGTTTCCAGGCTACACGTGTGTGACTCTTGCTCATGTTGCTCTATCAGCTTTGGCATCTTCCGCTTGACCGACCCTCCAGGTCTTACGACTGTTCTAGAGTGTACCGTGAAAGAAGCGTTTCATCCTCATCCTGATTTACCCATATATACGGTACGTCTCTTGCCACTCAAAACCCATCCATAACTAACTACCCCTTTCTTACAGGACGCGGATAAGGGGCATGTGCAAATGAAAGATTCTTCTTTGGAAATCGTGGATCTCCGCTGAATCCTCCCTCCCATGCATTCGAACTTTCTCTCCCCATGTAGCATCTGTTCCAGACTATGTATCTAACCCCCTCCTTTCCCTGCATAGCCCCTCAGCATTCTCTTTTGATTGTATCATTCTTCTTGCATGTATTTATGGGTCTTCTCTTCTTCCTTTATGAAAAATGACAGAGTGGGTATTCTGCTCCGTGTCTTCATTGTGCCTTGCCAAGCAAACACAAACTTTGAGCTGGTCTTGTAACAACGACTGTAGGTACTTAAACTCGTAAGTTCATTGTCCCTCTACCATTGTTCCTACACCAGACATTGACAAAAGGGACTTTGTGCCAGGTGCGCGATAACGACGACCCACGTCAAGTGTCGCACATCATGCGCGCAAGACGACGGTCCATAACATCACGGCTTGCCAAGCACAGGGGGTACATCTTCCTCTTCCTCACCGCATCCATCTTCTTCCTTGTCGGATTCAACAGAGGGCATCGAGAGTACCTCCTCGTCGTCGTTCCAGAAGAACCCTCCTCACCGTCACCGCCGCTCTCCCCAGCCGAAACCGAAACGAGGAAAAAAAGCGTCATCGATGAACATCCCATAGAACGGCTTATGGAGGATGCGGAGGAGGCTTATAGGGCCAAGTTATCGGGGCAGAGCAAGACGCTGGAAGCGGCTGTTCAGCAGTACAAGAAACGGTATCAGCAGGACCCGCCGCATGGCTTCGACGAATGGTGGGCGTTTGCGAAGAAGAACAATGTGAAGATGGTGGATGAGTATGATGGGCTTATGGACGATCTAAGGCCGTTTTGGGAGATTTCGGGGGAAGAGTTGAGGAGGAGGGCGGGCCAGGTGTGTTTGATTTGAATTGAAAAAAAAAACTCCTTTCCTGATGTGCTGTTGTGGAATAGGCGGCGTTGTTGCCTGATATTGACCTTGTGAGGATACAAGGTGGTTCAGCGATAAGTCTCAACTTACACGCTGGGAAATCGATTTCGGACGTTGGTGGGAGAGCTGAGGGGTTTCGGTCAATGATGGAATTGTTCGTGGACAAGGTTAGAGTTTCGTCTCTTCGTCTTGACTCTACCTCATGCCCCTTGCATAGCTCCCAGACATGGAATTCCCGATCAACGCAAAGGCAGAAGGCCGGGTGCTCGTACCCTGGGAACACCGGGTCTACCCAAACCTCACGGTCCAAGATTCAACTCTTGGGGTCCAAGCCATGCTAGGAGGACCATTCAAGCCCGACTGGGGCACCGACGGTAACGTCTGGGAAGCCTGGCGACGGACCTGTCAACCCGAAAGCAACGCTCGCAGACTCTTCTACTCAAAGACGGACGTGTTCACGGGCAAGCCCTCCAACTACCTCAAACCCCACAGCACCACCACACCAGGCGACGACTTTACATTTGCCTCTAAACCAGTCGCTGCCGATATCGACTTTTGCAATACGCCGTACGCGCATTACTCGCAGGGACATTTTTTCTCTGATTGGCGGAGCATACCGGCGCTGTACCCTGTGTTTAGTCCTGCGAAAGCCAAGGGGTTTTTGGACGTTCGGATTCCGAGTCATTATTATTACGGGAATACGCCGCGGTATACGTATGGTTGGGATTCGGTGAATTTGGAGATGAAGAATGTGGATTCGATGGAGGTGCCTTGGGAGAAGAAGGTTGATAAGGTGTTTTGGAGGGGAGCTACGATTGGAGGGGGGAATCACCCGCCTGGGTTCGCTCCTCAGTATCATCGGCATAGGTGTGTATGTTTCTTGACTGGTGAAACTCTTTGATCTTCAACTTTCAATTAGGTTCTTGAGGATGACTTCGGATGAGTCTAATGTAACACGGAGAGTCATCTTTGCGGATCCTTCGAGCCCATCGACCTACGTTGCAGCAGAGGTGCCCATCACGGAGCTCAATGACGACATCGTGGACGCCGCATTCGTCAAAGCCATCTCTCAGGAGAGCTTCCCAGGCGGTCTAAAGGGGTTAACCGACGCGCATCGATTCAGTGACTCCGTGCCTCTGGGCAAACACTGGTCATACAAATACCTTATCGATCTAGACGGAGTGGGCTACAGTGGGAGATTCATGTCGTTCCTCGCAAGCGATAGCGTACCACTCAAAGCTACTGTGTATGAGGAGTTTTATTCCGATTGGATACAACCTTGGTGAGCACCCCCTCTCTCGTCGTGATCGCTCATTTTGATTGACTTTTGGTCGTAGGGTCCACTATATACCCTTAACAGCGACCTACAAGGAGATATACAACATCCATGCGTACTTCTCCGGACCTACGGAATCAGCGGTGAAGTTAGCTGGGTTGACGATTCCGGAGGTTGGCTCTGAGGCGAGGGAAGGAGATAAACGACTTCGGAGGATCGCTAGAGCCGGAAAACAGTGGAAGAAAACTATAGGACGGACGGCGGACATGGAAGGTATGATCCTTTCTTCCTTCTCCCCATGACCCAAGGCTGATCGGTTTCTTTACGCAGCTTATGTATACAGACTATGCCTGGAGTGGGCTCGACTATGGGCGGACGACCGGGACTCGATGAACTTTTACCTCTAGACGACGCATTTGGATGGTTACTAGGACTTTCTCTGAACACAGGACTCATGGACTTTTTGCTACAAGCTACAATTCTAGACCCCACTTTGCTTTGGTTCGGGGATACGGCGTTCGTCTTTGCGATGATGCTGTTCTCTTTGCCTATCACGTTCGTTTTCGTCCATGCATACAACAATGGTATCGTAGCTTACTTTACTGCGTAATATGTAATTCCTGCTCTCATTGTTGACGCGATGAGGGAAAGCCTCACGGCTTTCGCCCATTGTTGCTTGCGCAACCTGGCAGCTTTTTCGATACCGACATTATGGATTTCGAATTCGTCGGATTCTCCTATCTACCAGACTAGTAAACTGTGTATAAGGTATAATGCCCTTGCCCCTCTTCCTAGATGTCCTCAGCCTTGATACAACGAAGTTTGAATTCATTTTAGAGGTCGCGTGATATAAGCTTCAAAGCTTCCGTACGTCCCAACAGGAAAACGGAGTCCTCTCTATGGGCAAATCATGCACGGGAAGCCTGTGGATGCCTGCTGAGCTGGAAGTGGAAGCAATTAGGGGTGGAGGGTGGGTATACTTAAGGAAAATGCATCCTCAGAGGGCGTCGTAATAGCCTGAGAAGAGATAAAGTAGACTTTGTACTTCGAATCCCTCGGCAAAAGCCATCATGCAACGACCTCTCTTATGTAAGCTCTCTTCCCCCATCCAGCGCCATAACACAAAGTCGAACTGGAAACTTCAAGCTTCAAGTTTTTAACCAAGCTCCAAGTCCAATGTCCCTCCCCGGACTTACTGGCATCTTGGCATGCTCAAGACACGGTGACACACCTTTACTCGAGTATGATATCACAGTTGGCCGCCCGTCTGCTCACCTCTCAAAATTTCGATCTCGGACCATGAAGACATATTGTTTCGTGCAATTCACAGAGCTCTATGCATGACCTTTTCGGAGTCACCCTAATGCTCCCGGCGTCCGGAGCCCCACATTTCAATATCTAACGGATCCCAGCCAATCCAAGGCCGATCTTTAGCCAGGTTGGCTATTTTTGTTTGACATCTCCCCCTTATCTGGACAGATCACACGGATAGGTAGCCTCAGTGTTCCGTGCTCAATCCGATATGCAACACGTTGCCTGCGCGTGCAGTGACGCGTTTGTATACTTTAGCTTCATTGTCCACTCGACCGGTACCTTCCTCTGACCAAGAAAGCCAACCACCTATCCTCGTCATACCCACTCAAACAGACTTTGGCTCCATCAATGTTCTCCAACCCTCGAATGCCCATCAGCAGGGCTGCGTCGCCTGCGCCAGGAATTTCTCGGTCCTTCGATGGTGCTCCAGTTAGGTCTCCGAGCGTGCTGGATTTTCAGATTGAAAAGGCTCCCAAGTCACCCAACATGGGCGGTGGGCGAGCAATGCCTTCCCAGGCAGCCCACCAAGACGACGTGCTGCTCAATCAATATGTATCTGCAATCATCGCCGCGAAGGACCGACAATTCGCAATTACTGGCAGTATTCCCCTGGATCCCTCACAACTTGTGTTGTTCTTCCGATCCAAGGTTCGCCGTTCCACGAGCATCTACTACCTCGCGCTAGATAACCTCTCTTTGCCTCTCAGAGCGGGATCACTCACTCCTTGGACTTCCCGATCGATGTTCACTATAACACTCCCCCTGCGCTCGATGTCCTCATCGCAGCATGCAGACCCCATCAGACCTCCGACTACGACGGCTACTCCAGCCAAGAATCCCTTTTCTATCCACCCAATCTCCCCTTGACCCCCTCGTTGGAAATTGCCAACCATCCCATTCTCGACGCGGTCAAAACGTCTTTATTCCCATTCCTACCCCCAGGACAGCATCTTACCGCTGTCAGAGACAAACTGGAGGTTCTGGTAGACGGCGCGGCTCTGAGTCGCCAGCCTCCCAATCTGCGCAAGGACGGCCGTTCCGCGACCATCATCGTCACCCTCCCCGTTCGACATGTGGGTGGGGAGTTGATTGTGCGGGACACGGATGGGACTCAGGAGAGCTTTTTAGCCAAAGCGGGAAATCATGGAGAAATCGAATGGGTGGCTTTTTTGGCGGACTGCGAGTATGAGATACAGACGGTGAAGAGAGGTTGCATGCTTTCCGTCTCCTACGGAGTTTTTCTGAAGAACTTCGATTCGCCTTTGGTTAACGCTCCCACCTTGATTTCGCCGAGCGATAGGTTCTTCGACCTTCTCGCTCCAATCCTCAACATGTTGCGTGGGCGTAGGATTGCGTTCTACGTAACGCACAATTATGGGGTAGATCCTTCCCAAGCCGTCGCGGAATCCTTGATTCCTCAGGTGAGTCAACCATCCCGACGTCGCGTGATAATATTATAACCCACATTTACCGGTTCAGCTTAAAGGAGCTGATGCTTTGATATACAACGCCTTCAAGATGTATAAACTCGGTGTTGCGGCTCACTGGACCGCGGGGGGATACTTGTGGCCTGTGGATCGCACCATCGAATTGTCTACAGAAGATATCACCCAACCCCCGCACCTCAAATCGTCGAACCAAGGTCTGAGGATGCCTTTTGGCGTCGTCAATGGATCTGCAAAACTAGGAGGCGTTCCTCCAGTTCGAGGTCCTTTTAACACTCAGGGCCATGGAGATATCGAAGCTGAGGCCGTTCGCGTGAGAGTCGAGGCGAGCGGTGCTACTCTGCTGGTGGACGAGGCCATCACCATCCTGACGGACTGGAGTAATCCGGCCCCAGTTGTTGGGACGGAACGTGTTTCGTTTGTGTCTAACGGGGAATTGGAGAAGCTGGTCGTAAATGCCTTGCTGGTCGTTTACGTTCCGTAGGATCGTGATACATTTTTTTTCGTTCTTCCTATATGATATGCGTCGACGTAATGATATGTTTCTACTGTTGTTTCTGATGAGAACAAAATGGCCTATGCTGATCGTTTGATAATTTTTTTGAAATCCCAAGAATCTCATGCATCATGTTTTACCCATCGACATCGCGACTCGACTGTTGATGGTGGTTAAGGTACTCTAGAAAATCCAAATCAAGTTCTTGGAATTTCTTTAAGCTGAGAGTAGTGAAAAAGTTGTCATCACAAAAAATTGTCGATTTATGAATCACATGCGTCGCCTACCAGACGCTCGCTCAAGCATGATTTCAGACTTGAGTAGGCGATGGTTTGTAGCTGTGACCGCCCGAAGATCGGGCCGCCTCGATTTGTGATCGTACATCTTCGTCCGCCGCTCGGCCTCCGAATGATTTGTTCAAATCTTTTTCGTCATCTACTTCTGTACACTTGCTCAACGTTCCATCAAGATGGCATCAAGGATGATTTCTATATCGTCGGACTTCGCTCAGCTTCCGTCCTTACCACTGGCTATGTTCGAAGTCTGATATCTGGACTCTTCCCTGAGCTTGACAGACGATTCAAAATTGTACTTCAACGCGTCTTTTCCTCCATTCGCTTTTCAGGATGGCCGTCGATCTGCAAGAATCAGGTTCAAAACTCAGGCGCAGTCGTAGTTTTGAGACCCTTTGTCCAAATGTCAGTTCTGTGTGCGAGCTCGAATTCACCGTTGCGATTTGGTTGCTTATAACAGCGCAACTTCGTTTGTTCGATGGTGTTTGCGCTTCGTTTGTCGTTGTGGGGTACGTGCCGTACTTACCTCCTGCATCTGCTTTACTACACCGGTTGAGTGGAATGATTTCTATGTTTTATGCTACCAACTCTAGAATCGGATCTAGGGCAACGGACAAGCAACGAAATCATATTGCCGGATGGAAATAAAGTTTGTGATTCGTCATTTCAGTTTAAGGAGATAGTCATAACCTATCAAGGCAGTATTCAAGGGACCGTCTATTACTTTCTTTCCTTGATCAAAAACTTTGTTGAACACTAGCGCTGAATCCTGATTTAATTATACGGTAACAGGGCTTTCTCCAAACGATTCTTGAAGCCTAATGTCTGCCTAAGGTAAGTACATGCACAATGAATAGTCACCTTACGTCCATTTCTTTTTCATAGAAAACCACCAGTAAGAAGATACTAGAGACAAGATATGCAATGTCGCCCATGTACCCACCAAAGCGTCCGCGAAACTCCGGAAGGGCTTGATTCTAAAGTAAATCATCACGAAGACTAAACTTTCGGTGAGGTCAACGATTGGATTTCAGCCTTTTGAGTGTTGAAGATGACAGCGAAGCATGGAAATTGGCGCATAATCCAGCGCGTCGACTATCAGCTGTGTGGCCAACGTAGGCTACGACACTGTGCGATAATACGCTGCTGATTTATCATTGGGGACTGGGAAGCAGATTCTGGCGACCAGGCGACGGATCGCAGTAGTTGGCTTAAAGGTAGAGAGTATTTGGCAGGGAGGGAAAAGCAGGGGGGCGTTGGCTAATGAATCCCAACCCTTCGGTCGGTGAGTCCGCATCGCTGGGCGCCTACGTAGCGTCACATACTACTTCGGGGTGAGCTATATTTGCACCAAGTGAGCCAGGTCGTTTGATCACATCACCCGAATGATAACTGGATACTATCCTTCAATAGCCAGGATATGTGGGGCCTCCTACGGCGTCCACGAGCTACTCGTCGCACATATCTTCCCTTGACACGTAGCAAGACTTTTTCAGGTGCGTTTGAGCCGTTCTGGAACCTGTCAAGACAACGAGGAAGAGGTCGGCGGAGTGATGCTTGAAACGACAGGAGCAAAAGAAAGCATGGCAGAAAGAAAAGGAACACAAGGATGTTCAAGGTGGCCAACTCTTGCAAGGGGCGGCCTCGAGGCTTATTGCTCTGACGTTGTGTCAATGTCAAGGTTGGCCCTAACCACTTTTACGTCCCTCATGGCCGTCATGTTCCTGAATCCTGAGGATATTCCCGTTTGCATCACAGAAAACTCCCTGACTTATCTATCTATGTATATATGGACAGGTCTTGTGTGGGCATTGATCTTGAAAGGTCCCCGAGTCGGGACACGCAGAGAGAAGAGATATCGGGTAGAACATTTACGCCACTTTTGTCGCAGTCCAGAAGGATGCATGATAAACGTATCCTAACATAGCCTGAGCGTTGCTTGTATAGGTAGTGTCGATCGTCTTCTCGTTCTACGCCGACGGCATCGACGGCATGAGGCTTTAATTTGCACCGGTTAGTGAACAGCTCACCGAAAGCTTGAATCCAATCGTGCTAGCCAGGGATTTGACCTCTTCTAAATCAAGTTCGACAGATGGATCGTTTGTGTTGTTATTTTCCCAGTGCCAGAGAAGCGGCCCTGCGAAATCTGATCAAAATCCCTGATTAAAGACGAGAACGGCAAAAGCAACCCAAGTTAACCCAGACGCCGCCGGGGGCCAGAATGCGATGAATAATACGAAGATAGTTGACAATGTTTTTGGCCTGTCAAAGAGATTTATGAATGCTCCGAGATTGAGATGAGTAAGCCCACTGTGTCGATAAAAAAGCAGGTCAAAACGGCGTTCCACTTCCCGGATTGAGGTTCATCAGGATCGGATTCAGATCCGTATATTTCTTCAAAATCACCTAAAAATATTTTTCAAGCTCAAATCGCAATGTCTTATGACCAGATTTACCAGCTACAAGCGAAAAGTTGGACCCTGGAGGCAGGACGGATGGCAATACGTCTGGAATTGACACTTCCCGTAGGATAGCTTGCCTAGAGGCAATGTTTGAGAAGGAGTGAACGTAGGGGTAGAACTTGTGCGCCCCGATCTCGGTAGTTCTCCAGGGTAAAGTCAGAATGATGAAAGCTATGTTTTGCGGAATCCACAAGTAACGGCTTGAAACGTACTTGTTCAGAATGAAATACGAGGCCAAAAGCATGTAGTGCGAAAATTCGTTGCCTTGGCATGTGAAACCTGGAACAATGAACCTCAAATGTACACGGGTTTAAGAATCGGACGCAAGAAAACGCACCCAAACTGGCAACATCATATGCAAGGCGACCCAGACCTGCACCGGGGACAAGAACCCTCAGCCGCTTTCTGGAATACAAGATCATGAAGGCACGAAAATGATGCCTGAAGAAGGAAAAACCTTTCTTCAAGCGGCACGTGTGCGAAATGTCGCAAAAGCGCATCCTTCATGGGCTCATAGCAAGAATTACGCTCCACGACGCCCTATGATGTTGAGAAATAAGTCTGCTGTTGGTTTGGAGGTAAAAAAGGGACGCACCTCCACACTCCAGTCACGGACAAATTGTTTAAGGGTGCTTCTTAGTTTATCCATATCAAAGTCAGTTGGCTTGTACCTTTTCCGATGCGTCGAGTGTCCATGACCGTGACTGTGTGGGTGCGAGTGTGTGTGCGGCATCCCTGTGTCGATTGTTTAGTTTGACATTCCTTCCTCAATGACAAGTGAAGCAAGGAGGGGACCTGCATGATGTTCGTGTGAATTTACACGCTCCACGTTGCCAATTTGTAGGTTCTCTTCATCCAAGTCAACATCGTGACCGAAGATCTCGGGATTTTCAGCTATCTTCAAGAGAAAATCTGCGTTGATTAGGATAGTCTTGTCAACGTCATCGAGCTTTTGCTTATATCCTAGTTTCTCTAAGACTTCTTGATCGGCTTGGGGAAGGGTATACACGTCTTTTCTTCTGCGATTGTTAGCTGCTAGCTAAATAGAACAGCTGATCGATGAAGCGATGATGCACGGCTGAGAGGAACGTACTGAGTACTGAGCATAGTTACGAAATGTCGCAATGACGTTCGCAAAGTGGATCTGTTCTACAGATTACATCGTTACTAAACATAATCAATAAAACTAGACGTATTTACCTTCATGGATGTCTTCAGGCTGGTGGGCCATGATGGCGATCGAGAACTTTGACCTCGTTGCCACCGAACCCAAATGACAAAAAGTGCTATTTGTTCATGTTGATCAATAGCTTCTAAGTCACGAATCATTTCATTCTTCAACTTCGACGACTCTTGCCCCACTTCAAACATCAGGAGACTCGCAAATTCAGAATGGTGTGCCGAACAAGTGATATTGAGGGATTTCATTACCTGATAAGTCCCTCCACAGGCTCGTAATGAGGAAAAAGCGCAATCTATGCTCTACCGTTTTCGAGAGGCCCAAGCGGCGGAGTTGGGTCTTGGAACACGAGCGGATCGTCGGCCACGGATGGCTAGCGCGTGCAAGAGTCTTAGAGAATGTGAAAGATGGAGAGGAGAGATTCTGAGAGAAATCAGCAGAAAGGTCTCAAAGATTCAGGATGGTGCGTCGGCTTCAATAGTTTGGGTCACTACTAATTTTGTGTAGCTGGGCTTACGGATTATGAGGTTCGGGACCTTAACGATGAAATTAATAAGCTCATGCGCGAGAAACGGCATTGGGAAAATCAAATAGTTGCTTTGGGAGGAGCGAATTACAGGCGTAATGTGGCCATGTTGGATGATGACGGCAAAGAGGTTCCAGGAACGAAAGGATACAAGTGAGTTGCGTCTATAGTATCTGGAGGAGACTGACGACGAATCGATGTCAAGGTACTTTGGTCGCGCAAAGGATCTTCCAGGAGTCAAAGAGCTTTTCCAGAGTCGTAAAAACGAGGAGGAGGAGGAAAATCAAGTCCTCGCGTTCTATAAGAAGTTTTTAAACCAAGGTCCTGCGTACTACGGCGACTTGGACGAAAACGATGGAAAAGTCCTCCAATATGAACGTGAAGCTGAGGAAGATGGTAGGTCCCATCACGGAAGATTTTTGCGCATGCTGATGTCCCTTCTCCTTTTCACTCCCGAACTCAGATTGGACCAAAGCATGCATCAATATTCGAGAGGCTTTGGCCCTGCCCCCCGACTCTTCCTTGCCTCCGTTGCCAAGAAATTCCGACAATCACCCGTCTCTCTCCCAGGCGCACCCACCACCCGCTGTGACATCGAAACGAAAAACCACGGGTGAGGACGAAGATGTCGAAATGGGGGCTGTGGAGGAAGATGCCAAACGGGCGAAGACAGTCTCCTCCCTGTCAACTAATATGATAGACACGGCGTCTGAAGCCGACACCGCTCGCCGACATGCTCAGATGGCAGCTTCACACATCGATTTCCTCGATACTGAACACCTTCTTCCACCGTCGCTTCCGACCCACCAAGAGATGGAGAACGTCCTGCTGAGCCTCAGGAAGAAAGCGCTCGTTGAAGAGTATTTTGGGGACGGCCAGTCCTGATCCATTGCCGGGATCGGTGCTTTTGACCCAGAGAGAAACCTCATCATCCGTGCCTTCCATACGTCGAAGTCGCCAGGTACATATTGCGCCCAATGTCGAAGCTGTTCTTGTATTCTTCGCCTTTTGACGATACAATGCTGCGTTGCTGAGTTCATGAAGTATTTGGTGAGCCCGGTCTGGCGCTGTCGGACGTAGGTCGATTTCCAGGATAATCATCTGCGAAGACGCCCAGATGTAGTAATCTGACAGGCGTGTGCCAGGTATTCTGGTGTCGGTGTTCGCAAGATCAAACTGACCGGGGTAAACTTGTCTCAGGGCAGATTTCCGACCAACAATGACATAAAGTCTATCATTCCTAACATCGCTGTATAGGGATAAATCACTTTCTGAACTTCATGGATCAGGCTTCAGCTGCCTCGGAGTATAGCTGTCATGACAACAGGGCATGATGAATGTACAATCGCACAAGAGGCGGGTGCTGTGAACACCACTTTGTTCCGTTCAGCTTTCAAGGCGGATTTAGGACTTCAGGCCTTCAGGTTCGGATTTAGGTCAACATTTGGAATGAGAGTCGGAGACTCGGAGAGGCATCTACTGTACAGGGTAGCGTATAGGTGAGTAGCAGCGAGGAAGCCTTTCGAAGACTGATGCACGACCACTAGAAAATTTCTGGATGCAAGACTTCTGCCGTCTCTAGCAGGAGACGGCAGACTCTTCTTCTAGGATCATCTTGCAATCCCCGACTCTCCGATTCCCGGGATTTATTCGGTTTTTCTTGAGTTTGAGAACGCTATTTGATGGCCATCTGTGGAGACATTGCTCGAGGGTACTTGGAGGGTACTCAGCGTCTTCTGGACGTAAGACTATTCTGATGCGAGCGCGGTCTGAATTCTCGTCCGAGCGATGAAGGCTTTCCTTCTGTGGTCTCGGCGCCAGCGTATTTTATTCTTGCAGCATCAGAGAACCGTGCCGCCGATGGTGGTCGACCAAAGGCTGATTAAAGGGAACCTGTGAAGTTGCGTTATCTTGCCCAGCTCAAAAGTTGTTGTTGCTACTGACGTACCGTATGCAGTCATGATGAGTTTGGTTTTGCAACCTACTACATTAGTAGGCTTATATCTTTTAGCGCTATGCTATGTGCGCGATACTCTCTCTGCTGTTGACGCTACTCATATCCCAGCCAAAAAATATTTGATGCCGCTATTTTACAACCCATGATCATCTCCACCAGTCGTAGGATCGCCTCACCTACTGACCTGAATCCCGCTGGTAGCGATAATAACTTGCTTTCAAGTGGTTTTTGTCGTATTTGTTCACTTTACTCCGAAACCCCTAGCAATTGATGCATACTCCAGGTGGCGAATGAAACCGGCACTTGATTTATTCGATGGCTGCTTTCCGTGAGTGCTTCTTCTCCTGATACCCATGGACTTCTTCGGCTCATTTTAGAAAAATCGCGGAAATTTTAGTGGAGAATGCGTCGCCATGTAGGCTGGTCATACCATCAATCACCTATTAGCGGCTTGTGTGATGCATTTCGTTGTGGTCTATGATAGGCCACGGAATTCCAGGTAACTCCAGCGATCGCTGATGAATACTGTAATCACAGTGAGTTCCCCTTTCTTGCCCCATTTCTCCGACTTTTCAGGCGATAGAAACTGGGGAGGCGACGCTGCTTTGACCTGAACACCTTCGGGACGGGTGGTTCACGCCCTCCTCACACGGCGATTGTTAAGATCACAACTCAACTTGAAGGTGATTCGAATCGAAGAGCGTTAAATTCGGAACACCATCTCAGCCCGCATTTAACTGATGAATCTTCCCTAGATCGTTCACAGGAATCTGAAGAGTCATTGAATCGTCTGGCACCAATGAAAATTTGGATGAAAGGTCACAGCCACACCGACCACACTCGTCAAACTGTCAGCAAAAATTAATGAACTTCATTCAAGTTGTATTTATTCATCTCTCTTGGACCGCTGACTCTTTGAGAAGATCTATGAAAATGCACGGTTCGCACTTCAAGCTTCAAGACCCAACATTGTGGCATGACTCTTCAGTAAAATGTCAAAATGCGTATGCGTTGGTGCTACTCAGGCTTCAATCGGACATCGCCGCTCGATTTCACACAAAGTAACACGGGTACTACTCAATGGTCTGCACAACTTCGTCCAAAATTGTTACATTTACAACAGATCCGATCCACAAGGGTAGCCGCTCGGCTAGTTTCATATCCCGAGGTGGCCGGACAGCAAGCGTCTAACGGGTTTCGGCCACTCTATACAGCTTTCCCCAACTAACACCTGCTGTCAATGGCACGGCGCGCTAGCCTATCATCGGGATTTTTTTGAACGTCTTTCGGCCGCAAAGCATTCGAAAAGTTATCCACCACTATGTAAAGGTCTCCTGGTACGTTCTTAATCTGCCTTGTATCTTCAAGATCTACAACACAGGTTATTTGTGTGGAGAGCGAGATGCTCAACCTTGCTCAACGTCACAAAAATTGAAACTTTCGAAGGCGAATTCTGACGTCTCGAATATGATTATAGATCCGATCCCGCTTTGACTCGATGATCTGACCCCTCTTTTGACATGTGTAATGGCTTGCGCAGTTGAGACAGTTTAGGCGCCCCTCCTACTTGTGCGTGCAAGCCAGCTTAGACCCGGAGATTAGGAAGCTGACCATATAGTGCACCTTCATTTCCAGCAGGAGGATGATGGTTTGAAAATTTGATCCTAGCTTGTGGCTACAATCAACTATTCCAGTCGAAACGCTCATACTACCACCCTTGTTTTCTCATCACTTGGACTCTGTCTTTACAACCGCCGGCGATAATTGATTATTATTTTTATTAGCTGAAATCTCTTGGTAACATGAATGGGGGCGCTTCACCACAGCCGCCCACAAGAACATTTGATACACATCCGCAAACTATCGGTACATTTCCGTCGTCAATATTTTTGTCCAACCGCACCTGGCTGAGAATAGTGATTGCAGAACGCACGGGGATAGCTGGGGCTCCTCCATAATGGGTACCCGAGTCGGAATCACATTACCAGCGCCCACAAGAGAAACAAACCGTCTTTTACACCGATATACAACGATGTCTAAAAAATGGACACCTACGTGTTTCGCACTCTTCATGTATCGTGACCAACTCAGTAATGAACTGGTGGTAAACAGTAAGACCGTCTATGAGGCTATCTTAGAATGACTTTGATCTAATCAACCCGGCGGTGCCGGTGCTATCGCAAGGCACGCACTACAGTCCACAAATGACAAGAGCACATTCTTGGATTGTCAATTGACATTCGGGGCAGTCCACTTTGCTCGGCTTTCGGAAGGGCACGTGTTAAGCGTCAAAAGAAAGATTGAAGCTTGACAACGTGCACTGCTATTAGTGCTAACTGCAAATGTGGTTATTATCCGAGGTATGCATGTAGGCGCAAGCGATGCTATGTGTGTGTCTTGTCACAATTTATTATCCACTTGAGACTCAACACACACAGGACCCCATTTCTAGCAAGCTCGGCGTGCGATACGAAGGGCGCGAAGATGTATGCCGCTTTCATGGCCTTATTCCATTTGGCATAGATCTCCCATGAGGCACAAAATTAATTCAAATTTTCCCTGACAGATCAGGAGACTGATCTCTCGGGATTTCAGGATAGTTCCCCACGCCGTTTGGGATTACGCAAACGCTACTTCCAAGAATCCTACTGATTCCATCAAGCCTTCCAGTGCTGAATTCGGACTTGAAGATCTCTTCCACCTTCTCCCAAAGATGGATTGGTAGGTGCCACCGTTTGCGCATGTGGGCCCACGCTCGCTACGGAGACATATAAAGCCGTTCAACGATGTTCCCCAGATCTCATTCCGTCCCCTTCCTCCGGTTTCACGACTCCTTCTATTCTCCTTGTAACTGTATAACTGTACACGTTTTACGACCATGGGCAACAGTTCCGATAACGAAACGACTCTTCTCATTTCCCATACCATTCCTCCGACAACGCCTCTCAAGTTCCCCCTTGGGTTGGTATCGGAGTCTGTACGACCATATCTCGAACTCATTCGGCTGGAGAAAGTGCGTACAAGAGGATTGTCTGTATGGCTGTCTATTCTGATGTTTCCCATAGCCGACAGGAACCATTCTTATGTTTTGGCCCTTCGGTACGTCACGTCATGACAGGGACGTGGGGATGTCTTCGCTTACTAATAAGTGCCTCAGCCTGGGGCCTTACGATGGCTGCATACAGCAGTAGCCTTCCGCTAGGGAACTACTGCGTTGACCTTGTGAAGTGCCTGATTGGCGCTTTCATAATGCGGAGCTCAGCATGTACCATTAATGATATCTTTGATCGGAAGATGGATGCCGGCGTTGGTGCGTTCTTCACTCTCTTCAATGTTTCTTATTTACGCAGGCACGCAGAACGAACGCGCAACAGGCCTTTAGCCAGCGGCCGCGTTTCCGTTTTCGCCGCCACTGTATATTTACTTGTTCAGTACGGGATCGGCCTTGTGTTTTTCTCCCTCACTGTACGAGGTCTGGCGTATGTGCAAAATTCCAAAAAGTACTGAGATGTGTCCTCATGATTCATTCGCAGGCTTTATGTCGCACTCTTCCAACTTCTCCCTATGTGGGTATATTCGTTGATATGCGAACCCGAGTCTGATGACGACCATTCATAGTTTCGCCATTTACCCTCTCATGAAGCGCGTGACCCACTGGCCGCAAGCGTGGCTTGGGTTCGCAATGAATTTCGGTTTCGTCACCGCCTGGGTTGCGACAACCGGCGACTTTAACATTAATTTGATTGGCGCAGCGATGACCGGTTGCTGGTTGTATGTCTCTATTTTTCTTCTGTTACATACGTTTGCTCATCTGCTTTTCCTTCTTTAGCTGGACTATGTTGTACGGTATGCTACCCTTTCAAAAAGTCGTGGTTTCTTACTCATTCATTTTTTCCTAAGATACCATATACGCCTGCCAGGATATCAAAGACGACGTGAAAATGGGGGTTCGTTCGACTGCCATCCTTTTCGGCGAGTGGATTCGGCCTCTTCTCATGCTCTGCGGAGTTGGGTTCGTCTCAATGCTTGGTCTCGCTGGATACCTCAACAAACAAGGACCGGCATACTTCATTGTATCAGTTGGGGGTGCGGCTTTGCATGTTATCTGGCAGTTCCTGACAGTTGACTTGGAAGTGCCGGCGAGTTGTTGGAGTGAGTTGCACATACTTTGTGATCTTTGCGACTCGGCTGACACTTTGTTGCGTTCTAGGGAACTTCAACCGCAACGGTCAACTTGGTTGGATCGTTTGGGGTGGCCTCTTTGTCGATTACCTCAACAGCTCGGGGGTCATCTGATTCCACTGAAAGTATTAGTATTAGGTTTCTGACATGGATTCGCTTTGATGTTAACCTGTTCTCCGCAATTTGTAACGGACGCCCTCCTAACATCCACCACTATTTCTGTACCATAATACATCATGCAATTCCATCTCTGTATACCATCACACCTGTACCATAATTTTTCATCCTGTCAATTGAAAACATCCCTCATCCTACCTTCCTCAAAGGAGGCAATGAAATATTGAATATGGTTTGATTCATGCAAAGACGGCGTTCTACTATAAGTACATATTCCTTAGAAAATAGTTTGTGAAGGGATGGTCGAAAAAAGTGGACACTGTGGGAATTGAACCCACGACCTCACGCAATGCAGGCGATGCGAAGCGTGCGCGCTACCCCTGTGCCAAGAGCCCATGCTATGAAATTAGTTGGCTGTGCTACTCCCCTACTAAAATTTAGTAAAAATACTCCACATATTATTATTAGTATTAGAACCCCATGACATAAGCTACCCTCCTTTAACTCACCACGCCTCGTGCAAGGACGAAAATCTCCACGTTCCGAGCTAGCCAAAAGAAACGGTCGGTAAATCAAACGGTGAAATAAAAAATAGGCACCTTCAGGACACAGCGACTTCGTCTGCAGTGTACGGCAACGGTGAGTAACAGATGGACAAGTTTTTCAGTTCAGTCGAAGACACGTTGCGAGCATGGGGGCGCATGGAAGGAGTGGAACATTCAAGGTGAGTCGCCTTCGCTTCATGGCTTCAACGAGAACAAAGCATGCCATTCACCACCGGTCACAGGGTCAGATTTTCCCTAGTTTCTTGTTGGTGTCTGGTTGTGAAGATAGGCCCCAGTCCTCTCGAATCCCCAGACCAGTACTTACGCTGATTTGGACATCTGTTGTGAGTTTCGATGGTTGGTGTATGTCAACCGATGGATGACGGCCTTTGGTCGTAAGCTTCCAACTTTGATCGGAAGAAAACTACCGATCCTCCTGTTGACATTGAGCTCTTTCTTCCAGATGTACCATGAGTGGTGATCTACCTTGATCTACGGGTCCCTACAATGGCAAACGCGAGGTATTTCATGCAAATTTCATGAAGCCCCTGGCGGAGCTTGGGGCGGATTCTCTCCACGAATCCTGGGTTCCAACTACGCCCGCCTCACAGACTTTGAAATTTCTTTACGACATGCGATAGCCCACACTCTAGAATTCTTCATTTGCTTATGGTCGGTCTTCCTGGAGTTGTGGCTCTAACCTTGGCACTGTCAGGTGACGGCCACATACTGTTCTAACAATGCTGATAAGCATTTGAATGTCCTCGCTATGCTGCTAGACTGGGGGCGGTCAGGGGAACCGACTAACGAGGAATAAACACCAACTAGTCCAATGCAAGAGTGGAGCATTTTGGCAGAGTTCTCGACACTTGTGCAAGTAGGGATTGGGGGCGACCGAAATTGATCATTACCTCCTGCACGAGGGATGGTTCGGCACCGGCTATCGGGACGATGGCGCACCCTAGCGCACCCCTCCTTTCTGTAGACCCTCGCCTCGCTAGAAGTTCTACAAGAACCATAGAGTTGACGATTTTTTTTGCCAAGGGGGTACCACCTGCTCCGGTCCCCTGTGTTCAGCTGCCACGAAGTCGAACACGAGGCGTGCTTATTCGTCCACAAAAACAAGCCGCTTTTCTCGGAATGGTGCCCGCTGTCCAAGCCTGGTCTGAGCGCTGAATCTGGTGTCACCTGCGAACTTTTGGGACGCCGTCGTTTGAGAACCGTTCATTGCTCGCTCATCCTGTGCATTCTTCCTTGACGCCCTGCGGGAGGGACTATGTATTTCCGTGATCGGGCCCCGAATCAAAGGTGATAACGGCTTGACGTCCCCAGATTATCTGCACAGGGAAGTAAATCCATAAGTATAATCTCAGGGACTCAGGAACCGCCCGCTTCGGCTTCTTGTCGGCTCAAGTGTTAAAAGTTAGACGCCGATTTCACAAGCTTATACGCTTACCAATGCTTATCAGTGCGAGCGATAAACGCATACCGCCGCTGCCTGGGTAGGGTACACCGTTTTAGTAAGTAGTGAAAGCGTTTGTGGTGTAAAATTCCACACTGCCTAGTACATACTAGGGTTCTGGATGTAAAACTGAATTGGCAGTGGAGAAACAGTTGAAAGCTGGGTCAAGGCAGAAATGACCCTGTGTGATCGAAATGCTTGTTCAAACTTCATGGGATTACAATTTACATTGCCGATGATGTCAGGCATCACTTCAAGTTTGCTTCAAGTCGCGCCAGGTCGCGCCATGACAGGAAACAGGGTGCCAGTGCACTTTTCGGGCGCGGCTGACTATTTCGAGTAGTCCGAGACATCCACTTTTAACAGAGTATGTCAGAAAGAGTATGTCATGAGTTGGAAACATCAATACTTTGATGAGGTGACGCACGATACAAGCAGAAGGCACTTTGCAATTGAAATAACATGATACACCTGAAATTAGATTTCAGATAGTACCCAGGTGGAAGTAAACGTCAACTGATCTTTGAGGCGCCGTTACTTTCCTAATTGGCTTCTGTTGATCTTATCAAGCAGGCTGATCATGATCGCAGCTTGACACAAACGCAGATCATAACCACCGTGGACGTTTGCCTATGTTTGCATGCTAGTTTGGGAGCAGCATGGCGTAAGATCACTAGATTGATCATGGTTTTGACAAGGGACGGAAGCAAAAGTACCTCTCTAAGCACTAGCTTGCATAGCCATGAACCTAAGAAGATCTAGGATTGTTTAAATTTTCAACCGAAGTAGCAATTCCTTAACAAAAACCTGAGGCAATCAAATCAGACTTCGTCATAGACTGTTGAAAATTCATTCCCTCTCCTCGGTTTTGGCGCTAAGCGATGCGAGCGCGAAATCGAAGGATGAGCTGACATCGGATCCAAGGCCCAACACCGATGATCGGAGAGCTGGCGACAAACTGAATTGCGAGTCCATCTTCGCAGCACATTGACCCAATAAGCCAGCGATTGGACATGATCTGGAAATGACAGTGGTAGCACCGATTTCCGAATCCAAACAAGCTGATCCTCACCATCTTCACCTCATCAAATCCTGAGCGGAGTATCGAATACCCTGAGTTTGCTCAGATAAGATATGTGGTATTTCAAGTTTGCGCAGCGGAAACAATTTTTTTCCAGCATTTGAAATCCTTCCTCTATGATCGGAGAAGTATACCGAATCCATAATTCACATACATAGTACATACCCATGTTGTTGCCTCCATTTTACGCTCCCATGAGCGGAGGATTCTTTCGGGTTCCCTATTATCAGTAAATTAGAAGTGAAGGCACCCTAGAAGCGTAGCGCACCATAGCAGAATTTCACCCAGTAACGACAGATAACGGCCCCTTGTGCACGTTGACTCAATACTAATGCTTGCTGTCGGAGGACGACGCTCTTTTAATGACGCTGTAACAGATAAGATGTCGTAAACAAGGTTTTCTGAAATTTGAGGTTGTTAGTGAAGGGGCGCAGAACTGCTCCCCGGATCGTACGTACTACGTATTGCCCAACCACTGCCTAAGGCGCTGATAATCCTGAGCTTTTCGAGTTATATCCAGCCAAAATTGTGACAACAAACCTTCGACGGTGCCTGATCTTTCAACCCGTTAGCAGTGAAGTGGTGGCGAGGCCGTTGCTGAGCGCGTATACGAGGAGGGAAGCCTAAGAGATGGCCGAGTCGAAGACTCTGGAAGCTCATTTTCTTTGTTTATTCCTATTGACGCGTCAAGTTCACGTGAGCACACGCGCTTCAATGTTGAACTTTAAGTTTCTGCACAATAACTTCTACTACTCTCCACGCCGTCGTCGACGACGCCCACGATTCTCTCTGTAGCCTCAGTAGAACACTTCCACAATGGCGACTATGGACACCAGCGGCTTCAGTCAGGTTGGGCGCTACGGTACAATCAGCCTAATGAAGCGCCACGAACCCAATACTGTCGTCACGGCATTTGGTGTAGACTCGGAAGAATTAACGTTTGGAAGGGATCCTGGATGTAGTGTGAGACTCTACTATCCAGAAGTTAGTCTGGTTCATTGTAAGATTGTGTTTGAGGACCGGAAGGCACGTTTTTTTGTTTCGACTTTCTCATTTTTCTGGCTAAACTCACTCTAGGCATTCCTTGTTGTCTTGGGCGAGGCTGGCCTCTTCATCGATGGTTGCAAAGTCTACCCAAACAATCCGGCGGCTGGGTCTTTGATGACCATACCACTGACGAACAACTCGGAGCTTGAGATTCACTACAAACGTTTTCGATTTTCATACCCCCCCAAAGATCTCCGCGCCACGCTCATGGCATCGCCAGCTCGTAAGTGATGTCATTTGACCGTCACATAGCCCTGTAAACAACAAATTTTGTACAGCACCAAGAAACCGCGCACTTCGGCTCTCAATGATCCAATCTGCTCAAGTATTCACGCCTAGACCATCGAAAGACCCTCGAGAGAATCTGCGTGTCCTACAGAGCCCTTTAAAGAACACATTCAAAAGCTTTAGCAAGCCATCATCCCTGTCCAGACCGCCCTTGAACGCACCCGAGGAGGAAGGAGAAATCGTCCTTGTGGATGGGAACCACCCCCTTGTCGTTGAAGAAGAACGGGACCTTGTTATATTAGAGGACGTTGAAGTCCAACCCCCCGCGCCACCTGTGCCACCGCAATACCAGGCTCCACCTCAGACGCCACAACGCAAACGGTCTCTCTCTCGAAATACCCTGCATCGAGCAGTGCTCATTCGGAGCGCACAGAGAGCTGTTTTACGCGCCGAAAAAGAGAGAGAGGAAGAAGAGGAAGAGATGGAGGTTCTCGGAGCCGTGGCTGCCAATGTCGAGGAGAGTGATGAGGAAGCAGATCAAAGTGGCGAAGAAGAGTATACCGATGAAGACGAGGACGAGGAAGAGTCGGAACAGCAGACCACAGCACAGAAGTCTCTATGGAGAAAGAGTTTGGAGCGTATTTGGCCGTTTGGAAGCTCTAGTGGTGCCGAAGATGAAGTTGATGTAAGTCATTTCATTCCACCTGTTTCCTCGAAGCTCATGGTGTATTTGAAGGACGATGGAGCCGAATCTAACTCCGATTCTGATTCTGAGACAGAGCATACCCCAATCAACGAGATACCCCAGGACGATGAACAAGATGATGCTGAGATGGAGGAAGAGGAAAATCTCGCCCCTCTACCTACTGTCCCCATGCAAACTCCCGCTCGGCGAGTCCTAGGCTCCTTCATGACACCCCAGGCACGAGGCCCGACTCGTACCACCTTCCCTAACTCGTCCGATACTGGCCAAGCTCCCCCGCCACAACTCGCTCCCGGTGGGAGTGTAGGGCGCCTCTCTCTTGGAGGCATTGAGGCCAAACGAGTGCCCCTCCCCCAGACATGGCGCGTCAGGGACATTGTAGTGCCCATCAATCCCGCTCCGCCGTCCACACCTCAGGGAGTCAGGAGGGGAACAGGTTTCTCTCTCCAACAGACTACACCCCGTGCCGTCGGATTTTCTGGAAGACAGACCCTCACGGAGGAAGAACGGAAAGCCATACAAGATCGCAGGCGCAGTGCCTTGCGCGAAGCGGACACTTTTTTCGTTGGTGGTGTTCCGGGAATGTCGCCATCCAAGCCAACGCCCGCCTCCTCCTCCTCCTCCGGGTTTGCTGCGTCGAATTCATCGTCACCCGTGAAATTGACATCCAACCTGTTTGCCATTCGCTCTCCTGTGAAGCCGGGTCAAGCTGCAGATAGGAGGGAGAGCACAGGGGACGATGAAGATGAGTTAGACACGAGGAGCCTCTTGGAGAGGATGAAGGAGACAGTGGAGGGTATGAAGAGAAGGAGGAGTATGGCACCAGGAGGCGGCTTGGATAGTACTCCCCGTCCTGGAAGGGAGTTCTCAACTCCTAGAGAGATTCCTTCTACCCCTCTTCCTGCTCTCTTTGCGGCTGCGGCGGGTCCCATAAGTGTAAAGCGTGAAGACACTATGAATGAGCCGGTCGAGGACAAGGAGCTCAAATCGGCGAAAGACGTACCTTTCTCCTTGTTAGCTCCTGGAGCAAGAGAGGAACTCCTTACAAGGAGGCAAAGCGTAGTCGTGTTGGATCATGCTTCTACCGTGCCCGTGGTTATTGATGCAGCTTCGGACGATGACATGAATGTGGACGAGCCTTCTACGGAGAAGACTACCACCACAAAAGAACGTCCGAAAGCAAGGCTTCTACGGTCCAAGAAGAGTGCGGCTGAACCAGAAGAGGCAGAGGTGCCTATCGAAGAGCAAGAGAGCGCAAATCTCAATCTTGTACGTATCCAACCTTCTGCTTTGTTTACTTCAAGGCTTACACCTACTTATTCCAGGAACCTAAAACGAAGGCTAGAACTGGTGCTAGACGAGGTACCACTCCCCGCGTACCAACTCCACAACCTGAACCTGAAGTTGATGTCAGAGAACCTGACGTTCATGAACCCAAGCTCAAGGTGCCTAGTTCTCGTCGGACCCGGACGCGTACCGCAGATCCCGAAGAGACCCCAGTTCCTCCTCCCGTGGTCGCTAAGAGAGGGTCTTCCAGGAAAGCCACCGTCGAACCAGAGGCACCTGCTGCCCCTGCACGACGCGGTCGCAAGGCTATCGCTGAGCCTGAACCCGAGGAGGGACCGGAGGCGAAAGCCGTTGTTAGGAGAGGTCGGAAGCCTGCTGCAGCTGTCATCAAGGAGGATGGGAATGAAGATGCAATTGTCCCTGCACCTTCTACGGTCAAACGGGGTACCAGGAAGGGTGCTTCGACCCCTACTACAGAATCAACGAAGGGGCAACCAACTTCGTCAAAGCCAGCTACTGCAACAAAGCGAGGGAAGAAGGTTTCGGTTGACGATGAGGCCGATCCTCTAGCGATCGAAGTCCCTGAAGATGAGACGCCAGCTCCGAAGGCCAAAGGCAAAAAGAAGGTCGTGGCTGTGAAACAGGAGGACGAGCTGGAAGACCATGCCGCTTTGCCTCCACCACCAAGCAAGAAGCCTGCCAGAAAAGCCACGGCTACCAAGACTCCAGCTGCGAAATCGCGAGCGAAGAAGACGCCAGCTAGTGCGCCAGCAACCATTGAAGGCGAGGTAGATAAGGAGAATACGCCAAGATCGATGTCGCCTGCTACGCCTGAGCTTGCTGAGGAGGGGGCTGTGAAAGTTAGAGTTCCCAGGACGAGGGGAACGAAGGCAGGTGGAGCTGGGACTTCGAAGACGAAAGTTAAGGTAGAGGACACTCAGGAGGTTGATGAGCCTGCGAGAGGTCGGTCAATGAGGTCGAGGACGAGGACAAAGACTGGTTAGACTTTCTTGAATGATATACCCCCCACTCTGAATTTCATGTCAGAGTTGTAACTCGTTTATAAAACTTCTTTCTCCGTTCAAGTCACCCAAGGCATCAACGTTCAACCGTCTGACCATGCTATCTCGCTGCAATTCACATTTCTTTTACTATGACCATTCGAGGCAGTAGCAGTATCCACCAGCCAACCACCAGCAGCCTCCCCTCAGGGTACATCCCCTCCACGGCAGTCTCCGCCTAGGATTTTGTAACACAGGTGTGTCTCACATACTGGAACCCAATTCCAACCAACCAACCTTTCATATACTGCGCCTGATACAGCTCAGCATCGCAGGCCAAAGAATCTCTTTCCTCGACCCTAACCTCGCTCTTCTCACGCACCAACGACGACGACGACAGCGCAAAATTAACTAATCCACGCATAGCTTGGCTCACGGGCATTCTGTCGGTGTCAGATACCTGAGCTCTCACACTACACCACTTGAATGTCGCACAGACACTAACACCACGAAAACACCAAACAAGAACTACCCCAAGCAGGGTGAAAAAGTCGGTGAGTAACTTCATTCTCTCTGATACGCGTCATATTTTAGCTCACAAAACTTACATAGTAGATTTCGTTCCACCGCAATCGACCAACTCGAGCAATTAACCAACCCGGAAAGGGGCAAGGACAGGGCAAGGAACACAAATACGTGTATCGGAAGCGCAAACGATGCCCGGGTGGGAAGTGACGGATACGCGTCTAAGAGGTGTTGCACATCATGGAGAGATGACTGCGGAAACGAAAATGTAAGCACTCGCCTTGTTCCTCATTCACGATACTGCTCAGTGCTCACTCCCAACGCTGTCCAGCAGTGTCCAGCACTCCATCGCCCTTTAGAGCACAGGCAACACGTAAAGCCGATTACTTTGATGCCAACAAACGATGAGCAATCTTGATACGTAGAACGCATAGATTGCAGCAAGTAGTCGGGGTTGAAGGAATGCGCCTGCGGAGAACGCTGGATGAGCGATGAGGAACGATACATGCAAAGTAAGTCCTGACATCGCTTGTCTCATGACCATCCACATCTGAAACTCACCTTTTTTTTAGCATCAACTCAACGAGTTCTATTTCAAGTTGCACCAGCAAATACTCGGAGATTCAATAGCGCTCGCGGGTGATTGTAAGTAGCCTATCCCCTGAACATGGTACTACCAGGGTCATGTAAAAACTTTCTACTAGGTGTTCCCAAACTAATGACTACCGACAAGGAGGAAGCCTTAACACCATCAATTGAAATTGTCGGCGGTACTGGGATGTTGAAACATGTGGTTGTCAAGACGCCAGCTTTTGCCCAGCGACCGTTGATGGTTGGTTGTTGAAGGCAAGGTGGATGAAGGGAACACACCGACATCGACGTCGCCTGCTACGCCTGAGGCTGAGGAGGAGGCTGTGAAAATTGAGTCTCCGTAGGCAGTGGGAACCAAGGCGGTTTAGGGCATTCTGGGTGATATATATCCCACTCTGAGACGAGTTGAAGGATCGCTTCAAGGTGAAGTGATTGCGTGGTCACGTGCTTTTTCAATTATGAGACGATTCGATAAACGAATTCTTTTACTTATCACCATCCGCTGACCATGTCGACCACTGCGGTGTCTGTCCTCGAAAGTCCACAACCAGCATTTCCATTCGAGATAATGGAAAAAATTCTAATTGATATGGATGACATTCCCGAAACTCTTCGAAAATGCGCCCTGGTCAATTCCTTCTTCCGAGCTGTCGCACAGAAACGCATCTTTTCAACTGTTGAACTGGTCCATTATGACCAGTACAGTCCACACCCTCCGCATAACCAAATAAAATTTTTGGATGTCCTCAATTCTGCACCACACCTGGCTCTCCACGTCCGCTCATTGCAGATCCGATACGTCCAAACCAGCCAGCGCAACGTCGTGGATTGGACTGCTGTATTCAATGAAGTAAACGAACCGAGTGACAATATGATCTCGTCTATCCTTCCCCTCCTCACGAACGTGCGCAGCATCAGCCTCGTCGCAGATCAATTCCACAGATGGGGGACGTTATGCCCCAACGTCAGATCTGCCCTTATCTCTTCCTTTCACTCTTCTTCAATAACCCATCTCCAGCTCGGCAACATCGATGGGATACCACTTTTCACAGCTTTGGCCGGATGCAAGTCTCTTGAAGGCTTATCACTTTTTGGTTCGACGAATGCCACTTGGGGACTTCCTCCAAGCAATGTTGAACTTTTACACCAGCGAAAATCTTGTCTTAAATACCTGGAAGTGAAGGAGATTCCGTCATTCGACAACTTTGTGCTACACCTTCTTGACCCGTCTATGAGCCCGGTTAATGTCTTGCATTTGGAAAGCCTTGTCATTCAAGCAAGACCCGGAGAGGGTGACACAGGCATTCCACAATTGATTGATGCTTCTCACCGCACACTCAAGTACCTGGCCTTGTATCAAGGGAATAGATGTGAGTCGATTCCCCTGATTCTTGAGTTTATTTTCATCTATTTTCAACATATGCAGACTGCGGATTCCCTATTTCGGCGCCCACACCCCTCACTCACATCCCTCATCTGCAGCGCCTAGACGTCAGATTTATACTGATGAAACCGCTTGACCCCCCTTCGCGTTCATGGCTTTCAAATCTTTTGGAGACCATCCCACCAACGAGCGAATTGAAAGAGTTGAACCTCACAATCAACATACTGCGCCTGCCAGTGGAGGCTGTTTCCGAGTCCGACCTGAGAGATTGGATGTCCTGGGCCGATTTTGCCTTTGACCCTACTTCAAAACAGGTTAATGGCCTTGATTTGATCCAGTTCATCATTCCTAGAAGTGAGGAAGACCTAGCACAAAAACTTAGCTTAGTTTTTGAGGAGGATAAACAGTTGGAGCCGCTGCGACGAAAAGGTGTACTTCGTGTAAACTTGGCAGGTATCTAGCTTTGAGACTGGCATTTTCGCAGCCATCGAGATGTTTTCTGTTTCTTGACAACCATGCCAGACTGCTAGTGTCTGGATTTTACCACCGTAGTAACGCACGTGACCTCATGCCACAAGTTGCCACTCTTTGCCACTCGAACCAGCTTTCAAGTTCAACGTTCGACGGCCACGCCCATGACTGCAATCTCCATGTTCGAGACACTACAACCAGCATTTCCTTTCGAGATCATGGAAAAAATATTGATCGATGTTGACGACATTCCCTGGACTCTTGAAGAATGTGCACTTGTTAATTCCACCTTTCGCAAAATTGCACAGAAGCGTCTCTTTTCCACCATCGAACTGATCCACTATGATCAGCATGGTGGACCCCATCCTCCGCAGAGCCAGATAAATTTCCTCGACGTCCTCAATTCTACCCCACACCTGGCTCTTCACGTCCACACACTGAAGATCCGGTATGAACAAACTGGAAGCCTCGAGTGGGAGGTTGTTTTTGACGAATTAAATGAACCGAGCGACAACGCGATCTCGCGAATTCTTCCGCTTCTCGTGAACGTGCGCAACTTCAGCCTCATCGCCGATCCATTTCATGTATGGCACACATTGTGCCCCAGCGTCAGATCTGCCCTTATCTCCGCCTTTCACTCATCTTCAATAACCCACCTGGAGTTCAACGCCCTCGATGAGCTCCCACTTTTTACAATTATGGCTGGGTGCAAATCTCTCGAAAGCTTATCACTTACCGGCACCTTCGGGGGTGATACGGCCTGGGGAGAAGTGACTCCCAGTACTATGGAACCCGTTCACCAGCGAAGGCCTTGTCTTAAATCCCTTCAAATGATACAGATTCCATTTCTTGAAGACTTCGTAATGCGCCTGCTTGACCCAGATACCACTCCTGTTAATTCTTGGAATCTACAAAACATTCTCGTTCAAGGAGAGCCTATAGGGGATCACGCGGGACTTGTGCAACTACTCGATGCTTCTCATCGCACACTGAGACACTTGACTTTGCTTCAAGGAGACGAATGTGAGTTGCGCATTCATGTCGTGAATTAACAAATGAGTTGTGTTGATCCTTATATTCGGACATAGACTTCGGGGTTCCTATCACAGCTCCTGTACACCCACCTCTCGCGTGCCTCTTTCAACTTCAGCGCCTAGATCTCAGATTTATATTTCGGGCACCGCTCGAATACAGCAATGATAACTCCCCATCGCACTCTTGGTTGTCAAATTTTCTGGCAACCCTTCCCGAACAAAATGAATTCTCAGAGTTGAACCTCATGATTGAAGCACGCCGGCAGGAGGATATCTCTGATTTGGACCTGAGAAAATGGATGTCCTGGGCCGACTTCGCTTTTGACCCTGCCTCGAAACAGATCTGCCGTCTTAATCTGATCCAGCTCATAATTTCATCGGCTGATCGAGACTTTGCTCAAAAGCTCAGCCTCGTTTTCGAGGAGGATGAACAGTTGGCACCGCTATGGGGGAAAGGGATGCTTCAGCTATCAATTATATCGGGCAACGATTTTTTGAGCTGACTCGGACAGTCTAAACTTCTTCGGGAAAGAGACGGTCCTGTCACCCGGCAAGCGCCGACGCGCGCCAAGTCAGGGTGCTGAACTGTCCCTCGGTGATCGGACTGTCTCCTCAGGGTCCATCCCCTTTTGGGAGAGTGTCACGTGCTTTCGCGCCCTTCCTCTTGCGCGTCGCTCACCGACTCCTCATTTCAGGTCGACCGCCTGCGACCCCGCGCCTAACGCTAGCCTCGGGGACGACAAAGCGTCACCAAAAGATGCTGTTCAGCAAACTCAGGAGGAGCGAGAGCGTATTCTTCAATGGGTGAGTGCATTTTACAGCCTTGTCCTTCAAGTTAATGTGTGTAGGCAAGAGACATCGTCAAAAAATATCCCTACCAGCCACGGAAAGTGCGACAGGAAGCTGCTCGTGCAAAGGTATGTTGTTTAGTGTTTAGTCTTCCAATGAATTTCTTCACAACTTACAAGAAGATATCACAGCATCAATTGAATTTCTGTGAACAGTGCGGAAGATCCACCTTGCAAGATAGTACTTGATAGCTAGTTCTACGTACCGTAAATGATGGGGTTCACTAACAAAAGCATGGATCAACTCGATATAATTTACTCCTTTGAAATTGGCCTGAGCCTAATAATATAGAGAATCTACATAAAACCCCCCCTCAGATCTGTTGTGTGCCCACAAGACCGAGCCGCAAATGTGAACAGCTGGCTGCCACATCTCATAAATGGGGGAGGTAATTGCTGGATTGATCAGCATCAAGTAGAACCCAAGAACGTAGAAATCGAGTCAGAACTTACATGCAAACCCCAAATTCTGCCCAAAGACTTTATCCCCCCCCCACAAAATAGACACAGAACACGAATGGCTACGTGCCACATTTCGTAAAATCATGGGGCGGATGCTGGAGAGACTGACATAAATTAGAACCCAGCAGCCTAAATGCCGAGTAGGAATTCACTTGTCAATCACAATTTACGGCATTGGACCTTGTCCCGACAAAATCGAACGCTGAATTGGTACGGTTGCAAACCATGTTTCGTAAACTCAGAGAATAAATTCTGGAGCAATTCCAGTCAAGTAGAACCTAAGAACATAAAGTCCGAGTATGAACTTACTTGTCAACGCAGATTTTTGGTGTTGGACCCTATTTTCTCACAGAACTGAATGCCGAATTTGAACGGTTAGGGCCCACATTTCGTAAACTCGGGAGGTCGCTCCTGAACCAATTTCGGTCAAGTAGAGCACAAGAACGTAGAATGCGAGCAAGAACTTACTTGTTAACCTCAATTTTCGGTAAGGGACCTTATTTCCTCACAGAACCAAACACCGAATGTGAAGGGTTGGGCGCCATGTTTCGTAAACTCGGGTGGTCGCTTCTGAGGTAATTCTCGTCAAATAGAGCCTAAGAACGTAAAAAATGAGCGCGAACTTACATGTCAACCTTAATTTCTGTTAATGGGACATTATTCCCTCCACAAAACCGAAGACTGAATTGAACGCTTGGCGTCATGTTTCGTAAACTCGGGTGGTCGTTCCTGGAGTAATTCTCGTCAGATAGAGCCTAAAAACGTAAGAATCGAGTGAGAACTTACATGTCAACCTTAATTTCTGTTTATGGGCCTTATTCCCCCCACAAAACCGAAGACTGAATTGAACGCTTGGCGTCATGTTTCGTAAACTCGGGTGGTCGTTCCTGGAGTAATTCTCGTCAGATAGAGCCTAAAAACGTAAGAATCGAGTGAGAACTTACATGTCAACCTTAATTTCTGTTTATGGGCTTTATTCCCCCCACAAAATCGAGCACTGAATTCGAACGCTTGGGCTTCATGTTTCGTAAGCTCGGGTGATCGTTCCTGGAGTAATTCTCGTCAGATAGAGCCTAAGAACGTAAGAATCGAGCGAGAACTTACCTGTTAGTCTCATTTTCTGGTAAAAGACTTTATTTTTTTGCAGAACCGAACGCTGACTTTGAACGGTTGGGCGTGATGTTTCGCAAACTCGGAAGGTTGTTCCTGAGGTAATTTCCGTCAAATAGAGCCCAAGAACATAATATACGAGTAAGAACTCACTTGTTGAGCTCAATTTCTGCCAATAGACTCGATTTTCCCGCAGAACTGAAATTTGAACGGATGGGCGGTCCGTTTCGTAAACTTGGGAGGCGCTTCCTGTAGTAGTCAGCGTCAGATCAAGCCCATGAACATGAAATTCGAGCCAGAACTCACGGAGTAAATCCATTTTTGGTATGGTCTTCTGGAGGGAGGACTTGCCAAACCTCGTTGATGCCGGAGATAGCTGGTGGACGTGGAGATAAGATGGCGGGGCACGTTCTGCCTCCTTAGATACATATAATGGCACAGGCTAAGATGAGAAGCGGGATGGGGTCATCGGTCAAGGATCGGGGCAAGTGGCCGAGGCAAGAACTTGTAAGCTGTGGCCCGGGAAGTCAAGAAGATAACCGAGGACTGTCTCTTGATGCGCATGGGACCGTCTTTTTCGAGGCTTGCGACGGTTTCGCAAAGCGCGGGAAAAAAAATTGGCAGAGGATCTCGACGCATCTTGCAGCAAAAAGACGGTCCCAGCTGGTCCCTGCTGAGGAAAAAGACTTGAAAAAGACAGTCCGTCAGAACCCTGCCGGTGGTGGCTAATCAGGACTACTCACCAGTTCTAGAACTGTACCCTGACGTGACATGGACCCTAGTTTTCGCTTGATTGATCTCCTCACTGCCAAAGCGAGGCTGAAGCATCGTTGTAAATTAATGTACACTGGCAAAATATAAAGCCTTGCATATCGAAAGTCAGTTTACTCGGGGCCCACCAAACATCTTTCTCACCGTCTGAGCTGTAAGCTTTGCCCTGTCCACCTCGTTCCCTCTCCAGAGTCCAAGCACAATGTCGGTGATCTCGCCAAACATTGACCCTGTCGTGGATGTGACGCCCTCCCACTCCTATGATCCTGTGCAGTCTCCTCAAGCCATGATGTGAGTAGTTGATCCAGATTTTTGAATTCCATTTTGTGTATGGGCAAACATACCTATGTTTGTAATCTGAATTCCGCCCCTCCTCCTCCCATTTCCCTTCTCCTTTGTTTGGCTGCTACTGTTCCAACCTTCATCTTCTGTGTGTGGGTGTTTCCACCGTCCGCGCGAGCGCTCGTTCATTTTGCTTTGTGCGCTGTTCGGGTGAGGTCCCTTTGAGGTCCCTTTTCGAGCCCTACCCTTTCTTGGCGGGATCTGGTCACAGATCGGTCACAGTGATCAGACTGTCTTTTTCGTCGGTCGCAGCCTTACTTCTCTAGCGATTACTAGCCAAACATTCTCAGAACATGAATAACAGTCTAATATAAGTCTCTTTCGCATCAGGTCTCAGACTTCTACCAGTCGCCCTTCAAGCCTCATGCAACTCGGTCGGCGTCGTCTTTCCGGACTGCCTGGAATACCTCGACGAACTCTCCGATCTGAAGCCACTGTTCGGCATTGTTCTCGTGCGTTGTGACCTCAACATAAGGGAAGAGGATATTAAGATGGCGGGCGACAAGAAGTAAAACTCGGGAGTTTGGGATTGTAGTGCCACTGTCTCCGGCAGACAAGACTTTAAGCGGATGCGAAAGGGTATATCCCTTTGTGGAATCGATCGGGGGGATATCGTCGAGACTAATATTGGCTTCAAGAATATTGAGAAGAGGGCAGGACAGGGCGAGGATGCGGAGAGTAGGTATAGTGATGTGATCGGCCGGAAGATAAAGCGACGTAAGTTTCGGCCAGGAGTGAGTAAGATCGGACATGGTGTTGTTCAGCGATGGACCAAAACTCCATCCACGGAAATCAAGAACCTCCAAGACTTCGCATGGCGTGAGGGAGGATATTGCATTTGTTGGTCCGCTGAAAAGAGACAGTGGTTGAGAACGGAAAGGTTTCATGTCAACAACACGAATACAATTTGCCCATTGGGAGGCAATCCTGGACGATAAAGCCAAAAGCCGGTCATCAGGAGGGTCACTGCGAGGCTGTTCGGAGCAACGTTTCGAACTAAGCTTTCCCTTTTTCCTAGAACCAGTAGAAGGTTGAGGTACAGTCTGTTCAGCCTGGGATAGATGAATGACCAGGGTGACGGCATCCAAGTCAAGCGACGCAATACGGGACAAAATTTCGTGAATTAACGATGACGATCCGGTAACACTAAGTGTTCTCAGAGTCTTGAATCCAGCAATGCCTAAATTTGATAATTTCGGAAGCGCTGAGGAGCAAGTAGATGGGCTGCCTGGTATGGCGGCCGTTGTGGATTGGAGTGGTTTTGCTGCGCGTATAGTATACTGCGTCTCAAGCCTGGAATCACCAGGGGATATCCCTACAAAGCCGTCAAAGTCATACTCGACGTTTTTCTGATGTGGAGAAACTGGATTTGGGAAAGGCTGCGATCCTGATCCAAAATCGGGGATGCAACGATGGACGAAATCAGAGTACGCTTGGGTAGGGGGAGAGTTAAACGAGCCGAGTACAGGAGACCCCTCGCCAACTTTCGTATCATTTACGTTATCATGCGGAAGAGGAGAATGGTCAGCATGGTATTCCGCATCATCTCCATCAACGACAAGCTCAAGGAGCTTGGGAAGGGTACCAATGCTTCCTAGCAATTGGCTGTCCCAGTGCGATGCAGCGCCATTCAATTTCAATGATAGTAGATCTTTAAAGCGGTAGATTGACCTCAACGACACCGAATCAAGCAAACTGGGGCCAAGAACAAGAGATTTCAACGATAACCCTTCTTCGTCTGAGAGAGTTGTCAAGAAAGACCCAATGAGGTGAGCGTGGGACGGAGGGAACCCCGATATTTCAAGATAGTCAAGAGAGGGGGAAAGAAGGAGGAAGGAGTGTGATAGGGAAGCGGTAGCGTTGACAATTTGAAGACGACGGAGCGACGGAAATAGAGGAACGGAACCTTGAAACTGTGCGAGGCGAAGATAAGTTAAAGATGCGACACGAGGTTGTGGGTCCCCCTCAGCGTCCGAAAGGTAAAATTCCTCGACGACTTTGGCAAACGATTGGAGTTGGTTCCACGATTCCTTCGTTACAACACCGTTAAGGACCTAAAGATTGGATGGTAAGCGCAAGGCTGTCAAGGTCAAGAACTTGTATCCCACGTATTCGTTTTGCTGCACGGATAGAGCTGGAAGAACCTGAAGTAACGGTACGAAGGAAGTTAGGGTTTTCCAATTTGAAGCCCCAAGGCTTTCGTAGGGTGATAGGGAATCGGGGATCTTGAGGGGGACAGTATCTACCAGCTCCATGTCGTCCATTGGGGTAAGGGAAATTTTGATGTCAGGCGAGGGGTGGAAAGACATCAGGGCGAGGGGCGGACGATGTGAGGCGAGGGGCGGAAAGGATGTGAGGCGAGGGATGGAAGGGAGGCGTGGGGCGGAGAGATATCAGCCTTGAGGTCTTTGAGGGCTGCGATAGTGCGTTGAATGTGTGGGAGTGAGAAGCAAACCTTACATGAAGTGTTCAACCTTGGGACTTCTTGAACGTGAACAGCTTTTGTTGGCTTTTTGAATTGTGAGCGACGTCCTCGAGGTCTAGTCTATTATTGATGGAATAGCATGACGGGCCATACTTCGTCCTTGTCCCTGTATCGTCCAATCCTCTTTGCCCCAGTCAATGGGCAGACACTGAGCAAAGGGCCTTGGAACCTCGACCCCAAGCTGATAGAAGTCAATCCCTACCAGTGCAAAGATTTCTGATGAACTGAACGCGTCAATAAATGAAGAGGTTGTCGATGAGTGGTGATTACGTTGACAAGATATCTTTGTTTTTGGGTTCCGACTCGGAAGTCTCGCCTCAAGACCTCACCGGCACCATCCAGACCTGGTTCTCAGTTCCTAATCGAAATGCATCACCTACTACGTCTCTTTTCGTACTTCGCTGTGTTTTCTTGCCTGCCACCGCGTGGTGTATGTCAGAACCCAAGCCCCAGCCACCAGAGCGATCGCGTCTTGTTTTGGGCTTCAAGTCTATTCGGCATGGCAGGAAAAATAAATTCCACGTCCGAAGTTGATGAGCAAGTGATAAGGTGCCAGTGAGATTCAGTCATGCCATGTTGGTCTTCCGCTGCATACACTGTTTTAAGGGTACGGTTTGATATGGTTGCTTCACTGGGGAATGTGGCTCGCTCTAACTCAATGTCAGGACCACCCATAAGCCAAAGGGAAAGAAAAACGCACCAAACTTTGAGGTACAGCCGTTTGCATAATTCCGTGAACACCGAAAATTCTTTTTTTGGGCGTGACGTGACTTACCTGCCCAAAAAAGACATTTTCCTGCGTTCTGATAACAATTGCCAACGGCTCAAAATGAAGTGAAGAGTTATATTCATGACACCTTCGCTACCTGAAGATCTGGAGCTACATAGTTATGGTGGCTTAGTGCATTGGAGAGGGGTTAAATAAAGACCTGGCCCACTGTTTTATCAGGCTTGTTTGAAAAGTCATGCACAAAGGCTGAGAACATGGCAAAATATAACTAATCCTTTGACATAATTGAGGAGGGATATTTTTTATACATTTCTGCCGGTCGAGACGCGAAAGAACGAGGCGCAGGACCGTCTGAACTTCTGAAAAGAGCAAGGGAAAGCTGTGCTTAGTCAGGTGAATAGTCACGTCACGCCCAGAAAAAGAATTTTCGGTGTTCACGGAATTATGCAAACGGCGGGAACTTGTTCAACTTGTGTGGGTAGGGTTAGGGTCACTGATCGATGACATCACACAGAATCAGAGCCTGACATTTGTCTCCTTACTAGCAATTCAAACACAAACTCAAGACCATGGTTCTTTCCAACATTGACTCTGGAATTTTTGATAAAATTCTCGATAATTTGGCGCACGATGCCCCGGATCTCAATTTAGCCGCAAGCCAGCGCAATAAACGAACTCTCGCGCGGCTTGCGATATGTTGCAAAGCCTTCCTGGAACCCGCACTGGACCATCTCTGGAGAAGGCTCGATTCCCTATTTCCGCTTTTAAAACTTTTGCATGGTTTCAAGTCGAGCGACGGCATCTATGTATGTCATCTTGCCGCAAACGCTGAGCTCAGAGGAGCGTGGCTCAACAACTTTTAGGTTCTGCGAGGCATCGTAACGCCTGACAATTGGAGTCGGTTTGACTGGTATGCGAGAAGAGTAAAGACTCTTTGTTATACTGGAAACCCGTTGGGTCAAGCGGTAGCGAAGCATGTTTACTTTCGAGTGTCCCAACTCCACTCGACGCCTTTACTCCCATCCATCCAGCATCTGCAATTTCGGCACTCGATCCAGAATGATTTCCTCACCTTGGGCGTCTGCCTTTTCCTATCTCCATCTTTGCAATCGGTTGAATTTGATGGCATTAAGAGCGACAAACTTTGTGGCACGTTTTTTGACGCCCTCATTTGCGAATCCGCTCCGCTGCAATCCGTCACACTGCGTGGACAGGGATTGTCTAAGGACACTCTCGACCTGGCCATTAGGTTCCAAGGCATTCGAAGTCTAGAAATCGATGGGAGCTTCATTGATGTAGATTGGCTGAAGGAGGCTGGTGCCCTCCCTTCGCTCCTTCACCTCAACCTCAATTTTTTAGACTCCCCGATTTCGGCTTTTGATTTTGATCTTGGCTTCAAAAATGTCAAGAAACTCATAATCACTGGCCCCTTGCCGCTCATAGACTCATTTCTTATGCACACATCGACTAAGCACCTTGAGTATTTTGACTGCCGAGTCTCTGCGGGTGTAGCTAAACCGGCCTACGAGGGCCTGACATATCGCGTGGTAACTCGATGGAAAGAGACACTTCGGCAATTTAGTATTGCGGTGATTTTTCAAGAACATAGGAAGGATGAATTCCCGGCGAGTGCCCTACTTACTTTGGGGTCAGTCGATTGCCTGCAATCTGTTCGAGTGGTGAACTATTTCACAACTAGCCTGACGGACGAAATCATCGTAGAGCTTGCTTCTGGTTGGCCAGAAATTACCGAGCTCCTCCTTCCCGACTCGCCACCAGGATTCTCCTTGCCAACTGTCACTAGCCTTCAAGCGCTAGCTGAGCGCTGCCCGCATTTAGCGCATCTCCGCATACCCTTCAATGACCTGGCCCCAGATCTACCACCGTTGTCTCATGGAGGTCTGAAACATGGCTTGAAGACCTTGACAAATGCGCGTTTTATCAATCCAGGAGATATAAGTGATTATCTTAGGCTTGGACGTCATATTGATCGCCTCTTTCCGGGACTCAAGGTCGTCAATAAAGGAGAAGCGGGACATTGGGGTTTCAACTACGTCAAGTGGAAAGAATTATATGATGCCGTTTCCCTCTGTCAAACTATACGACGGGAAACTAGGGAGGGGTATGAAAGCGTAGGTATAAGTAAAGAAAACTTTTAAAAAGAGGTCGGATGGTTGGGGTCAGGCTGGGGTCGAAATATTGAGTCCTCACTGTTCCACCTACTCACAGTCTAAAGAGATGTTATACCTACGGACGTATATTTTTTATATTTATGACTTTTGGAAAGATTTCAAGGGATGTCGACCCGACAAGGGAACAAAAGAAATGCAGAGGATTACCGTAAAAACTGAAATAAATCTAGATCAATTGACGCGATTCTTTCTTGATTCTTTCTGAGTCGAGGAGCGTTGCCGAAACAAGTAAGTATTAGCGGAACGTTGAAGGGATGGCGATGGTTCACAAAAGAAGAAACGGTATAGAATCGAACAGTAAATCAACTTCGACCCTCTGATTTTATCTCTCCGCAAGAATGTTATAGTGAACACAACCTGGGATTTGAGAAACTTCAGTACTAGGAGAGCAAAATCACGTGCTCTCGCGTCGCGTCACATTGAGTCACAACGTGCCTCCGCAATCGTCATCCTCTGACAGCAAGCTCCAACATTTGAAAGGGGAATTCACGAATATGTCTCCCAAAGCTCATCCCACCAAAGCCAAAACTGGATTGCGGAAGTCGTCAAGCCCAAAGAAACGCAAAGCTGCCACCGCCGACGAGGAAGAGACGGCGTATGCGCCGGAGCCCAAGAAGGTGTACGACAGCGACGCGCTGGATGAAGATTCTTCAGAAGACACAAAGAAACGTAAGCGCGTACGTGAGAACAAGAAGACAAGATCGCCCAGGAAGAAGAGAAGGGAGGTAGATGAGGATGAGGAGGGTGATCTACAGGAGGGGCAGGAGATTGTAGGAGTTGTCGTTGAGGCTCCGAAATCCGGCCGAGGTGAGCAGCAACTCTGGATACTGTGTTTTAGATTGATGCTATTCCTACTCGACAGTCTCACCTGGTGAAATCTCGCAGAACACCTTGAATTTCCTAACGAAATTGAAGGATCCCAAGTGTAACGACAGAGAATGGTCAGTCTATCCTTTAGAATTTGTTTTTCCTCACGTGTCACATCTAATACGGTCCAGGTTCAAATTGCATCGTGCATTATTTCTCAGCGCTGAAGGAAATAACGTTGACTTTTCTCTAGAACCCGTGTACCGCTTGGCAGAGAAGGAGTGGAAGGATTTCATTGAGAGCTTCACGGATGTTCTTGCAGAAGTCGACACGCAAATACCTCATCTTCCGCCGAAGGATGTCATCCACAGGATCTACCGTGACGTGAGTATCTTGAGCTCACAATTGCATGCTTACACATCGTCTCGTCGTAGGTTCGCTTCAGCAATGATAAAACACCGTACAAGAGAGGGTTCTCCGCGAGCTTCTCTCGCAGCGGCAGGAAGGGTATCTTTGCTGGTTGTAAGTCGCTCCCTCTACCGCCAGGAACGCCTGGGCATTGACGATAAATACAAAACGCAGATCATGTGTGAGGTTTGTTTCTTGCGATGCTTACTTATACTCACATATATCTAGGTCACGTATGTTCTCGCCGCCATGGCTTCATATCCTCTTTTAACCCCTCCTTCAGTCAAACCAGGAAATGAGTCGCTTATCGCAGCGGGCTCATGGTGTCCTGGGCGAAGTGAGCTCGCCACGATCAGGTACGCTTTGACGAGTCTTATGCCGCGTTTACTGATGTAAGTTCAAAGAAACAACATAAAAAATGATTCTCGTCGCCTCAGGCAGATCATATCTTCACCTGAGTTTGTGAAACTCTTCGGGGAAGCGAAGCCACATCCAAAGGGAGAAACGCAGAATATCTTTGGTAGAGAAGATGAATTGAAAGTAGCTCCGAAGGGCGTGGGGAAAGATCACAAGTAAATAAGCGTTGACTTTCTCCGGTTAAAAATCCGTTGACGATTTCGATAATAGGGATATTGATCTACTGAAATGTCGTTCTTTCGCAGTTTTACATCGGTAATCACGTATACTGTTATGTGAATGTGGCTAACAACGTTATAGGTTCACCGACAGCGAGGTACTCGATCCCGAATTTAAACAGAAATTGGCCTCCGTCGCTAGAGTGATGCAGCCATTTGTCCATTGGTAACGTTTTGTTCTTTTGTGATCCATATTACCCTAAAAAGATGCCTTCCTTTCTTCAGCTTGAACGATATGATGACTATTATTGGCGGCACCAATAACAACGATGACGAGGAGAGCGGCGATGGAGAGCAAGAGGAGGGCGACGATGACGACGACGAATGAGTTCAATTGGGTTGAGGATTTTTCTATATGTATGTGGGACGAATTTATGAGCTTTTATCTCCCAGCTTGTTTTTCGCCATTCTCCTCATTCTCATCGACCTTGTGCTCGGTAAATTTACGATTGTTACTGCTCGCAGTGAGAGCTTTCCTCAGCCACAAGTGATTTTCGGCAGGTGCTATTGTTTGTTGTTTTTTGTGCTTTGACCTTGGGTATGCCGTCCATGTGACTGGGTATGTTTTGGTCCGCCTTGTCTCTCGCTCACTCCAGAATTAAGCGTCCCGAGGGGCAATCAGAACCCAAGAAGGGTCAAGTCAGTGGCTTCAGACTCACTTGACCATCAGAAGAACGTCCTACCAAGTCAAAATTAATTCCAAGCTACACCTTATAAATTCCTCACATATCAATGTTCAATGAGGGACTTCATTGTACTCATACTATCTACTACCTAGCTGCCTGGCACATCATAGACTAATATTCTTGAATCTTTCTCGGGGCCGTTACTGCTCCATTCCAATTATAAACATGCATGCTCGGCCAACATGAAATATGCCAGCATGAATTCATCTCCCTTTCTTATACCACCACAATCTCCTATAAAATTCTCCTTATTCCCCAATGTTTCCTCGGGTTTCGAGCCAGTGGTTTCAATTATTTACCTCAAACTGCGGTTTTGGTCGTTTTGGGTCAGGGTCTGGCCACGTGGGAGTTTGTCAGAAACGGCCAGGACGGCAACCACGACTTTCTTACCCACCGCCAGCTAAGGAGACCGGCCGTCTACCTTCCCTTGTCTTTTCTCTGTCTTTTTTCCTTCAAAAAGTAGTCCAGAGCGTCTAGCAGCGGCTCTAGCTGCCCGCCACGATGAACAGGCACTCTACTGCCGCCATGAACGCCCACCAACGCCTAGAGGCCGCCACCGACCTCGCAGGCCTCTCTCCGATCTCAGACGACATCATCGTTGCCTGTCTTCGTGAGAGATTCATGACAGACACCATCTACACCAACATCGGCTCCTCTGGCGTCGTCGCCCTCAACCCCCACAAATATGTCGCCTCAAATTCGGATTCCATGCTGTACAAGTACGCTACAGAGTACCGGGATTCGTCAGAACACAAGGAGAAACTCCCCCCACACGTTTTTCAGATCGCCAACAACGCTTACTACCACATGAGACGGACAACGCAGGACCAGTGCATTTTGTTCAGGTGCGTCGTGGCAACTGCCCCACAGCCTCTTTTGACGCTCATCTATCCATCAACAGCGGTGAAACAGGGAGCGGAAAGTCGGAGAACAGGCGCCTCGCCATCAAGTCCTTGTTGGAGCTCAGCGTTAGCAACCCAGGCAAAAAGGGCTCTAAGCTCGCTACCCAGCTTCCTGCTGCAGAGTTCGTGCTTGAGACGTTCGGAAACGCTCGCACCCTCTTCAATCCCAACGCATCTCGATTCGGAAAGTACACTGAGTTGCAATTCTCAGACCGAGGACGGCTCAGCGGTGTGAAGACACTCGATTATTACCTTGAGCGGAACCGTGTGGCTGCCGTGCCTTCGGGCGAGCGCAATTTCCACATTTTCTACTACCTCGTCGCAGGAGCATCACCAGAAGAAAGACAGCACCTTCACCTCCTCGACAAATCCACCTACCGTTACCTTGGTCAACGTGGGACAGGGGTTGCGAGACCTGGGCGTGACGAAGATGCGCAGCGCTTTGATCAGCTCAAAATAGCCCTGAAAACTATCGGGTTTTCTAAACGACATGTTGCGCAGACGTGCCAGCTCATTGCTGCCATCCTCCACCTTGGCAACCTCGAGTTCACCGTTGACCGTCATCGCAATGAGGATGCGGCGGTTGTGCGGAATACGGACATCCTTGAGATTGTGGCCGACTTTTTGGGCATCCAGCCTGCTGCGTTGGAGGCTGCGTTGTCGTACAAGACCAAGCTTGTCAAGAAGGAGCTTTGCACGGTCTTCCTCGATCCAGATGGTGCCTCTGATAACAGAGACGACCTCGCCAAAACTCTGTACTCGCTCCTGTTCGCATGGTTAAACGAACACATCAATCAGCGTCTGTGCAAGGACGACTTCACTTCCTTTATCGGCCTTTTCGACCTCCCTGGCCCACAGAACATGTCCAGTCGACCCAACTCCCTCGACCAATTCTGCATAAACTTTGCCAACGAGCGCCTCCAAAACTGGGTCCAGAAGCGTCTGTTTGAGAGCCACGTCAATGAGTACAACCTCGAAGGCATCGCGCGGCTCGTTCCCCAAGTACCATATTTCGACAACTCAGAATGCATTCGCGTCCTGCAGAACTCTCCTGGAGGGTTGGTACATATCATGGATGACCAAGCGAGGAGGCAGCCGAAGAAGACGGATCATACGATGGTGGAAGCTTTCCAAAAACGATGGGGAAATCACTCGTCTTTCAAGACCGGCGCAGTAGAGCGGTCAGGGTTCCCCTCGTTTACGGTCAACCACTTCAACGGCCCTGTTACCTACTCGTCTGAAGGTTTCCTTGATCGCAATTTGGACGCCGTTAATCCAGATTATGTCTCTTTACTCCGTGGAGCTACGGATGGGCTGGAGGGCACGGGGTCGATCAACCCTTTCGTCAAGGGCCTGTTCTCAACCAAGGCTATTGCAACGCAGGCGCATCCAAGGAATGAAGACACCATTGTTGCAGCGCAGCAGGCCGTCAAGCCCATGCGTGCCCCGTCGACTAGGAGGAAGAACACCATCAAGCGGATGCCAACGGTGAAAGAGGGGTTGGGGCCTGATATCGAAGAGAGGGACGAGGACGAGGGGGGACCATCAGGCGGTCCTTTGACAAGCTCCAGCCCGTGTGTTGCAGGCGAGTTTAAAGCTGCTTTGGACACGCTGTTCGAGACTTTGGATGAGACGCAGCCCTGGTATATTTTCTGCGTCAACCCGAATGACTCGCAGCTACCGAATCAGTTGGAGGGAAGGAGTGTGAAGGGGCAGGTTAAGAGCACGGGTTTGGTGGAGATTGCGAAGAGGTGCACGAGCATGTTTGAGGTCAATATGACGCCTGAGGAGTTCTGCGAACGGTATTCGGAGGGCTTGGAGGGTGGAGGCATTTCGGAGGGAGATGCTCGTGAGATGGTTGATCAGGCTAGGACAACATTTGGGCTGGGTGATCGAGATTTGGTGTTGGGTCAACATAAGGTGAGGTTTCCTTCGTTTGATTGAGGTTGATGCGTTAGCTCAGTGTATGGTCATTCTTAGGTGTTCCTCTCCCAAGTCGCTTTCCACAAATTCGAGGATCAGCTCAGGTCTCACGACGTCGAAGAACAAAAGCGAAATCGTATTCGCGACCAAGAAGCTGAGGCCGGCTTGGATCCCCGTGGTTTGCACGACCCGTATGCTCCTTATCGGATACCAAACGACGACCTTGAACCTTCACCATGGGGCAATGGTTATCAAGAAGCTTTTAACAACTCCAACCAAGCCCTCCCCCTCGTCTCCAACGCGTCTCCGTTCCAGAGATCCGACTTCCCGGCGAACGAGATGTACGACGATTACGAGGAGAACAAGTCTGTTCGGAGCGAGGACTTTGATGGTCGAAGCAGGTTCACGAGTAACCGCGATGAATCTGTGTCAAACTTTGGGTCAGAGTCTTATGCCCCCTCTAGGAACATGTTCCAGAATACTGACAAGAGGGGGCTCATGGAGAAGGAGGCGCTTGCGGGCGAGATTCAAGAGGGAGAGACGTCAGAGGTGTTGAAGGAGAGTTCGGCTCGTCGACGATGGGTCGCGTTGTGCTGGATGTTGACGTTCTGGGTCCCAACTCCTCTGCTCACCTATGTTGGGCGTATGAAGCGTATGGATGTGCGGCAGGCTTGGAGAGAGAAGCTTGCTCTCAATCTCCTTATCTGGTTCATCTGCGCCTGTGCCGTCTTCGTCATTGCCGTCTTGGGAGTGGTCATCTGCCCTACTGAACATGTCTTCAGCACGTCCGAACTTGCTTCGCACTCTTCCATTCTCAACCCAAACAACGTCTATACCTCCGTTCGTGGAGAGGTCTTCGACTTAACTACTGTTGCCGCTACACATCAACGAGTGGTTGGTGTTGTTCCTACCAAGGCTATCTTGAAGTACGGTGGACAATCCGCGGACAATATCTTCCCAGTTCAGGTACGTTGCTCGTTTGATTTCCTCATTCTTGTCCTTACTCTTGTTTACGTAGGTCAGCGCTTTGTGCGATGGTACATCAGGTTCTGTCAGCCCATACGTCACCCTGGATTCCTCGAATAACACAGATCCCAACTCCGTGTACCACGATTTCCGCGCCTTTACCAACGATTCCCGGCCTGACTGGTACTTCGAGAGCATGGTCGTGATGCGATACACGGCTCGTGTTGGGTTCCTTGGGTACACTCCCAAGGAAATCAGGAACATGGCCAGTGCTGGGAGATCAGCTGCCATCTACAACGGTCTGGTTTACGATGTCACGAACTACCTCACGAGTCCCCCCGCTGTTCGATCACCAGCTGGAACACAGGCTCCCGCCACGGACACCAATTTCATGTCTGGGGACGTTTTGAATCTTTTCCAGGTTCACGCGGGCACGGATATCACGAAGCGATTGAATTCGTTGAACATCGACAGTGACGTCCTTGCGAGGCAGAAAGTCTGCTTGCGCAATCTGTTCACTATCGGAAAAGTGGACAATCGCCAATCCCCGCAGTGCCTGTTCGCGACCTACATTCTCCTGGTACTTTCCATCATCATGGTGTCGATCATTGGCTTCAAGTTCCTCGCCTCCATCAACTTTGGTTCTGCACGCGCTCCGGAGGACCATGACAAATTCGTCATCTGTCAGGTGCCGTGTTACACCGAAGGTGATACTTCCCTGCGCAAAACCATTGACTCCCTCGCTCAGATGAAGTATGACGACAAACGCAAGTTGCTCCTCGTCATTTGCGATGGAATGATTGTTGGTTCCGGTAACGATCGTCCAACTCCGCGCATTGTCCTCGACATTCTGGGGGCTGATCCGAATTTGGATCCTGAGCCTCTCAGTTTCATGTCCCTCGGTGAAGGAGCCAAGCAGCACAACATGGGCAAGGTCTACTCCGGCTTGTATGAGTGTGCAGGTCACGTCGTGCCATACTTGGTCGTTGCGAAGGTTGGCAAGCCGACTGAGCGCAGCCGTCCTGGCAATCGTGGTAAACGAGACTCTCAGATGCTTCTTATGCATTTCTTGAACAAGGTTCGTGGTTTCTTTCACGCTGTTAGCTTCTTTCCCTTACGCCAATTGAACAGGTCCATTTCAACTCCCCAATGAATCCGCTCGAGCTCGAAATGTACCACCAGATCAAGAACGTTATCGGCGTCAACCCGTCTTTCTATGAGTACTTGTTCATGGTGGACGCTGATACGACTGTGGACCCGCTCTCTGTCAATCGCCTCATCTCTGCGTATGTCCGTTTCCTTTGTCGATTTTTCGTCGGCTTAAGTCACCATACTAGGATGATTCATGACAAGAAGCTGCTCGGTGTTTGTGGCGAAACTGAACTGGCCAACGCGAAGCAATCTCTCATTACGATGATGCAGGTGAGTTTGAAGTTTCTAGTTGGTCATCTAGCCCTCTTACGACCTCTACAAAGGTGTACGAGTATTTTATCTCCCATCACATGGCAAAGGCGTTCGAGAGCCTTTTTGGATCCGTCACCTGTTTGCCGGGTTGCTTCACCCTTTACCGCATCAGAACACCTGATACCCATAAGCCGTTACTCATCTCCAACCAACTTATCCACGACTACTCGGAGAATCGTGTCGACACACTGCATATGAAGAACCTCCTGCACCTTGGCGAAGATCGATACCTTACCACGTTGCTCCTCAAGCACTTCCCGCTCTTCAGAACCCAGTTCATCCGCGACGCTCATGCGTACACCGTGGCTCCTGATGACTGGAAGGTTTTGCTGTCTCAACGTCGCCGCTGGATCAACTCGACAGTCCACAATCTCGGGGAGCTCATCTTTTTGGAGCAGCTTTGCGGTTTCTGTTGTTTCTCGATGCGTTTCATTGTAATGATTGATTTGGTTTCGACGCTCACACAGCCCGTCACTGTTGCATATGTAAGTTTTACCTTTTCATTCGATCAGGTATCTGATTACCTCTCAAGATCGTGTATTTGATCTACCTGGTGGCCGGTGAAGGCAAATCCATCCCCACGTTATCGCTTATCATGATCGCCGCGATTTACGGTATTCAAGCCCTGGTTTTCATCATGCGACGGAAGTGGGACATGATCGGATGGATGTTGTTCTACGTCCTTGCCATTCCCGCCTTCTCCTTCTTCTTGCCTCTATACTCGTTCTGGAAGATGGACGATTTCTCTTGGGGTCAAACACGTGTCGTCCTTGGTGAATCTGGCAAGAAGATGATCGTTCATGTAAGTTCTTATCTCTCTTTTTGAGAGTACACGACACTAACTCCCTTATGAACCAGGACGAAGGGAAGTTCGATCCTCGGTCTATTCCTCTCAAGTCATGGAATGACTACGTGAGCTTTGCCTGTTCTCTTCTTTATCTGTTCGCTAACACCCTTCATCAGGAGAACGAGCTCTGGGACAAGGAATCGAATCACAGCATCGGATCCTGGGTCCCTCAAACCAAAGCAAAAGAAGCTTACGCAGATTCTCGCACTGCTTCGTTATACGGCCGAGAAACCTACTACGAGCCTCAAGGACGCAGCTTCTCACCAGCCCCATCTCAGCTCGGCATGTACCCACCTCCAGGATACCAATCAGGTCGCAATACCCCACAGTCCCAGTTCCGACCAATGAGCGACGTAGGGCACTTCCACCAGCCTGCCCCGTCACGCCCTGCCACCAACTACCTAGATATGCCAATACCCACGACGCACAGCCCAGATACCTTCGATCTGTTACCCAACCTGGGTGGTGGTGGTGCGCCTGCTGCCGGTGGCGCACCAAGTGACTTCGAGCTCGAGCGGTCCGTCCAAGAAATCATGCGATCTGCAGACCTCAACTCCGTGACGAAGCGCGAGATTCGGCGCCAGCTCGAGGAACAGTTCGACATGGATCTGACTTCTCGCAAGGCGACTATCAACGCCGCGATCGATAGAATTCTGCTCAGTCAGGCATGATTGAGCGGATGTACATTGGAAGTCAACCTCTGGACGTTCTACCTTCTATTTCGCTCATGCTTGGTACCCCTTTGTGTCTTTTCCTTGACTGACTCTCCTCATCGGTATTTTGAGCCCTCGCGAACCATTTCTTTATTAGTAGCTTACCCTCAACGGACTTGACAATTAGTACCATCTCACGTAGTAGGATCTCACTCCCCACCCTCCCACTCTCCGTCATACAGTCATTTGCATCAGGACTTTGCACACTCTTTTCCCTTATATCTCTCGTCCCTCTGACACCAAAACGTCGCGATAAATAGTTCATGTTAAGACTATAATTATAAAAGCAAGCATATGTGGTCCGTAATTGTCTGTCGCACCATGATCCTGATCATCCCATCGTCGACTAATCAAATGGAACGGGCCTCACACCCGGCACCCCCGCCTCGCCCAACTTGAACCCATGCTTCTTCTCCGCCTCCGCCCTAGCCGCAGCAAACACAGACGGCACGGGGATCCCGCAGCAGTCACCCCAACCAACGTCCTTCTGGCCTGCCCCTCCAAGGTCGTCGTGTGGGTGCACGTGGTCCCCATGTACTGTCGGTGATATCACGGGTTTTGTGGACGTGGATGAAAGAGATGTAGCAGGCGGAGGCGGAGGCGGTAGAGGCCCGTCGTAAGGGAGGAACGAGCCGAAGAGGAAGTGTTGTATTACTGGGAGCTTGTTGAGGACTTCGGCAAGGTACATCTTGAGCATTCCTGAGTTGACTTTATCCCATGTTTTTACCTGCGAAACAAGGAGGAAATGACCAAAAGAAAAGAGGTGAAAGGAGAGGAAGCTTACGGCTGATATGTCGTTGAGCATGGGGGAATGCCATCGGAGGGAGGCTGTCTTTATCTGTGTGAGTGAGAATGCGTCAACGTCAACAGCGAACAATGACGAGGGGGGAAAGACGCACCGAATTGATGAAAGCGATACAAGCGAAATACATGTAGTCTTTTGAGTATTCCTCGACTATCTCAGGGTCATGTATCGCCTTGGGACGGATGTACTTATGCCCTGATGTGCCACGGATCAGCTTTGGGGTTCGGAAGAGTGCGATGACGTTGCCCACCTCGTAGTTGAGCGGAACCGAAGAGAAATGGGAGAAAATGGTAGTCGTCCAGCCCCCAGACGCCATGCGATCCGGCCGGTTCTAGCCAGTAGGTCGATTGGAGTATCCGCATGATGTTTATGTATCTGCTAACGGGTCAGTCTGGTTGGGACTGAAAGATGATAAAGGTGAGTTACCGCCAGAATAAACGAATAACGATTGCTTTATGGTCCGTTTCTTGTAATACCTGTAGCCGTTCTAGACATAAGCTAAGTATACGACACGTTGAGCGATCAAAAAGAGGGAAGAAATCCGAACTTACAGCCAGCAGAGGAAGTTGAGCTCCATCCCACTCCCGTAATCGATGCGCGTGCGATTGCCCCATGCCTCGCTGAAATAGACCGACAATTCCTCGATAGCTTCACTTGGCAAGCCAGGGAGAGATGCGTGTAACTCCGGTGAAATCTATGAACGATGGTTAGCAATTACTTCAATCCAACTCCAGGATACACAAACGCACCTCGGAGACACGATCATAAAATGTCCGAAAAGCCGGATTCCCAAATCTCGACGCGGAGTTCTCCACGGGAGGCGTAACCCTCGCCACTCGCTCAACACTGTCCAAAAGGACGAGAACAGCAGCTGCACCAGTAGACAACGAACATTCGTCGGTGAGCCTGACGCCGACGACTGCGTCGTTGAGGACCTCGATATATGAGACGAGTTCTTGATGTGTCTTCGAGGTTTGAAAGAATTCGAGCTGTTCCTTCGTTAGAATCGCTTTGCGCGGGACTTGGAATGCCATTTATCAGAAGTTCGAGTTGTGGAAATCTGATCAAATCAATGCTCAGAAGTTAGAACCCTAACCCTAACTTTCAAGTTTCGTCAAACTCCAACTCCTTCATCCCTTGTTCATCCCAAGTAACGTTACACAAACAGTTTGATTGGACACACGAATAGGAGATGAGGGAATTGAGAAGTATTCTACATAATTGTTTCCCCACATTGCCTATTAATGCTATAGGACAAAGATAGTTGACCCTCCTGCGGTTGAACGCGAATCCTGATCTCAGTCCGGACAGTCTCCAGCACAACCAGGAATCTCCCTCGGAGACTCGAATTCGAAATTGCAGCAGTTGAATTGTAATAATTGAGCGCCTCCGGGCCCCTGCAGATTCGTGTAAGTATCCTCAGTTTCGTACCGTCCTTTTAAATTTGCATTGTTCACGCGATGGCGTTTCGAAGGTCTAAAAGTCCAGGTCTGATTCAAGCTCCTCCGGTGGTTGAGCTCGGTTAAGAACAAAGGGAAATCTAATTAGAGCCACAAACTATCGAAGAAGCAAGGGCCCAAAAGGATGCACCAGCATGTCCGCCTAGAGACAACCTGCATTCATGATGCAATTGTCGTCCGCTGGCGTTACAGGGGTGAGTGAACGTCTGCACACAACTCACAGGACCAGATATTCACATACGAGGCAATACCTAAGGTTCAAAAGGATTTTCTTCATCACGAACTGAGCTCAGGTGATCCAGTGGACTCGGAAATTCGACAACCACACGAGAAGCACATGGTTTTGTGCATTCTGCCTTGATCAATTCCGAAATTTGACGAAAGCCTCTTGTGAAATATGCCCAATCCCTCGAGCAGACCAGCGTAGTTAGGCGCTTACATAGCCACGTCCTGGACAAATCCTTGTTCGCGATTTGGGTTGTCTCCGCCTCGTTAATTTCTCAAGTTTCTGCAGGTGCCAACTTCCTTCAGGCTCCACTCAAGTTCATCATCGGACTATCTCCGTCTGTGTCCTACGCCCCCAAGCGCTCTTCTCCTCTGGAACTTCAAGATCGTCAATTCGAAATTATACCGTACTCGTCATCTGACCACGGCGCTCAGACAACCAATCGCCTCCTTCACAAATCCCGACCCCACCACGCAAATTACCTACCACCTCCACCGCGCCCCTTCTTACAACCTTCTCGGAGAACTCGCGCAGCCCTAGCATCGACACCACCGTTGATAATTTCTCTTCTTTACCCAAAGGTGAAACGCTGACATTAGCGCAGATTTTTTACTCTTCAACCATTATGTGGTCTTACTTCAAGATAGCAAGGACATCAGAGCCGACGACTAGTTGGAGAGGACGGGGATGACAGTCAAGTTGCGCTGGGACGTGAAAATGAATTTTCGGAGGGCAACAACGGGATTGAGAAGGCAGAACGATGCGTGTGCTGGAATAGTGTAGGTCATTACGACAACTTCGATGCGTTTATTGACATTGGAATATTCTACATCCCAAGTATTTCGACGAGAAACTAAGGAACCTTCCGTTTCCTCCACGAAGGAAACAATGAGGACACGTCCCAATGGTGAGACGCCGCGACACGGTACACCGCTTTCTTCCAACGTCCGCCCTACTATTGATGTTCCTTTCAGAACACAATTCTATTTCCGCAGACTGCAGAGAATCATGCGGCGAAAATTTGGAGGACATTGAAATACGGTAAGTAACTCTCCTGCCCTGCATTTCACAGATTACGTATGTATTTTGCTCCAGACCTCGCGAATCCATCCTCAAGTCCACATCACCACGATCAGTTGTACAACCACTGGATGGGCTGATGATGCTTGCGCAGATGCTTAAGCCGCGATGAGGGCGGACGAAAGCTTTGGCAATGATTCAAATGGAAACGGGTTTGGGGCGCCCTGTAAAAATCCTCTTTCTCACTGCGGGCATTGGCTTATGTAAATGGCAGATAAACCGTGAAAAAATTGTGTAGAAATCAATAGACTTTACACCTTTTCTTGGCCAGATATATCAGGAAAGAAATTTAAAATATTTTCTCCAATATCTTTTCCAATTTAATGATCGATGTTATTATAAATTTTGATGACGGAGATATATGAAAGATATTGGAAAGATATCTTTCCCTTTTATAGCAACTTTGTTATCTGATATTTTTGCAATGAGACCATCCGAAACATTGAGAAGATATTGGAAAGAGCGGGTCACACTGTCACGTCCCGAATATTTGCCATGTATGGCAATTTTTTGTCGTCGTTCTTGATCACCACTCGCTCACGATTCTTTGGCAGGTATTACATTGCGCCGACGCCGAGGGACACTCCTAATCTCGTGAAACTGGGAAGGATGGCATACCATACTCGGCTTCTGGATCTGCATCGCTCAAACTCCTTTGGCTCACACACGCCAGTGGCGGATGAGCTCCAGAACTCTGACAAGTGGTGTGTTCAAACTTCAAGCTTCAGGCCGCTCCTCCGAATGACTCTTAACTGATAATTTTAAGCTATCGAAGGACGTGAAGAACGAGTCGTCGTTACTGTAGTAATACCGACCAGGAATCCTTCACCATCGCCACATCCAATCCGTCCAGGAAACCCTATATACATTATCTTCTCACTGGCCCCTCTTATGTTCGCATAATGTAGATTGGATAACAAATGGAATGCATCCAGATGGGCCGAAGGGCTATCGATTCTTTCACTTTTAGATAAAATACGTACGGCGTCGATTTTAAGCCGTGAATAACTCTAACAGAAGAAACACGTCTTGTACCTTTGTCTCTTTCAATCTTGTACCACTGTTCAGAATAAAGCAATTTGTACTGTTCATCGCATCCTAACCCTTCGCTACACATCAACCTGAATTGTTTGTACCTTCCCTGTTTTCAATCTTGAATGATGTATATGATAGCTTCGGTAGAACAATCTGTTTTGGGTTCTACAAATACAAATTTATTGGAGAGAGGAGAGAAAGAAATGAAAAAAACCTCAAAGGTCATAAATTTGAGGCTGTTCTGAGAGATAACCGCTACGCGAAGGCCCGGAGCCAGGATGTCAAAACCGAATTTCCTAGAGCCTAGGCAGACTCACAGGACCTTGCAGTGGTTGCGCTCCGTGATAGCGGCCTGCATAGCTATACATCCCAGTGCCAGGCGTGAATCTGATGAGGAGTATCAAAGGACAAAACTCGGAGCGTCATGAATTGTCACTCTTTGGACCAGTCAAAGATACGTGGTGTTCACAGAGTCCTGGAGTTATAAATTAAGATATAGTTGAAAAGTCCCTGTCATATATGGGAAGGGAAACGTCAGTCGAGTTGACCGCTGTTGCACATTGTATTAGTAGTATCTGTAAAGTATGGGTTAGTTTATATGATCTCTCAGAATTGAAAGTTGAGTATCTAGAATGGAATATATATGCAATAGGATGTCCCATGCCAAATTTGAGCTTGTTTGGCGGTCCCGTTGTGGAGATACAGAACTGCGTCGGGCAGGAGGAGGCATAGTCACATTATATTCCAAAGATATCCAGATACCCTGAAACATTTTTTGTACATTCCATTGAACTATATTGGACTGGTAAAGGTGTTACCTTGGTCATTGGTTCATCCCTGAATATCTTTGGCTTGGGTGTCTGTGTCGTATACGTGAATTATATTCACTGGGCCATCTTTGGTTCTGGGGAGACCTGGAACGAAACCAATGATACATTGGGGTGCTCCATGCCAAATTTGAAGTTGTTTGGCAGTCCCGTTGTGGAGATACAGAAGTGGGTGGGGTGGGAGGACGCATAGTCACATTATATTCCACAGATGCCGGAACACCCTGAAACTTTTTTTATACAGTCCATTGAAGCATAATGGACTGGTAGAGGTGTAAATTTGGTCATTTGTTCATCCCTGAATATATTGGGTTGACGGTGTATCACCACGCCAATTATTAACCCCTAAGCAGAAAATGTTATAGGATAAATATGTGGGGAGTGGATAGGGGGGATATTGGTAAGTGAGAAGGGTCAAGTGAACTTCCCACTGATAATTTCCCGATGTCCATTTCCTGACGTCAAGTTCCCGATGTCCATTTCCCGACGTCAAGTTCCCTAACCCTATTTACCGACTTAGGGTTAGGGTTTGTTAGAGTATCCTCCACTTGGACTAGAGCGAATGCAAAGGTTGCCGCTACAACTGTAGCTGACAAGCTTTCGGTTACTATCTATCTTACTTTTGAAAGCGGGCCCGCTTTCATTTATTTGATGGCCCAACTGTTAAATAAATGTGGTCAAAAACAGTGGTCCAACTATATTTTAGGGTCTCAGAATCAAATAGCTGGCTATTTCACTTTGAAAACAGATATAAATCTGACTGACCACCTCAAAGTTCAAATAATTTTAGCACTTTATTTCTGTTT